CAAAAAGCCAGGTCTGGGTCTCTAGTCCTTTAAATTGCTTGTTTCACTTGGCATTAAAGCCTGGTTGTTTACAATAGTGCAAAAGAGGCTCTGACCATGACAGTATGGCTTTCATTCAACTAGGGAGTTTTCCTTTCCTGATGTTAAGATGGCCCAAGGACCATGCACACTTCCTCTGAACCTTCCTTATCAGGCATTCGTTTTGCAAGCAAGAGGCAGTAATGAGCCTCTGCTCTGATGTTCAGTCAGAGAAGAAACATCAGCCATCCAGATAGGAATCCTCCTTGCTCTCTCACTACATTATCTCTTAGTACCTGTGTAAACAATATTACTTTTGTAACCATATATTTTAATTATGTCAAATGCTGTATGCATGTATTATAATGCTATACTTTTGTAATCTGCAAAAGTTAGCCACTTTGTTCTCTGATTCAGAGTCTTTTCAAGGGGTATTCTGCTGTTTTTCCTGAACCCAGTTGCTTGGACTCTTATCTTGCAGGAGCCCTCACTGTGCAGAAGATGCTTGCTGCTAAAAGTTTTGGAAGTCTAGCTAGCATGTTTGAATATTATTGCAATAATAAATAATCTCCTTAGTAAACCTGGAGTTGGTGTATCACTCTCTGGAAATCATAAAAAAAAACCTTCTGCCCCTGGCCAGGGCAACACCCCTAAACCCTTTTCTGAGGTCACTCTTGGAGAAGCAAGTGGCACAGTTCTTTCTTCAGGGGCTATTTGAGGAGAGGGGATCAAGGCCCAGATCCCTAGCCCTGAGCTCTTTTCCAACTTCAGATCTGGCAATCTGAATGATCCTATGATCCTTTGGACATTGTTGTTGATGAATGACCATTTCATAGACGTAATGAGTGTAAGTCTATGTTTCAGGGCAGAATTGATGGTGGGGATTTTTCTTTCCATTGTTGCAATGTGTGATGCTGTACTGTCAACAAGACTTGGAAAATCAAACTAGAAGAAAATATCTCTCTGATATCTTCCTGGTATGCAACCTATCATTATATGACTGCTGATGCCAAACAAAATAAAACAAAACAAAAGGATTTTCAAAATAGTTAAAATTCAAATGGCATCTTTAAACCTCTACAGTGCAATTCTAGGCATGTTTATTCAGAAGTAAAACACAGCCAAGTTCAATTAATTCCTCCCAGGTAAGTGTGCATAGGGTTGCTATTTTAATAATCATTATAATTATATTGTATGTTTAATTTACTACAACAAGAAAAACAGAAATATGCAAATATATCCCTTTTGTAATATATAGGAATTTAGTTTGTCAGACCATTGCAAAGAAATGCTGGATTACATAGATATTGGAGAGGCAGAATCTGTATGTTAGCTTTGTGACTGAACTGTATCATAGCAAAATTATTCACCTAAAGTTGTCTGCATTCGGAATTTTCAATAGTTGTAGAATATTCTGTATTATTTTGAAAATAAATTGTTTCAGAGGCCTCCTTTATCTCTGCATTAATATATGTCTAAAAGTTATTCAAATGCCTTTTTAAAACACTGCATATGGCAAGCACCATCTTAAAAGAGGCATTTCCCCTTCTCTTTTTGGTAGGAGAAAATGTCTCTTCTAAGATAATGCCTGATAAAGTACTTGTATCTATCATGCAAAAATAACAAAAGTGTACTTCTTGATTCAGATGTTATTACTTTTACAAATAAGATGCTCAATTGAATAAAATGTACATGGCAACCAAGTTTTTAGGTTCAAAATCTTGTTTTGAATTTAGTAGTCATTGCTCTATTGAGAATTATATAGGAGAACAATGGCAAAAGGATGTTGCCATTTCTGTTAGTATTAAGTTACAGTTTATAATAGTAATTAAAGTATTTGCTGCAGGGAAACCTCAGCTAAACAAGTCAGCTGTATTAAATGAAAGATGGGGCATAGAAATGTGCATTAATTTTGATGGAAAGTGGACAAAAATACAGAATTAATTTCCTTCTGTCAATTCAACAAGAGTGAAATGGAGAGGCAATAAGACAGCATTTTGTTATTCAGTGGAAGAACAGTGATAGTGAATGTCTGGAGAACTGGGCTACAAGCTTCTCTTGACCAGGGTCCAGATGCCTGCCAGAACTTTATTGTTTTTGTCCCTTTTGGTATTTTAGCAGTGGAAAATGCAGCATTTCCTATGCATAAAAAGTTGACGGGAAGGAGTACATGTAAGGCAAACAAGCAGCAAAAATAGAGTTGCTTTGCTTTTTTGTTTCTTTTTCACAGGCACCTTCGTATCAGGAAATGAAAGCTTACTCTTTCACCCCACTCCATGATTACACAAACATTCCTTTGCTCAGATTCCATTACCAACTTTGCTAAAAAGCAGTGTGTGAGAGAGATGCATGCTGCTTTCAACCAGCACACATCCTTCTTTGTAGGAAATGAGAGGGCATCCTGGAAGCCTCATTTCCCAATGGGAAAAATGTCAGTAAGAAAGAAAAGACACAAGATTATCTGAGATCCTGCTGCCTCTGCCCTGGAACTTCTCCTCTTCTAATCCAGAGCATAGTTTCTAATATTTAATCCCTCTTTTTCAGGAAATGAAAACAAAGCCTTCCAGGTAAGAAGTGGTGCTCTGTCTTGCATTCCAAAGCTGGCATGGGGGAGGAATGACAGATGCCAGGAAAAATCAGAGATGAGACTGGATAGGCAAGTCGTGTGTCCTTTACATGCCCATAACAGTTGCATAACAGCAGAACTCTACCTAGTATTGCTTCAGCTGTCACTGCAGTATTGTGTCCTAGCAACAGGTTCAGTTAAGTTGCCAACCCATGAAGTGAAGTAAGACATTGGTACCTGAACATGGCCAGTAGGGATCCGTATGAGTCTGGAACCAGGGAAGAGACCAAGGAAAACTACCATATTTTTCCGTGTATAAGACGACACTTTTTCTTTAAAATATTTACCTAAAAATGGAGGGGAGTCTTATACATGGGGGGCCGAGAGGAGAACCACGGGTGCGCTCGGGGGGGGGGGAGACTGGTGCAATCGCGGGCATGCTTGGGAGGGAGACTGGCATGGGCGCACTCAGAGGGGAGACAGGCGCGGGGAAGTGTGGCAGCAGCTCGCTCGCTCAGAGATCGGTAAAAGTGGGGGGCATCATATACATGGGGGCATCTTATAGATGGAAAAATACGGTAACTACAGTTATCTTCAAGGAAAACCCTGCATAGGGCAACTAATCATGGGTTAAATGAATCAAGGCTTAGTACTATGTACAAACCAGGTCAAAGCATGCAAGCTTTTGCCATCTCCATATCTAGAAATCTCAAAAGCATGCACATTTTTTGTGAGTGTTGAGCTATCTTAGTAAAGTTGAATTGTCCTAATCCATTTACATGGATTTTGAAGTTTTTCTTTTATGGCTAACATGGGTGCTTCTACTTTTTGTATTCATAATATATATCATTTAAATAGATAAGTGCCTGAGGGGGATGTAAATGGCCCTTGCACCTGTTTCTCTGGAATGTGCACAAAAAGCAATCTTTCTTCTGGAGCAAGTTGACCCTATAAAGGATCTGAGTAACATGGAGGATGGTAAGTGAATTTTACATATTGCTTTGAATGTACTGTATATACTGGTTTATAAGATCACCCTTCAAACTGGGTGAAGCAAGACAAATATCGGGGTCATCTTCTATACCAGGTGAAAAATTTTCATACAGTTGAACCCCAGTATCTGTGGTGGATAGGTTCCAAGCCCCCCAGTGGATTTCTGAAACCACAGAACCCCCACAAAAGTGGAAAAACAACATAGGGACTCTGTTGTGAACACCAGGCTCTTTGTCTCAGCACCAGCCGACCTCACTCAGGTGTTTTATCTCTTGGGGGACACAAAGACTCCAGAGATATTTGCAGGATTTTTGCCATAAATATACCTGCATATACTGGTATATAAGAGGACTGTTGAAACCAGAAAGAGAAAAGCAAAAATTGTGGGTTGCCTTATAGGACCAGCATATGACAAACACCAGAAAAACATGTCAAAATATCAACCTTGCCTTATATGCAAGTCGCCGTATATGCCAGTGTATATGGTACTGGCCAGCCTATTGCCTTCAGGTTTCTAGTTATTTTTGTTTGTTTGTTTATTACAGTTATGTCCCACCTTCTTAACTCTTGCAAGGAACCCAAGGCATTCTAAAATAATCCCCTGCTCTCCATTTTATCCTCACAAGAGCTCTGTCAGGAAGATTAGGTTGAGAGTCCAGTGATGGAATCCAGTTAGCTTCATGGCTGAGTAGGGACTAGAACTGGGCTCTCCTGAGTTGCTGTAATCCATACTGGCCCTGTTATGTTATAAATAACATAAAGAACTGGTAATGACAATTATTCCTATGTGAATTCCTTTACTAAATTTGCACCTTTAGTTTTGAAATTTATCTTAATGAAGATTTTAGAAAGGGCAACTTGTGAAGTGATTATGAGACATTGTTCAACCAAAAGCCACTTAAGCTTTAATTAAATGCAGAGATTTCTGCCATGTTCTTCTTCACAATTTTCATTTAGCTGAAAGCAGTAAAAGAAATCATTTAGCTGAAAGCAGTATGTATTCATGGTGGTCCTACCAATAGTTACACCAGTAGAATCCTGTGACGGAGTTGGGCAGAAGACTGCTCTGGAATCCTTATTAATGTTGGGCTACTGTACTCTTAGTGCAGTGACAACTTATTCTAAATTAGGTTTAGGGGCCAATACATTTGCCTTCCTCACTTAACCAATCCAATTTCAGTGGCACAACCATGTTGACATCATTTCTGAGCTGGCAGAAAGCTTTAGGACTGGATTTAATTAGGCATTCAAGAGAGAAAACTTGTCTCTTGAAGCTGCTGTCATCATGTCTTGCATAGAGATAGCAAGCAGTTTCTTTCCCTCTTTGCTACTGCTATATTTAGTAGCCTTCCAGCCATAAAAGGTCAGGAGTATCACTTTAACATTCCTCTGACAGCCAGCATTATTTTTGTTCTGGACTCAGGAGTCCATCCTCAGCCCTGGACCTGTCGACCACTTTGCTGGATTGAACTTTTGCTGGATTTCTCTCTTCCCCTATTTGTCCACATCCAAGACTGAACTTCTCCCACTCTTAATTTGGCTAGCGGTAAGTGCACCATGTTGATAAATATTATTTATCAATTAAATTTTCTCAGCACATTAGAAATATCTACCAATATCTACCTCTTTTCATTGCTGTAATATTCATTCACTCTGATTACCTCCCCCTGTTCTTGTGGATTCAGCTGCTGCATCTTGGTTTTTTTATAGTTCAGCTATAGCAACTTTACTAGTACCTCTCAGATGAGACCGGCTTTAACAGCTCTACTTGGAAATATTGTTTTCTAGTAGTTAGCCACTAAACTGCTTTCTGTTTGTGGTGACTTGTTACTTAAACATTTCTTTCGATGAGTGTAGTTGACATGCTCACCTTCTCTTTGTGTTTTTGAGCAGATCTTTCAAATTATGGCTCATTTTTAAGGGGGTTGGTGGGTGTGGACAGGTGGAACAACATCACTGTGCCAAGTTCTTTGTCCAGCCTGCCTGCATCAGTGAGAACAGCTGTGTACACCGGCACACTCCATGCTGGCTCTAACAAACATGGATATGACAGAGAGGATTCTGCCCCCATGATTCTACTTCTCTGAGTTGCAAATTCATGCAGCAGTGCATTAACATCTGAAAAGTTAAACTCTGTAATATTTGAAGAATCAAGTTATTATCAAAATATTTACTTTGACTATATGTTCTGTAAATTGGCAGCAAGAATTACAAGATGGTTGATAAAAAATGTATAGCAGACCTGACAGATAAGAAAACTAATGGCCATTCACAGAGTGTATAAAAGCTTTCAAACTGGAAATTGCCAAAGCTCTGTTGCTTAACTACAGTTTCACTAACAGCAGGCACTTGGAAAGTTGCAGTTTAATAGGAGTGTAAAGTTTTGTGTTGGAGTTAACAGGTGAAACTTGAACAACAGCATAGTTGTGTTTGGTAGATCTTCAGTATTTGAAATAACTGACTTAAGCAGGACTGTTGGATGTTCTTGATCTTGGTATAGGGTATTAACCATACCAGAATAGACCAAGTGCAGATGCAGAAATAGTGCAAATATAAATAATGAAGAATACACTAATTATATATAGAGAGAAAGGCAGACATATAGGCAGAAGATGAAATAACTAGTCTGTGCACAGTTGGAATTTATATTATAATTACAATATGTTTTCAACATAGCAATTCTGAATGTTCAAAATACCTGTTTTGGAAATTTAATTATATGAAATATGGGCTGTACTCTTGAAATTGACATCTTGGGTCTTTCCAAATGTGTGAGATAGTAACAGAAAACTAAATGTGAAATGAAATTTTGAAATCACAAATCTGAAAATGCAATTTCAAAACTAGGTTTTTTAATATTTCAAAATTCATTTTTTTCAAATTTGGAAAAAGACCTGTTTGGATTTAGGACTGTTAAATTTAGAATTGTTGGAATCTGAAAGTTAGATAGGACAGACAGGATCTTAATTTTTCTACTATCTCTGTGCACTCAAGTATACGTACAACTCTGGAAAACTGTTCCTTTAGTTTTCCTAGGAACTTCCTCATTTGAGTAAATATTTTGGGTTTCTCACTGCCCATTAACATATTTTGATACAAAAATATACAGTATATGTTTGTCATATAATTAGAATTCTAAAAATGGTCATGTTGTGCAAATTCTGAATTTGATATTCCTGTGATTATCTTATTCTTTACCTGCATACTTCTGATAAATACTATTAAAACTAGTTAAGCTTTGTTGGCAGAGTTCTTCCTCAGCTGAATCCAGTGCAGCCTTGCCCAGGAACAAACTTGTCTCAAGTTTCATAGGATGCACCTTAGTATCTGTTGGATTACTTAGGTTTAACTTGTATTTTTGAGCATGCAATTCATTCAATGCTAATTTAGCTTTCCTTGTTAATATGCTTTTTCTTTTCTTTTTACAGGTTATCCAAAGTGTGTTCTGAACTAGCAGAAATCCAGGATGTCTTTACCATTCTACCAGAGACATCACCAGCATTTTGACCGTGCATATCGTCACAAGGACCTGGAGTCCACTCTAAGTCAGTACCAAAAGGAGGAGAAGCGTAAATCTGCCATCTATGCTCATGGATCTACTGCCTACAGTCAGGCAACTGCATTGGCCTACCGCTATGGGTCTACTCATGACCAACTGTCTACAGCAGCTCACCATGAATTGGCTGAAGCTACTTCTCATGAATCAGCAGCTCACAGTAAAAAATCTGCAGCATACAGCCAAGAATCCCACTTGATGAGTAAAAAAGCAGAGTCCCACCATCTTGGATCTGAATTGGTCAATAAGAAAGCTGAAGCCTATCGCCTTGGATATGAAACATACAGTCCAGGGTATGGTACCGTATAAACCCTTGATCAATAGTGGGGCAGCTTCCTCTCTTCTGTGGCAAGCATTCTGTTGTCTTTAGCAAGAGCAGGCTGAGGGTCTGTGCTCTCTCTATATAGTTTTCCTTGGAATAACTAAGCACACCTAAGTGTAACTACTTTTCTTTTCTAGTTTGTTTCTTCCATATTTGTATCTTCTCTAGGTCTCATGAAGGCCAAACTAAATATGACAGAGCAGAGACATAGAATTGTCTCTTGGTTTTAAGTAGCCATAGCGGTCTGTGACTTTGAGTTGAAGAAGCTTTTCCCTAGAGCTATTTTCTTCCTATCTGAATGATTCCCACCCAGCTATTTTTCCATCCAGTGGAAAAATAGGTTTTTCCTTTGTGAAGAAAAAAAAATCACTAGTGGAATAATTTTGTATGAAATAATAGCAACCAGGGAAAGGACTGAGCAGTTTGTTCCCTCACAGTACCTCAGCTCAGTCTCATAGTTTTCCATGACAAAAGTAAGTAGAAGAGTGTGGAAAAAATCTGCAGCTCAAGGCCAACAGTAATAGCTGGTTGGTCTTGATCTAGAAGGTTTAATTCCATGATTCCCCTTGCTATAGTATAAAAATCAAGAAACTATGAATATCCACCTAACTAATAGCTAGTTAACTTGGATTCCATCAGCTTTTAGTAACTTTTGGGGGCTCTTCAGGGACCTTAAAAGTGAGTTAGAACCAATTGTGATGATCATCTTTTTGCTCTTTTTCACCTAATTCTGATGATTAGAAGAAGTTGTTAATGCCAGTGCAAATCCAATACTATTGGGAAATCCCATTCAAATGCCCAAACTCTCAGTGGATTTAAAAGCGAATCTTTCCAGAGGTAGTTATCTCATTATCTGTGACTGGGATTAGACTGGCATGTGGTTAGTTTGACTCAAGTGCTCCATATGTGACCTTTGTAATTGAATTGCTGGTGCTGATGAAAGTATGATTACATTTATTATTTAACTAGCTGTGTTATTTTAACTTCAGCAAACAGCTTTAATGATAAATGTTCAAGAGCTCAGTAGGAGTCTTGCAAAACGAGGGATCTTGACTAGTTCCATTTACAAGATTATGGATTAAATATAGCTTCTTTTGCATTAGCTATGATTAGCTCTTGTTTTATTTTTGCTATTTCTTGCCATTCTGTATTGGCATCTCTTCTCTTCTGCCAAAATCCAGCTTGGCAGTTCTAGTTTTGGCTCTTATAGTAATAAAGCCATTAATCTCTCTGGCCAAACCGTGCAACCTATCTTTCTCTTGGCTATAGGAAACCAGTTATTTTAACAGCCCAAACTGTAACTGAAGCTTTCCCTTTTGGGTGTCATGAGCTGTGGTTTTCTCATCAGTTTATGAATAGCAAAGAGGCAGTCTTCAATCAGTTGGTTTTTAATTAGCTTATCTGCAATAGTCAAAGATAGTTTGTGTGTTTCAGCTGCCACCTGATTACTGCCTCATCCTTTGGTTGCTGTTAAAATGTGATGATGCATAAGCCAGGTTTCCTCAATCTTTTGGGGCACATTGGTAGGTGGCACCACAAAATGGTTGCCTGGGGCCTTCTGGGTCACAGGAGAAGTGGCACATCTAAGAAACTGAGTAACAGAAAATTTGGGTTTGGGCCACAAATAGAAGAAGCTGAGTTTGAGCCACCTATTGACCCCCACAAAGGAAACATCCCCAAAAAATACACACACAGCCGCTTGAACTGGCATGTCACATCAGTCATGTCATTGCTTTCCAAGTCACCCTCAGTTGTGTTTGCAGGGCATAAATGCATTTAAGTGTGCTTACATAAAAACTTTTAAAGCTTTAGTGGCAGAAAAAATAGCAAGACATTTCCATTTACTTTCACTTAACTCTGTGTACTACTTTGCGTACTAAATGTCTTGCACGACTTTTTAAGGTGCCCTAATCTGTTTATAGATTGAGCCAATATTTGAAAGGTCTACTGTCAAATGATCTGCCTCAACCTAGGGCATGGAAGAAAGATCTCTAGGCTATTGTGGTCATCTATCACATAGTAGATAAAGCCAGGTTGTGGAAGAAGAGAGGAAAGAAAATTATTAATCATCCAGTATAATTGGTTTTGAATGGTATGAGGTTAAATCAGGATTGTCCAAATATGTTTATCTCCAAGGACACAGAACATGGAATAGCTAGCTCTAATAGCCTAAGCTTGGATCCTGGGCTATCTCAAGGGAGATCTCATTGACTTGCTGGACTTGGCAGCATAGCCTGTACTCCACCATACTAGAAGGACTTTCCACAGACTTTATTTTTAAATAAGTACGTTTGATAATTATTTACAGTGCAACTGCAGTATTGTATATGTTGTTACCAAATCTCTTCCTTCTAGATACATGTACACCCTTGCACCCATTCTAGGAACTGTTTAACAATGGCAATAGTGTGGCTTTGACAAAGTCAATATTGGCAAATATTCCCAAGCATTTTTGAACAACGGTGAATGTTGTTAAGTACAACTAAGAAGTTAAAATACAGTAGACCCCCCCCCCCACATCTACTGTCTCAGTTACTGTGGTTTCACTGCAGCCTTCCACATTCACGGGGGTTAGGGGTGCAGGAGCCCTGTGAAATGGGAAAAATGCAAATATCTCTAGAGGAAAAAGCTTTTATCTCTAGAGTCCTCATGCCCACTGAGAGTCAAAACATGTGACTGAGGCTGGCTAGTACTGAGCCAAAGAGTGTGAGATCCCCAAACAGAGTCCCTAGAGATATTTGTGATTTTTCCACTTTCACAGGGGTCCTGTGCCCCCAGCCCCCACAAATGTGGAGGGCCAACTGTACAGTAAATATCGGGGTGGCCAGACTTGCTCAATGGAATAGCCTCATATGGTAAATGTTAGATATTTGAAAGCTGCAAGCAGGTGCCTGTGGGTTGCAGCAGGTGGTGAATGGGTGGCAAACAGCAAGTCACAAAATAAACTCATGTGGCTCCCAAGCCTCGGTTTGGCCACCCCTGGTTTACAGTGTTCACAACTCACTGTGGTTTCAGGCATATGCTGAGGGGCTTGGAGCCTGTCCCCCATGGATACGGGGGTCCTGTTTCTGTGGCAGAAAATGGCTTTGTGGAGCAATTTAAGTGTGAGCATGCAAGAACATTGAACTATAGGAGGCTGAACTTGGATTATGCAGAAAATTGTCAGGGTTCTCACAGAAATTGGTTCCAGTGCTGCAGCCAGATTATGAACTTGTGCTGGCTTTTCAGCTTGCAGGAGGTAAGGCAGTGAAATATTGTGGGGTTAGAATTAGATGAATTGGAACTCTTAATACTTTTGGGAAGGAAAAAGAAAGGCCTGGGAGTAGAGAAAGGGATGAGAGGAGTATTTGTCCAAAGTTGCTACAATTGGGCCAGTTCTGTAACAGTCACTGTAATAAGAAAAGTGACAATGGGGTTGTCTGAAACAGCACTTTTCCTGACACTTTTCAAGTGGGTGAAGGTATTCAATTTCACAGATTTCCTTTTATGCAAAGAAAGATATTGGATATTGAAATATATCAAAAGACAGGAGATGTTGACCTCACTTGCACATGAAGGCCTCTCCAGTTGTTCTTCCCCAGTGCTGCCCTCTGCATTCCTCCCACAAACATGCTCAAGGTCAAGGGAGCAGCATGGGATGCAACACGGGGAAGCTGACTATTGATGGGGGAACTGACTTGCATAAGGCAGGGCCTTTACACAAGATACGACTGCATCCCAACCCATTGTCTTCAGGGGATTAATAAATGTGACTTGCTACTTTTTCCACTTTGGTTTCCCATACCCACCTCGAACATTCTCCCTATTAGACCAAACTGAACACATATGGATCAGTTTGGGCACATTTTACATTCACGCAGTGGCTTTTGGAATGATCCTGTCAATGCATACATGTGAAAGCATTTTGCAGGGATGTGTTTGTCGTGTATCTTTCTCATATGGATCCCATGAGCCAGTTCTAGCAGGTGTCCAGGATCTATCACACAGAGTGATTGCTGAACAAGTATTATATAGATTATGTATTGTATATTATATAATGTACAGTGTAATTGTACTAGTAGAATTCTACACTTTTGAATGTAACTAGTGCTTGTGAGGGCAACAGAAAAAAGTGACAACTTGCTGCTAGAATTTGACCGTGAACCCCAAGGCTTTTTCACATTGCTCTTGCACATTTAAGGGAACTGTCTCCCAAAATATTTTTCTGATGCAAAATTGCATAGTGAACTTTCTTGAAGATTTATGAGCAGCATTATCCATACTTTCTCATAACATATCATAAGCAGCAAGTGTTTGACTGTAGCCAATAACTTTCCCCTGAAAAGTTTTAAAACTACATGCCAGTGTGTAGGTAATACTTATTCAGTTTTATTCCTTTCCATTTGACTTTAGAATTCTAATTGTAAGGTCTCCAAGGCATTCTTAGCGCTCAGCTAGCATCCCCTAAGTGACATCATAGCAGCTGAACCAATGACATTTTGCTGAGGAAGGGAGTGGAATAATATAATTCTTCTGCCTTCCAAGCACTGCTGAGATCAAATCAGTTTACTTATCCACTGTCAAAAGAACTGGTTTCAAATTATTATCTTGAATAATTAGTAAATTACATAGCTAAAGTAACATATGACTGAATATTTGTTGGAAAGATTCTGATGACTCCTCAGTAATAATGACATAAACACATCTGGTTAGTTAATTTTTGACTGGTCCCCAGTTTACTGTTTTAGAGCAAGGTAGTAGAAGGAATGGTGGTGTTTGGCTTCAGGGTATCTTGGAAGAAGCAACTTATCCCGAGCTATTTCAGCCAGGCTTCATGCCTAGTTTAGAGTGAAGAAATTTGGTTGTCCTGGTGGGTAATCTACACCAAAATCCAGACAAGGTGAGTATGCCCTTGACGTTTCTGCTGGACCAGAGACTGAAGGCAGCTAACACTACATTGATAAGGCAAATCAAATTGCTAAAAACAACAAAATAACATAACATTTTAAAAGCATTAAAAAGGCAGTGTGGCGGATAATAAAAATATCAGAGCCAGCAGGAAAAACCCTGTGCAGGCTAACAGAAAAGTCCCCCTAAACAAATCAATATTTATTAAGGTATAATAGTAAATTTAGTAGTCTATAATGTGCTTCAAGCCTTGTTTTCCTTTTTGGCTGCAGCAGATTAGTATAGCCACCTCTCTGGAAGTTTCTAAGATCATGTCCCTAATAGTACCTGGATTCTTGAAGACAGATTCCAAAATTGTGCCCTTCAGCTGAGGATGATGCAACCAGAGCTTCTTATCTGGTATGTGCAACAAAATCTCCCTAGAGTAGGGCCTATAGTTCTCTCTTTGCTCTCTGGTTTCAAAGATAACAGCTTCATGACCTTTCAGCAGCTTTTAGCCAATTTATATGTGTATTTAATACACATATTTAATCTGCATTTAATGCAGCCAAACATAGTCTGCATTTCATCAAGAAGCAGATACAGCCTGCTCCCACCCACCCATTCAGGGGCTGACATTAATGGTTCCAACACATGCACAATCATGAATATCCATTGTCTTTGGGTAAGGCGTGGATTTTTCTTTGATCAAGTTTTCCAGCCAGTTACTGCACTTCCACACTTACTTCTGAGTAAATTTTAATAACAATTAGGTTACATGCTTCAGCACTTTCCTCAGTTTGCCTTAGAACATCTGTGTAACAATTTGAAATAGATGTCTCAGTTGTATTTAGATTTATAAGGATTATGATAGTGATTGCATACATATTACAAACAGAACATTTAATTTTGAAAGGTTAGAGAGCTAACATTTAAATAGGATAGGAAAATGACAGTTTTCACTGTACAGCACACATTCAAGCTTGTTGTTGTTATGTGCCATCAAGTTGTCTCTAACTCATGGCAACTGTGTAAGTAAATGCCTTGCTTGACAGCCCTGCTTTTGTGCTTGTTTTCATGCTATTTTGAGACAGTACCCAGTCTGACACTATTGCTAACATAAATTACATTGCACTAATGTAAATTCAGTCACACAGGCAACATGCTCAATGACTATGCTCTGTAATATTGGCTGCATGGTACAACGGAGATGCAGTGTGGTATAAGAATCTTGTCCATGCATAAATAGACAAAAAGGTATCCCCATTCAGCTGGGAGCTGCAAGTTATAGGACTGTTTTCCATCTAAACATGCATAGGATTGCACCCCTACTATATCTATATTATATAGCTCAGAAAGGTACATGGTATACAAACAAACCCTTCCCCCATCTTGTGATAAAAGCACACAAAGGTGGACTCTGACATATGGAAAAAGTACCAGAAGAAGAGGAGGATGTTAAATAGACCTTACAGAAGTTCCTGCATCTCGCCTGGAAACCACCCCAGTGAAGAGATGGCAGCCAGGTTGTACACAGGTGTTGCTAGCAGAACATGCATTTCTGGTTTATTTTGATGGCCTGTTTGTTAGGAGAATAATTTGGCAAACAGTGCAGTCACTGTATGTTGTGTTTAAACATGGTATATTGCAGAGCTTCTGAAAGCAGGTACATTGATTAATCACATTAGAGTTAATTTTCTTGTTTTGCAAATTCTTCATGACTCTATTGTAATATATCCATGAGATTTTTGCTTGCTAATTAAAAAGATACAAATACAGAATTTTCTTATTCCATCCCTAAAAAGATGAAGAGTGGACAATCAATGACATCACTTATTACTTATAAAGCACACTGCACATAAATTTAAAAATGCCAAAATCAAGTGCTTGCAGGCCAAACTTCTAAAAAATAGAAGACAAAAAGTGAGGGGGGGGGCTGGAGGAAAACAGGAAATTTGCACAAGTTGTAAGGAAATGAAAGAAGGTGCATAAAGTAATACAATAAGTAGCCAAGGAACAAGAAGGCAACGAAACAGACAAATAGTATACCGAGAGGGAAATGCAAAAGAGAAAAAGACCAGATTCTAGTAATCTCTGAAACTGAAACAAAAGGGACAGTTGGATATTTAAAGGACTACAGAATAAAATCCTCAGGATAGAAAGGAGAAGCACCCTCCCCGCAGGGTGGATGGACGAAGGAAGAAAATTGCCTCTGCTGCTGCTTTTGCCCTGCATTGAATGATCAGATTCCTCAATCAACAGGATTACACCCTTGATTAGTTTTTTGTTTCTTGGATTACTTTTGTGTCTAAACCAGGATTTATATGTTGCTTTAGATAAAAGGGGATTCCAGTGGATTTATGAAAAGTAAATACTGCAAAGCCAGTGTGGTGTAATAGTTCAAGTGCTGAACTAGGACTGAATAAACAATGATTATATTCCCAATTAATCATGAAGTTCTGAGGATGCCCTTGGGCTAGTCACTCAGCCTAGACTACCCCACAGAAAAGTTGTGATGATAAAAAGGGGGAGGAAATAAGCAAGAGGCCTTGACATAAATGCAGTGCATTACCAATAATGTCAGAGCATTCACTCCAGATTGCTAGAACAACATTGGTAGAAAGCCCAACAAGAATGGACCTAGCCTATAACCAGGTGCAAGAATAAGCTTTCAGTTAAAGGTGTAAATAATCTAGATTCAAGCTTTTCTTTGCTGATAGTATGAAATAGCCACAAAAAGTGCAAACAGGGCTGTCTGCATGGATATGTATTTAAATGTATAATATCAATGAGAATAAGATAGCTTTTAATTATATTGATCATGCCATTCATCCATGCATTTATCCCTCTCTTCCATCTCCTTGCATATTGTATACTGCTGTGCTGTGCAGTTGTATTTCTGTTCTGTATTACTATATAAATAATACTCTAGTTTGCAAAGTGAAGTGTTGGCCACCTTGTGTAGCTTAATGGATAAAGACACAAGGTTAAGGGACATTGGTATCCAGTTACACCAAGAGCGTACCTACCAGAAGGATGTACACATTCTTATGTGTGCATGCTTATGTCTACATCCGAGCTGTCAATGTGTGAGAGAAAAGATTCCCAGTTTGAGGAGGAGGAAAGAAAAGGACCAAGACTGCAGTTCTAAACATAGTTTCATGGAATGAAGGAAGATACACTAAAATCTATGCTCGGAATTGTTCTGCACATGTTTCAACTGCCTGACCCAAAAAAACTTCATTCTTGTGCTGCTGGTTATGTTGCTCATATCAAGGCTACACCTGCATTCACACTGGTCAGCTTGTACATTTGTAGCTGCACAAATTGCAAGACAGATGTCTTTATAATTGTAATCATATGACTTTTTTTTTCTAGAAAAATGATAGAGGATTCTTCTTTGAAGCTGAGTCCCAAAGCAAAGCGAGCTAAGCAAAGTCTGCTGTCTCAGGAGAAAGAGAACACTGCTATTGACTATGTGGTACCTGTGTTCACAGGAAGGTATGCATCTTCGTGGGTGGAACAGAAAAAAGGAAAAAGAAGGAAGATAATAGTTTGTTCTATATCTTTGTAACAGATTTGTTGCTAAAGGTGACAGTGCAACAATACAACAATGTTTTTATTTAAATGTCACTTGCTCTGTGACGTAGAAAGAGAAAATATGGGTGAAGGTAGAAATTAGCAATGCAATTTGCCTGAAGTTGGAACCAGTAGTGCTTTTTTTTTTTTTTTTTTTGCATGTTTACTGAGAAGGAAGTTCCGCTATGTGCAATTGGACTTACTCCTGAGCAAATTTATATAGGATTGCAGTTGATATCACTGGTAGAAAAGCAATAGAAAATAAGGGTGTGATCCTATGCATGTTTAGATGGGAAAGAAGTCCTGCATCTCCCAACCAGCATGGCTATCTAGGGAATGCTGGGAGTTGTAGGATTCATTCTATGTAAACATGTATCGGATTGCACCATTAGTAAAGTATAGAAATAATACTCTAGAAAAACTGTCATGGTTAGATTTGCAAATACAATGTATATTCTTTGATTTTTAAACATCTCACATATTGTTTGTAAGACTAAATACGTTCACAAAAAATTAAGTTCTCCACTAGTATGCATATAGATGTGGTCTTTGTTTTTCCCAATGGTGTGACATTAATGCTCTGTTTTTAATCTATTGCCATCCATTTCTGTGAGACCCTGGGAGGAAATTAATAGCGGGGTCTGCTGGAAAAATAACCAGTAGTCACCAGTATACAACCAAGTGAAGATCTAGGAAGAGTGGCTGGACAAAATGAAGCTAGAGAAGGAGGGTCAGCAAAATAAATAAGGACTAAATAAGGCCATTTGTCAATGTGTCAGTCTTCTGCATAGTTAAGGAATCTTTTTCTCAGATAAATAATTTTACTGACATACTATGCTAGGCTATACAGCCTCATGTGTGTGCCTTGACTTTCTTCAAAGACATTGAGTAGGATCTGTAGCATCATCTTAGAGTTCCTCCCATCTGGTGCCTTTCCTACATGGGTAACATGGAGGCATTGTAAGTGAACATCATGGTGATGAGTGGCTGGTGACAGAGTAGAGTTCCAATGTTGCTATTTTAGCTGTTTTTTCCACTCTAATCACTGTGCTGCTAGTGGAGTATAGGAGGATTCCAAGTTGTGGCAGTGAACAGCTGAACCACTGCAGTCCTATGCACTCTCAGTTTGGAATATGTTCTAGTGAAATTAGTAGAACTTGTTCCCAAGTATAAAGTGTTGTCTTATAAAGGAAAAAAAATAAGAATTTGGTCCTTTTAAGGGTAAAGATGATATGAAAACGCCTGTATTATCAGTGGTGACCCATGAGACTATGGGCAAGTAGGACATACAATGCATATTTGAATTGTAAAAATACACATGCAACTGTTTGGTGGATGGAACTCTGATTGTATCATGTGAAAGGTACTTTAGGAATTTAACACTTAGTATATTATTTTTGATCTACTGAATAAATATGACATCTCTCTATTGGATTGTCCTTCTGTAATATTTATTTATTTTATTTCTGTACTGCCCCACAGCTGAAATTCCCTGCATGGTTCACACAGTCTATAAAAATAGAAGATACATATGTTTGCTAGGTGTGTCACCTGGAGATTTGCTTCTTTGTAAAAGGAGTGTGAATTCAGAAGTCTAGATTGGACTAGGTTTAAGAGCTGCTCTTCTCCTGGAAAGAGAAAGCGGATGCTAATAAATCTGAAACTGCGGGTTATTGCCTTCAATAGAATCCGCTGCTAAAGCTCTAGTGAGGTTTGTCTTTATAAGAAATTTAGATAGTAACAACAGAAATCTGGAAACACAAAGACTTGATAGAGGGCCAGGAAAAAGCAGTATAAACAGTTTCCTTGAAATATTTTAAATGTTTTCTATTATTCATTAGCTGCAGAATGCGAATCAGAAATATTATGAGAATATATTCATTCTAAACATATTAAGTTTTGCCCAAACTCAATTTTAGTTCTCTTTATAAGAGCAAGAAGATTAAGTTACTATCCAGTTCACTTTATATTTTGGCCTCCTCTACCATGTAAGCATCGCTGGCACCAGAATGTAGGCCTGGGTGAAGGGTAGGAGCTCCTTCACAACCATATTTTGTGAGCCCTCCAGTCTAATTAATATCCTCTGTTGGTGTTTGCTAAAGTGTTGAAAAGGTCATCTGATGCATTGTCATCTGTTTGTGTCATGTTGGCATAAAATCCATTCTTTTGTTCTAAAATTGGATGTGTATGCCACATCACTGCCAACTATTTATCCTCTGAAAGCTATTAGCCTAGACTCACTTGCCATTTACAACTTAGAAATCATATCCAAATTGTTTTACAGAGTCGGCTTGCATCTTTCCATCGGCAGATGATTTGCCAGAAAAAAGGCAGTATATATTTAAAAATAAATTAATCTGAAGGCTATTTAGAGAGCTGACACATTTTGCTGCTCTCTATTTTGGTTGAAAGCCAGTAGATAAGAGTTGAGCTTAGACCTGCATGATGTGTGTTTAGAAACTAATTTAGTAATAGTCTGATTAAATGCTCCTAAGCAAATTGCCCTCTTCTAGGTTGCAGTTTCAAACAAATTACTAGCTAGTAGCTTCCACTGAATTCAGTGCAGTTTACTTCTGAATAGACTAGTGCAGGATTGCAGTGTTAACTTCAGTTTTCCACATTAAAAGGGAGATAGAGAAAGAGGATGAGCAAAGTATTAAGGAGATAAAAAGATTGCTATAGAAATTATTATTGGCATGATTCAGCACTTATAACTCTCATCAGTTTCAGTTCATGAAAGCAAAGTGTTGGATTGAATGGTGTTGTTTCACAGTGAAAGGAAAACGGTTCCTCGCTCCATGTATACCCCCAGATCTGCTTTGGAGAATTAGAGGACCTTCCACAGCAGATCTGGAGGACATATGGGCAGCTGGAGGGGGAGAGGAGAGGATGAAGTCCAGATGTGTGAGCAGACTTCCAGGTGTCAATTTGTGCAATGTGTGATTCAAGGTAGAGGTTTCAATCCTTATAGTTCAATTATTTTCATTATTTTTAGCAATAAGATTTAATATTTTTTCAGTGCTTATCTTATTGGTTATTTGTGGATTTTAACTGCAGGGAGGGGTTTCCTTGTGGAGTTAAATGTCTTAGTAAGAATATGACTGGTAGTATTCAGTCATCTAACTGTTGGCTTAAAGAAAAAACCTGCAGTCCTAAACCAAATTATTACAGAGTAAGTCCTATTCAACTAGTTCGATATTTGGGCTCCCAGCTGTGGATCATCTTCCATATACCCTTTCAATTCTACAACATTTTATATTACTGATTTTATTATGTTTGTAGACCATTTTTAAAGTTTTAAAATAATTTATTAAAACATTTTTATCCAGACTTTTATCCTCTTGCAAGGAACTCAAGGCAGTTTACATGGTTGAGAATAACGTGCAAACCTGAACCACTGGATTGCTTGGGTGCTAAATTGTCTGGAAGCAAATCAAGTCTTTTGTTGATTAAAAGCATATGTGAGGAACATCTGCATCTGCAAGGGCTTCTAACCTTTGTCCTTCTACAGCCCCTTTCAAGTTCTGTTAAAACTCCTCTGACATGTCCATCTTATCTGGTTGCTAGATTCCTTCCCAGGTACCTTCTCTGAGCTGTCTGTGTCTGAGTCTCAGGACAAGAGGCCATTTTCATCATGTTCATATCAATGTCATGGCAGGAATGGACTGATACTGATAGTAAATAAACTACACTAGAAATTAGTGAGAAATTTCCAGAAGATTTTTCAGAACTATAATAAACTGAAAACAAGCATTTTTAAAACACTCTTTAAAGCCCGTGTAGCACTGAACGTGTTGAAACTATTGCACTGAATCTGGATTTACTCACACTTAGAAGAAACTCATTGAAATAAATGGGGCTAACAGTCATGACTAAATTAAGTCCCACTGATTTCAGTGGGTCTCTCAAGTTTGATCTAGCTTATTCACATGTATGATATACCCCACTGTCTTGTCAGATTTACCTTTCTCTAGCTCCAATTAAAGTGTCGTTAATGAGTACCATAGCTTAAGTCTTTTAAGGTGATCATGTGACAGTCCATTACCTTTGGGAACTGCATGTAAATTAACATTAAGAAATGTCAGCATAAGGTCTTCTGTTTTCCATCCAATTTGCCGATTGACCATTCCTCCCCCCCCTTTTTTTTTAATGATTGCAGTCAAACTTATGTTAGTGGGATTACAGACACAGAACAAGAGAGAATTAAGGAAAGTGCTGCATACATTGCCAGAAGGAACCTTTTTGCAACTGGTGAAGGAATTACTGCAACTCACAGAGAAACTTCATCCTCTGTGGAAGAAGAAAGACATGAAAAGAAATCAAGAAAAGTAGCAATACGAGAGAAAGCTGAACGAATGGCTCTAAAGAAAACGGTACTTAATCAACAGTTCATCTGTGTGAAAATGCCCTTTCTTGTATCAGACTATAGGACCTGATACAGCGTTTTTGTTCTCCTTTAATTTCATTGGCGAAATGGAGACATGTTCTTAATTTGCATTCTGCAAAATTAAACTGCTTATCTATGACTACATTAAGGTTCTAATATTCATCATGCAAGCTTCTTATAAAAAGTTACCAGAAATATCATGCCTTTCTTTGTCATTATGTATACTTGCCATATTCTAAATATTGGTACTACGTATTGTAAAGCACTCAGAGAGCTCCAGGTATTGGACAGTATAGAAATTAAATAAGCATACAAATAATAACAACCTCAACAACATTGCCTATATATATATAAGAGTACTTAAAAAAACTGACTTATTTGTTGTGGTATAATATGTTTTGTATCCTAGAACATACTTCTTCAGACATATCCAATTGTGTCACAGAATTATTCCGAATGACAATGTGCTAGCATAAAGCAATGCTAATGCAATGCAATTAGTACTTGATAAGACAATAGGAAAAATGGTAATTTGCCACTGGCTAAAGATCACAGATTTTCCTCACAAGTGATCATTATGTTGTGCAACCATTTTTTATGCTTGAGCAGTGTCCTTGGCACTAATGCTGGGTCTCAGTGAGTTGGAGCAATCTGAGTAGCCATACTGGTTGAGATGAAGTTAGTGCTTAAGTCCAAACTAATGTATCTCGCCTGTGATGGGCTTCTCCCTAAACCACTGTATCCTTGCAGTAATCTAGCGATTGCACTTGAACCTCATGGTTCCATATCAGTAGCTCATCTTCATCAGCACTGGTGATAATGTAGAAGGTAATCTTGTGATGGTTGCCTGAGTTTGCACTGTCTGTGTTATGCATCATTTGATGTTGTTTTTGAATTCCCCCCTCACCCTTTTCATGCATTTCAATGAATCAAGCAACGCAAAAGAGCATCCCCCTCGCTGACCCTGTGGCAAAAGCCTTATGCCTATTTTTTCTTGAATAGCACTATTTTGTTCTTATTCTGTCCAGTCTCTAAATATAGAAATGTACAAGTCAAGACTCTTACCAAAGAAACTGATTCTGGAATGCTCACCCCTCTGTTCATGAAAAGGGAAATAAATCAAATATGCATTATTTTTTCCTATGTGTACTTCATATTTAATAATGCTCATGTTGTTTCTCAAGGAAAAAACAACCTTATTGTGTAAAAGGGCATATTGAAGATTATAATAATATCTGATCAGTCATCTATGAGAAATGATAGTTGAAATTTGTTAAATATATTCTGTATATTCCACTTGACAGAGCATATGTTTTCTCTATTATGAAGTGACAATGTGTCAGGATGATAAATTTTAAAATGAAATATTTGCCTTACAGTTAAGAGAGACAGAAGAATTCCGCAGAAAGTTGAATGAAGATGGTCTGCTACATGCTCCTGAGTTTGTCATTAAGCCTCGTTCACATACCGTCTGGGAAAAACAAAATGTCAAATTGCACTGCACCGTGGCTGGCTGGCCAGAACCTCGCCTGACATGGTAGGCTTGCTTCTCTATCAACATTATATGTTGTTGATGGTAGAAGGGTATTTAAAATGGATGAAATAAAAATGATTTTTTAAAAATATATCACTGAGAGAGCTACTTCACTGGTTGGCTTCTTCAGTGTATTCTTTATCATCTCTAGACAATACTGTAAGCCATCCTGAGATGCCATGCATAAGGGACGGCATATAAAAATTTTAAATAAATAAATACACAGTCACCATTGCATATATATACTGCTATTTGCACTAGCCCTGTACAGGCATTCTGAAGGAGGGAAAAGAAGAGAAGGGATGTCTGCTTGCCCCCACCTCCTTCTCACACATTTTCACCACCTTCTAAAGGGTTGCATGGTTTCAAGTTACAGGAAGATGAAAACGGGACACATAGATAAAAGTGGCTTTCATCTTCAGAAAGATGCACTGTACATGTTGAGGCAGAGCTGGGGCAGAGGTGAGGTAAGCTCATGTTACCAAGCCCCACTGCTTGTACATTGCCTAAACAAGGCGCCTGAATAAACTAGTGGTAAATGTGTGTTATTTTTGAATATTAATTTCAGTTTGTATATCAGAGGTGGGACATCTCAGTGTGGGGCCAAATCTGTCCCTTCTAGGGTTTCAGTTCTGCCTTCCAGCATTCTGCAGAAGCATATGCCTCTTCCTCTATGCTCCTTCCTCAGCTACTGATAGTTTAGTTTGGTGGCTTACCAGCTTTGTGCAATTTGTTTCCCTATCTGAAGGGTTGAATTGCATTTCCTGAAGTTTAGCAACAGGAAGTAAGAGCTGTAAGCTGCAATATACTGGTAATGTTTGCATTTTTGACCCCAAGTCTTTTGGATTTAGCTACTCATGCCTTACCCAACACTAGAATGCAGCTTCCAAGAGCTTCTTTCAAACTGAATTCAACCCTCTCATGCATCAATCAAGGGTTAATCTGTACTTGGTTCTCATTACTACAAATAAGTTGAGAATAGTACATCTAATAAATTCAGACTGAAGATCTGTGGCCTTATGAGCAAAAGGTAAGAGTCTCACCACAAGCAATCTGTTTCAATTGTGGGAACTGCAATGTACATATGAAGTCATCCTCCATCCGCTTGCACACATAGAATTTATTAATTCATTCAGTGATTTGACAAATCGGAGTAAAAAGCATTCCAGGTTGACTAACACTATCAAATCTTAGCAGGCAACAGAATGTCTTAGTTATTCAACTCAGATGTGTTCACCCCTCATTGAAATGAACAGGGCCTTGCAAGTGTGCAAGAAATCCATGTACACATGGATCTCTGGATTAGGAATTAAAATACATAACTTTAGTGTTCTTTTCCACATGCACCCAAGATCATAAATTAATATTACACTAAAATTAGCAAAAATATATAATATTTGTATCAAATTAGATACAATATATTGTGATTTCATTTAGTGTTTAGGCTGGAATTTTAAGTACACTTATTTGGGAGTAAGTAAGCACCAAAGAACTTAATCAGGATTTACTTTTAGCTAAACATCCATAAGATTGCACTGTGCATGCATAGCTACCAATGGAAAGAATGTGGGAAGGGCATTGAACAGGTGTTTTGCTCTGGGATATAAAACAGAATGAACCTGATCTTGTCCATCCCTTGTTAAGCAAATGTCATTTACATGCTTGTAGCAAACAGCACTTATATGAACATGAGAGAAATTATAAATGCTATTAATGAAAAACACTTCAGCAGTCTCTTTGGAATATAGTGTGAAATGTCTTAATTAGTGATGCAGTTTTATTAGCTTGACTGAAAAAATATGGAAATTGAAGACTTCAGTAGTATGTGCAAACTGTTAGCACATAATAACAGTGGGAGCTGTTGCAGTCCTAGATTAGCAAATGATCTGCTTCTCCTGGAATGTTGCTTATCAAAGGCTAATAACTCTTCTTAAACATGGAGCTTTGTATTTCTGGACATAAATAGATTAATTCCTTTCTAACTTAAAAGCAAAGGGAAAAAGGTGCTGTTGCACTCATGTCCTGCCTGTGGGGTTTCTGTGGGCAATTGGTTGCCCACCGTGAGAACAAAATGCTGGTCTAGATAGACCCTGGGCTGATCTAGTGCAAGTCTTCTTTTCTTAAGAAAAAGATTATGATGTGGAAGAAATATATTTGCCTAAATAGCTTAGCAAATTATTTCTTAGGCAGCAGAACTGGAGATGGGTATTGGCAGCAGGCAAGTGAACAGGTGTCTGTTCTGCCTGCAGTCTGCTGTTCTGCAAATCACAGATGCAAAATGTCAATTGCTGCATTCCAGGCAAAAGCACTGAGAAACTGGTCAGTCAATGTGAAACACTGAAAACTGGTGTAGTGTAATGGATACAGGATTTAGATGCAAACTAGAAATAACTAGTGGGAGGGATCTTATGCTGGCTTTCTGTTTTTGTTAATTAATAGCTCCATGAGGCAGTTTTGAAGACCAGGAGAGTGATTATGTGAGAAAGGGTTTCTATTTGTTTCCTCCCATCTTCCTTCCCTAGTGTAAATGCCCCTCTTTCAACACTGCTCTTAGCTTGGGGGTGATGTGGAGATTCCTACTTTGTGGAACTTACATCCACTTTAGGAGGAAGCAACTTAATATGGTAAACAAAATTGGAGGAAAAGAAGAAGCAGTATCTCCCAGAGCTTTCACGATTTTCAAAGAAGCCTTTTGGAGCTGCTGATTAGCAAGACAAAAATTTGAGGACATCATAATCACTGAGTGACTTTCAGCCCAATTACTATCACGTAACGTAACCTTTCTTACAGACTTGTTGTCAGGATGATAAACATGTGTGAACACATTGACAGAGGGAAGAGACAATTTAATATATGGCAAGCTCATCCTGCTTCATATTGACTGGGGCTGATGTGCAGTTCAGCACATCTTCAGAACATCTGGAGGGCACCAAGTTGGGGAAGGCTGGTATAGACTTCTTTTGTGCTTAATTTGAAACATTGTCTGTTATAGCATTCCTAAACTTTCCTTTATGTGCTGGAGTACAAAGTACATCCCCACAGTTCTCTAGTAGAGAAACAGTTTGCATTATAAAAACTGGAGGCTATTATCCAAAGATAACAACTGCAATCTAAACAAAGAATGAATTCAGCCACACTTGCATGCTGGCTTGCTGTCCTGGCACAGTCTCAGGTATGCTTCCCCATGTAGAGATAACAACATTGTGACTATTTTTATGTATTCATGCCTACTGATGAAAAGCAAACTGTGCTTTGGACTAGGAGTAGGGTGGCCTCTGGATCAAGGCTGAAGCCAGTCCTTGCTGTCTTGAAATCGTGCTTTGCTCAAAATGAAACAAACAAAGCACAACAAAAGATGTGGGCAGCTTTATAGAATGTGATGAATGAGGGTGAAGAAGAGTGTTAATATCAGCACAGTTCTTGCATCTCAGACATGTGCTAATGTCCATGTAAACCATACTGTCTGTTAACACAGGGACTGGGCACACACAAATGCACATACAAAGCGATTTCAAAGTATTTTGGTGAGAAGCTTATATAATGTCATAATCCCCATGTGGGATCCATCCTATCCTATCCTATACATTTACCATATCATTGCTCACTTAAAGTGTTTAACATTTCTTAAAGTGTCTTTGTTCATGATGGTCCAACTCTACATGTAGATCAGCTCAAGCAGGGCAAGAAAGTCTACTGATGGCAAGCAGTGGCACTACCATGATTTTAAAGATATTCTGCTCCCCCTGCCCCCTGTACACATTCTGCTCTATACACATGTACTAAGTATTGACGTAATAGAAATGTTAGATAGTACATAGCAGTCTACAAATAGATCTGTCCTTGGTGTTGTGTTAAAATTTACCACCATTTATATTTAACACACACACCTGTGTGTGCTGTTCTCCATCCTTGAAAACAGGCAACCTTCATTGTGGAGACTAATAGAGGAAACGCCTTTAATCATGGCTTTATTTTGGAAGAGAATATTGTTAGGTGGCTGGGTCTGGTTCAAGGAAGTACCACTTGATTGTTTGTCAAAATGACTGTGATAAGAATGTGTTGGTGCTTTGGCCTCTGGTTTTTTTGTTGGTTTGTTTGTTTTGGTGTTTTAATCAAATAAACACTTAAAATGTTAAAAAAGACCTTAGGTTAAAAAGTTTGCCGAAGTTATTTTTTATGAGCCATTTAAAGGAACAGGTTGAATCAGTATACCAAACAAAAAAGGATTTTTAGTGTTTCTAATAGTTCTTTCACATTACTTTATCTATGTTTGTATTTCCCATCATTCATTCAAATGATCTATAATCCAACAAACTTCAAAATAAAAATAAGATCAATTAAAAACAGCATAATTAAAGTACAGAATAAATAGAATGTCACTAATGCAAGTGTTAGACTCTATGCTGTGTCATCCTGGCTATGCTAATGACTAAGAACATCTGAAGGGCCATGTGTTCCCTAGCCTCAAATTGATCAGGAAAAAAAAAAAACAACAACAGGTGGAACATCAGCTGTCCATTTCCTCCAATGCTGTATGAAAAAGTCAGATTTTGACATGTCATGCAAAATTCATAAATAAGAAATTCAGGCACATCTCCTGAGAAGGATTTCTATAGTCCATTTGTTATTACTGGGTAGGCCCTGGCCTGTGTTACCACTGACTGCACTTAAACTGCTAAGGAAGCACAAAGCAGAAGCTCATTATCTGAGCAAATGGGCATGCTCATATGGAAGCAAGCAGATTTGATAGCCTGGACCCAGCCTATTTCAGATTTTAAAATGCAATACTAGCACTTTAATTTGAGTGTAGAAATCAGCTGGGAACCATGGATACATTAATGTCCTCTGAGCGGCAAGTCTTAATTTTAAAAAATGCTGTCATCTTCTGGACCATTTGTAGTTTCCAAACGCAGCTTGCAGTAGTTTAGCCTGGGCATTACTAGATATAATCCAGGCATTGCCAGGTTGTGAGTAACATTAGCCAGATCTCCCTTACCTAGGAACGGCTACAGTTTTCTCCCCATAGCAGCCACTGGAGATCCAAGGGCAGGGCTGAATCCAGAAGCAGCCCCAGTCTCAGACTGAAGCTTTAGGGCATGTACAATCCCTTCCAGGACAGATTTTACATCAGAGTGTCTGATCTGTCAACACCTCCATCTTGTCTAGATTAAGGGCTCATCCAGGTAGTCTCACCAGTCATTAGACTTCCACTGTAAATCACAAGCTGACCTTCTGTGTAATGCCCATCCTGTGGGAGAGAATTACCACTACATGCAGCAACCTTCTGTCCACACTAGTAAGCTGAGATATGACCAAAACGCCTTGGTCACTCCCACCATATTTGCACTCAGGTGGGTTGTTTCTTCTCCAGAAATGTGCTGTTGTGAAGTTCTAAAAGTCTGAAGGTTCATGTTTGTGCTTTAATTCCCCTGTACATGTGTGATACCCTGATATGGGTCAGAACCATGGTGTCCAGGAATAGACATTTAAACCATTGCCATGACACACCAGTTTTTCCTCAAACATTCCATGGAGGAGGGGGGGGCGGTTAAATGAAGGGAAGGAAACATCCATTCTAGTTATTTTCTTTTTTAACTCCCCCAAGGATGGGCAGGACAGGACTCTGCAGGGAAAGCACTGATGTTGGGGAAAAGGTTTAATGCTCTCCTCCTGGAACATCTGGTCCAGATCCAGTGCCACATATGCTTATATAGGAGTACAAATGCAACTATAAATTTAAGAATTTCAGAATGTGCACTTATGGAAAAGAAGAAAAGAAAAAAGGAAACCTCAAAACAAATCTCACTAGTTCCCTCACATCTACCACCCTCTATTTTGTTGCTGAAGCAGGAGTATTTGTGTTGTGGGGCTAAGATGAAGGAAAGAGCAGCAGGAAGGGTAGATATGATCAGCTTCCTGGGTGAAGGAGAAATGTGGCTGCCTGGCCAGACTGAAAATGAAAATGTCCCCAGGAAATGTTCTTTGCATGCCAGTCAGTCACACTTCCACAAGGCTCGAGAAGGTTGTGAATCAGGCATTCATGCCACTGCTTTTTGTGGATCATAGTATACCAGCCAATAACAAAATTTCCCTGGTGTGAGAAAATATGGTAGAAGTCCATGGAAAACATGAAATGACACAAATTACTGCAAGAGACGAATGACATTAGACTAATGACATTATGTAGCCCATCCAAAACATTCTGGAAACAAGGCAAGCTGGTAGCATCCCATTTGGAAATCTCAGTATATTCACTTTTTATGTTGAGCATCCATCTTTACACCCAAGTAAAGCATGGTAATGCATGTTATATCATAATACATTCAAGTTAAGTATCTGAATTTAGAAGACCTTAAAATGATGATGGAACTCCAGTTAATACAGCCATGTAAGGTCAGTTCAGCTGACTTCAGTGAGTCTGCTCTGAATATCAGGAACCAACCGATTGTTTTCCAGCTACATGCCAGATGATTGCATCCTTAGTGAGATGGAAATCATATGTATAAATGGCCTCTCTGCATGCACTTGCCCTGCTTGATTCCTCTGTGCATCCTCAGTTAGATGCTTTAAATACTGGCAGTCAGCTGTTCAGAATGTGAGGGAGGTATCTAGATTTAGTCTCCTCACACTCCTCTCTCTGGCAAACAGTGGATGTGTCTAACTGTATTTGTTCATTCCTCCTTCATGTTGTATGCTGCATTGTATTATATATACATTTTTGTTCCTCTGTAGGTACAAAAATAACGTTCCCATCAATGTCCATGCTCATCCTGGCAAATACGCCATTGAAAGTCGGTATGGGATGCACTCCCTGGAAATTAACACGTAAGGGAATAGCAAATAGCTTCTTTTCTTTTTTTAAAAAAAACCTTTTCACTTCCTGATTTAGTATCCATTTCCAGTGTGCATATATAAATGTGGTGCCTTTTGAAGGTGGTGCTGCAGAGTGAGCAATGTCAGAATGAATGAATGAATGAATGAATGAGTATGGCTGACAAGCCACAGATCCTACTGGTGTTAGGACCTTCACAAATTCTGGTTTCCCGTGACTGCAGGGGGCACAACGAAACCTGCCGATCCTGCTCAAGCTTCATATTCTGGGATGCTGTTGCTAGAAGAGCAAAACGTGTTTATGTTTATGGGATGTAACCCTGGAAAATGTGGGAGGAAGATCTGGATTCAATGCTATCTTGACCTACTGGGACAATATCAATTTGTCAAAGCTACCAAAATCTTCTGAGTCTGAGTCCATTAAAATACATGGTGTGATTATCCTGTGATGTGATGTGATGTGATGTGATAGAAAAAAAAATCCCATAAAAATATGTTATCCTGAAAATATATATATAAAGGGGATAATGTTATAATGAAAAATTAGTACAGTGTTCTTTTTAGGAGTTAACAACCAGGACAGTGTATGTTATATGAGTCCATGGCACCCAAACTTAGACCTGATTTTGTGTATGTTCACCCAGAAGTCCACCAAATGCAGTTATTCCCAGTAAATATGCTTTTATTTACAATCTTAGTTTGGAAATTTGATCATAGTTAAATTAAAAGACACAAGATAAGTATGCTACACTTAACAGCACCTTTAAACTGAAATTGATAGTAAACTGGTTGTGTCAGCAAAGAGAGAGAAGTCTGTATATGTAGCATTCAGATCTCAAGTTCTTCCCTGTAAACACTTTGTGGAGCATGCAAAACAGACAGGAGTTGCTCTTTATGTTCCAGTACAATATTTTAGAGTGTGAGGTGATTGTTTCTGCATAGTAGATGGAGCATTGCTTTGGAAAATCCTTTTCAGTAAGAACGTTCTGTTGACTAATTATGTCTCCAGGGAAATCCAGTCTCAAATATGCTGATTTACCATCTTCTATCACTGTTAACGGCTAAAATAAGTAGTATAAGCATCTGTTTTATTTTCTTATCTTGATGTGAAATATGTTTTTCTTGCATTTTCTGACATCTTGTTATCTTTCCCCTCTTACCCTCCCACTGCTTTTCCGCATTATCTGGAAAAGAGGCTTTATTTCTATAGAGAAGTTCTATAGAGAAATCACTAAATATTTAAATTGCTGCACTTAGCAAGTGATACAATCAGTGATGAGGAACACAGAAAGGTTTGACCTGTAAACCTGCTTGAGGTTATAATGTGTTCTAGGAATAGCTATCTTGATGCCAATTGTACATTAGTTTACTTGTAATGCCAAACCATAGCTTTGAGTTTAAAAAGAGTCCCAGACTTAAACACTCTGTCCCCCACTCCTCTTCTCTTCACCACTTATGCATTCAGAATAATTGTTCTTGATTTTCAGCACACCCTAAAAGCTGCATAATTGGGGTTCTAGATCACATTGAGAGCTGACACAAATACACCATGCTTTCCACGACAGCCTTCTGTGTGCAGAAAGCACTGGGGACTCACATGAGGACACTTTGGAGCAGAAAGGGCCAGCTGATGTGTCCCCACTTTCCCTCATGTAATTCTAATTCAATCCACATAGAGAAACTGTACTCCTGAGCAGGACAGACAGTGTCCCACACTTGCCGGGTAAGCCAGGATTATAGACAGAATTTGATTATGACTTGCCATCATGGCTTGCAGGGCAAGCAGAAACTGATCCAGGAAAAGTTTTGAGCAGTATTGGCCTTGGATCAAAAGGCACTGCTGGAAGAAACAAAGAGGACTTATGTGAGAGGCCAGCAGTTGGGGAGAGTCCTAACAATTGAGTGAAGTAGTTGATGCCTAGAATGACTTTTGTTTTCAAAGGGGATATTTAGCCAGATGCTAGACATCACTTCCAGGAAACAGACACTACCAGCAAAAAGCCCTTCGTTGTTTCTGCTCACCTGAGAGAAGCTATTGGACAATCTTTCTGCCGGATCAAAGTGCTGCCATGAGAGGCAGTAAGAGGAGTTGTGGGATAGACCAGTAATTTAACCACTAAAATGGCTTTTTTGTTAGTGAAGAGTGTTTACCAAGTTCTCGGCCATCACTCCCAAGAGAGATGGCAGCAGTGGCACTCTCTTGTCGATCTTGGTGAAAACAGGACCAAGTGGGTGGAGCTCATTGCAACGATGCAGTCATCAGAGTGCTGTGAGAATTGCTTAGGAAGGATGTTTTGGCAGACGGGAAGTACACATTCTGCATAGCCACAAATGGTCATCCATAAAATAAGGGTCAGAAGGAGATGGTCATAGGAGAAACCCTATTTGTCACTCTTCTTTTGGGCAGTCTTCCAAATAGCTGTACCCTGGTAACTTTTGTACCAGCTCCTGAATGCTTCTGAATGCCTGGTCAGTTTATGGGACAACATCTGTCATCTGGAATTTGATCCTGGATGAATAGGCTAACTTATGTATCATGACAATTTGGTTGGATTAGATAGGAAAAATGACTTGTCTTGGTTATCTTCACTAGGTTTTTCCGTGGAGGAGTGGCATCAGGAGGTGCAGTTCTAGTTGTCTTTTAGGATACCATTGCCCTAACCTGGCCCTATCCACCCTTTGCCAGGTTTTGAATTGGTGCTCTGAAATTGGAGGTTCAGGAAAGGAGAGGGATCCTACTGGCCATTCTCCAGAGGTCTCCCTACCTCAGCTGGTTAAGGTGGTCTTCAAATGAGTCCCTCAGGCTGGTCATTTCTGGGGATTTCAGTCTCCATGCCAAGACATCCTGCTAGGAGCAGCTGAGGAGTTCATAGTAGCCACAGCACCCATGGGGCCTGCCATAGGTAATTTCTTGTGTGGAAAATATATAATAGGATATGTTACTGCATGGATGCTATTTGGTCTTGGTTGATATCTGATCCCCACCTGCCTACATTGCAGATATAAATAATTTCAGCAATGTCAGACTATGAGCAGGTAATGTTGTTTGTGTGAGAGGAGGAATGAAATAATTAGAAAAGTGCTGCCGTGTCATCATATACTTTTTATTTTGAAGGTGCTGTTACCTATTGTGTGCCATTCCTAAACTAGGAAAATAAATGAAAAAAGCATTAAGCTAAAAAATCAGATGTATGTGTGACACTTAGAAAGCCTGGTAGACATTGGGGTGACCACTGATAAATTAGGATTTTTCTAGAATTGGTTCAGATCCTGCATCAGTGGCATCAAGTTCTGTTCTGATACAGAGAAGGAAAAGCCTTCTCAGTACCTGAAAAATAATCATACAAGAGACACACTTCAGTGCTGAGACAGAGCCAACAGGTTTGGAAAAATAATAACTAAAAAAGGAGGTGGAAGGAGAGAAAGGAAGGAGTTCTTAAATATGGCTAGGCATTAATATGGGAAAAAATAAGATATGCTTGTTGATGTTTGTGAATATAGTTTTGTTTTAAAAGCCTGTGCCCTTCTATATTAGCACAGAGGGCGTAGGAAGAATGAATATTCCCAGATGTTAAAAATAGCACAGACACTAAGAGAATGAGATGCTAATAACTCATTATTTCACAGTCCCCATCTAGTATGAGCTGGGGAAAGTCATACAGCCACATCCCACACAACTCTGCAGACTGCAATAGTTGAAATGAAGAAGAACCACAGTTTCACAACAGAATAGGACACAGAAATTGCTGGGCGTGGGGGAACCTCGCCCACTCTGAGGAAAGACTTTTAGATTACCTTTTAAATTAATAACTACATTTATGTAGCATATGTAACCTGCAGCATACCAGAGAGGGCAAGAGAAACTATTGCCTTGAACCCTAGAAAGCTGCTGCAACATCCGTGTTGATCGTATAGATGGACCAGAGGTCTCCCTTGCTATAAGACAGATCCCTGTGTTCATCTTCCCAGTTTCTCTGCAGCCCTAAGAGAGGTTTTAACATTTGTTTTGGTCTAACAGGATTAAAATTCAAGTAGCAATCTGTGATTGCAGATTGCCCTTGGTGAATCAAGTAGTACATGTCCTGAATCATGAATTTGTTCTCTTGATGGGAACTATCTACCTGAATGTATTTGTTGAAAAGACAGATTTGATTAGAATGAGTGAATTAATGTTAGCCAGCCCCCTTTTTTATAGTGCGTGCATGCACACATTTGTGCGTTCAGAGGTTAGCTAACAAGTGTGCTTTGGATTTGGATTTTAATTACTTTTTTCTGTCTCAAATAAAATATTAGGTCAAGTAGTTGATTTCTGAGTCATCACCCTTTTCTTCACAATATTAAGAAGGCAAAAGCAGCTGGGTTATATTCTTCTGCATAGCCTGAAAAATCTAAGTTCTCATCTAGGCATCTATATATAATATTGGAATAAGTTCCGGTCTCACAATTCAAAATAAATACCTTTGCAAAGCTGCCCCACCCTCAACAATTTCTACAACATATTATTAGGAAGTAGGTCATTCAGTAAGCAGATAAAATAACTTTTTTGTTCTTACCTTGTCTTAATGATGGATCCTAATCCTACTCTGAAAGTTGTGTTAGAAAGTGACAATTTCCCCTGATAACTAGAACATCGTCTTTTAAGTTCTTAATAGACACTAACAGCAAGGCTAAACATACCTTTCAGGCCACTTTTGTCAGACTTATTAACACAGGCTCATTTCATCAAAGCTGTAGGGCTTCTTCCAAAGCATTTTTTTTCACCTCGTAGTTTATTCTGTCAACATGAAACTATGTTGTACGTAATTGTTCACATATCTTCTTTGGGCACTAGGAAGATTCTGTTTTCTGGAGAAGTTATGTGAAAAATGTTTTCCTATAAAATTTAATTATGTGTCATCATGGAATTATTTAAACAAAAATAAAATTGTGACTATCAAAATAAATTCAGCATATAGTTCCCAGAATAGCATGCAGTCTGACATGGGCTGGGAGGGATAAGGATGGGAAATGATGAAAACAATTTCCCCCTCCCATGTGCAAGTTCTTTATGGTCAAACACAGATGAATTGGGATCCAAGCTACTGTTTTTTTGTTTTTATCTTGGCTCATTACCAATCCTGTTGCATAAATATGCAGTGCAAATATTCACTCTCCACACATTGCTTCAAGTGAAGTTTATCTGCCACAGTGAATAGTAGCAGCCCATTTCCCATGATCTCTTGATTCATCTCATATCCATGCTTAGGATGAATGAGATCCTGACCCCCTTCTAAGCAGAGCTCACAAGATCTAAGTCAAAACATTTTTAAAGATTCAGGTTGAGGTTTATCAGTGCAGAGGATATAAGAACCCACAAAAATATTTTCCTGGTGCAATGCAGCATTCTAGTCCATTTCTTCATTGCTAAAAGACAACCCTGCCCCATAAACTTAATCAAATTGTTCCGTGAAGAAAAACAGAACCACAAGAAACTGCTTTAGTGGAGAAATTTGTTCCCAAGAGGAAGTATTAAGAACCTGAGGTAAGGCTGAAAGAACTAAAAGACGATCCCTTTAACAGTTGCTTTTCTCATTTCTCTTTCTGTTGAACCCTTCAATAACATTCCAGCACTCCCCTTTTACCAGCTCTCTAACTACTTTGCTCTATTCCTATTAAACGATCCCTGCTATCCTCCTGTGTTCTGAAAGAGTTTGGCTGATATCTGGCCCCTGCTAAATAGAAGCTGAAAATACCTTGGATGTGCAAATTTGAGCTGAGCAGAGAAAGTGGAACTGAGTGTGGGAGAGTCAGAGGGCTATTAATTGTTTGCCTGCATGCATTAGGGCCAAGGATATTTCTGGAAGATGGGGCAAAATAAAAATCTAGTATAGTGTCATACAGAAGTGCGTAACTACATTGGTTGCTGGTAAGAATTAAGAAATAATGACTGAAATCACAGGAATTAATGCAGCAATAATAAAATAGTTTTATGCAGGGAGCATTGGACAATGGTCAAATTTAATCCTCTTTAAAAAAAAAAAGAAGACGAAGAAGAAGAAGAAGAAGCAAGTTGCTTGTTCTGGATCACACTCTGCTTGTAAAAAGCCATCATGAAGCCTACTCATTCTCCTCAGAATGGTACTATACAATTATTTCAGAGCCATGGGCAGCACAGTCCTAGGGCTCACATCAGCACTAGAAGTCTGTAGGATACTTTGGATTCCCACCTCTGAGACCAGAACATTTCTCCAACCTCGTAGTTAGGAATCTGCATGTAAATTCCCCTCCCTCCCTTGCAGCCTATGTAGAAAGCACTGTGCCAGTTTCTTTGAGGTCCTAAGGATGATCTTGGAGAAATACTTGTGGGGGCATTTGGGGGAGCATTCTGGGGAAAGGAGGGAAAGGACTGGCACTGGTAAGATACATGATGCCTCCCGCTCCAAACTGCAAAGTGCTTTGCAGAATGGGAGGAGTGCAGAGATGACCTTTGCTTCCAGCTTCTCAGTCCCCTTCATAGGATGTCTGCAATGTAAAAGGTTCAGAGCATTCTGATTGGATGGTGCCCTGAATTAGAGGTAGTCCCTTTCTGATATGTTTGCATTTAGTTGAATAAGCACTCCAGTAGGATAGATAGCATGTTTATCAACACAGAGCAGTGTTTTGCCTAATGGTTTAGGACACAGTTTATTTAAAAATGCATAAATAAACATTTTATAACATTGAGTTTATAACATCATGCCATGGCTGGTGACATTGACTTTATTCCTAATCCTCCATTCTTTGCAGATGTGCGTTTGATGATACAGCCCAATATCGTGCTTCTGCTATGAATGTAAAAGGAGAACTGTCAGCCTATGCTTCTGTGGTGGTGAAGAGTAGGTTTGCTAAAAATGCACTCTGGATTTTCTAGACTTCGCTTTTTCTGTATTTGCTAGCCGATGGGTAATCACACTTCTTGTGCTTTTCTTTCCTAGGATACAAGAAGGGAGAATTTGACGAAAGTTTTTTCCATGCAGGAACTGCCACACTACCCCTGAGTTGTAAGTTGGTAGCTGATTAATTACTATGGGAGTAAAAGCACAAAATCTCCCAAGAATGCGATTTGATAGTCTCAGTTCTTGGAAATCTTACCTGTGCTTTTTAGGAGACTGAGTTCTGATAATGCCATGCCATCAGTAGATGCAGCAAGCTCCTTTCTTTTGATAATATCAAGTATGTTATAATATTTCTTACTAATATACCTTGTGGTAAAAATATCAAATATACATCTTATGGTTGGAAGAATCTTTCTGTTCAAGCCTTTAATAATAATACAAGGAGAAGCTGTGTATTCTGCTTCCAATATCTTTATTTTAAACATAGCTTGGGCAGAATATTTTTGCCCAATATATTTTTGAATATTTCACACTAATATTCTGTCATAGCTCTTGCATTTCTGTGACAGCTGTGTTCTATTGTTAGATTATTTTTTTAGAATCACCTCCACGGTAAATCCTGTCAATTTGCTGGGGGAGAAAACAAAGGTTAATTCAGATTGTGAACCATCATGCAGTCAAGAAACCTGATTTTTATGGCTTAATGAACTTGCATCAGAAATAAGAAGCACAGATTGTATTTTCATCTCCCTCATTCATTTCCCTTACCTCCAAAGTATTAGACTTATAAATATTGAAATTTACTGCCTCTGTAACCTCTGCTCATCAAAGCAACCCCAGTTTTATTAGGTGAACGAAACTGGTAAAATACACCCAGGATGCTGGCTGGTAAATTCTGGAAATACCCCAACAAACATAGGATCACACTCCAAATGTGATGTGGGAAGACAGTGATTTGCAATCCCTAAGTTTGTAGAATTAATTTCTTATAATGGAATTCGTTTACTTTTACATGGTCTTTAGAAGTAAAGGAAGCAGAAAAGGAACAGAATACAAGTTTGTTTGTTGTTTTTTTTAAGGCAAAAAGCTGGGTTTTGATGTTGTGGCTGACAGGGTTCACCACAGACTTGCCTCTTATTCCTAAGGGAGATAAGCACATGCTGTCCTTAGTCAAAAAAACAGGAAGTGTAGCCCATGTTGATTCTTACCCATAAGAAGCTGTCCAACCAAAAGAAACACAGTTAGGGTTTCTCAAATCTGTCTTTAAATAGACAGAAATAATACCACTTGAAGATCTCCATTTTTCATGCAGAAGAACCTGGGCTTTAAAGTAAGAACTCCTAAGAGCCATTGTTAGGACTGAGAAAGGGTCCAGAAATCTTCAGATCTCACAGAGTTGTACGGCAGAAAGTAGTGAATTCATCTAAAGCACTCATAGGACATAAGACTGAGTTAATGTTTTTAAATAACAGCATGGGGGGAAATGCTGTGATTTGAGGCTTCTGCTACTGGGCAATGAACACTGATGCAAAATGGAATTTAAATCCACCAGGCCCAGTTCACACACAAAACTCACTCAGTCCATGATATGCTGCGTTACTCAGAGATTATCTGGCAGAAGATTCAAGAAACCTGTCTGCTTGCTCAATATATCCCAAATGCCTCTGTGGTATTGTAGTACTGACATGCAGAGCACCTGTTTTGTTTTCTTTCTTTCTTTTTAACTGCTCTTGCCAACATCCCATTGTTTAAATAACCTAGAGCTCCCAACCCAACAACTAGTGCTAATAAGGGTTAGTTCTGTTAGGTTTGTGTATCACAGTAACCCAGAATTCAACAACCAATCTGATAGGTAAGCATTATGTGAGAAACAGGCCGTACACCCAAGCAGACTTGTGCAATGGGATTTGTAGCCCTTAAAACTATGTTAGTTGATCACACTTAGAAAATTGGGTCAATGTAGATCATTTCCATTACACAGCTTACATTAGCTTTTGATTCCATCATGCCCTGTTTTCAAATGGATCTTAACACTAGAGAGTTGGGGGAAAAGACTGTAAAAAAGCAACCATATGGGTACCTTTGAATGATTCAGCCTTGATGAAGGTAAAAGGAGTGAGCATATTTTTCCTTCTTACAGTTGGTGTTACACCCCATGGCTTTGCTTCCCGGTTTGAAATCTACTTTGAGGATGCATTTGAGGTTGCCTTTGGAAGAGAAGGTGAAACAATGAGTCTGGGATGTACAGTTATTATTCGCCCTGACATCAAGCGCTTCCATCCAGAAATTGAATGGTACAGGAATGGTGAGTATGCAAGGCTTCTTCCTTGCTTGACGAGGACTGTCTTTGCATAAGAGCTGTCATGATTCCTGCTCTGTAGGAAATGGGTGTAAAGAAGCCCATGAATTAAAGTCTGATAGGGCTGACTCCGAGAACCCACTCTAGTAGTGCTGCTTGCATTCTCAGATTGTGTTCCTCGTCTTGTGTATCAGTATAGTTATTCCTCATCTGCATTTCTTCATTTGCAGGAGTTCTGATTTCACCATCTAAATGGGTAAAAACACACTGGAGTGGCGAAAAAGCTACACTGACACTGACTCATGCTAACAAAGAGGATGAAGGCCTTTATACCCTCCGTGTGATAATGGGGGACTACTATGAGGAATACAGTGCTTATGTTTTTGTTAGAGGTAAGATTCAGTGATACCACAGTATGAGTTGGAGGCGGTGGTACTGCTGGTGAAGACTTGTCAATCATGTGTGAGTATGTGTGTGAGAAAGAAGGCAAGTGTGTGTGTTGTTATTTATATACAATATATATAGATCTCTCTGTATAATAGTCTATTTTCAGTAAAGCACTTCTGTTTTTGTTTGTGGTAAGATTTAGTAATATCCATTGCTGGTATAGTGTAGAACTTTGAACAGCACACGCACGTATTTCTCAAGACTTCATAACGTCCTCATTTCCCATTCCCATTCTTTAGTAAACTGGTGGTGGAAATCATAGGAATGCATGTAGAACTGCACATGCACTTATGTTAGTAAGGCTCGCCAGTGCTTTGAGATAATCACACGCTCTCTGAAAAGGCTATTCTGCTTGCCCCATGTGCCTGCTTTCTCATTCATTGTTGGAACAGAGCTTTGTTGTAGTTGTTTAAACAGGGCTCCAGAGCTTTAAGGTAAAATAGCATTATATTTGGGCAGTTGGTGAATGTGGGATGGTGGAAGACTACAGAGAGACCAAAGGCTGGCATTCAATGTATGAATTTAGCAGGGCCATCTTGAATAGAATCATTGAATCCCAGAATAGTGGAGTTGAAAGGGGCCTTGAGGGCCATCCGGTCCAACCCCCTGCTGTTGCAGGACACCAGCTGACTCAGATGGCTGTCCAGTTTCTTTTTGAATGTCTCTAGTGTGGGAGAGCCCACCACCTCTCTAGGCAGCTGACTCCACTGTCTCATTGCTCTGACAGTGAGGAAGCTTTTCCTGATATCTAGCCTGAATCTGGAATGTTGCAGCTTGAATTGATTATTCCATATCCTGCACTCTGGTAGCAGCAAGGAGAGATCTGATACATCTCTGCTCAAAAGGAAGCCCCCTGAGTAAGTTCCAGAGAACTGCAGCCTACTGTGCTTTTTTTAAAAAATAAGGGTATAAAAAACAAGCATTTTGGAAACTACACATGACTTCTTATGGCAGCATTTCTATACAGAATGTATATTTTGTCAAAGTGGCATAAAAAAAGAAGTTGTAAATGGGCTGTTAAACGTGACTGCAAGAAGAGAAGAGTATACCAGTTAGGAAAGTAGAGAGGAACCTATGGTGGAACACATCTTTTAAGATTTTTGAAGGACTTTAACAAAAATAAGGGCATTGTCACAGATAGGAACTTGACAATTCCAGTCCTACCCACTACAGCAGGTATTTCACAAGACGCTTATTGTGTGCTTGATGTTCCCTATTGTTTCCGGGTTCTTTAGATAATGTTTTGATCTTCTGTTTTTGCTTCTGTGTCAACAATATTATCTAAAATATAAAATGTATTTAATAGATAAATAGTAAAAGAGCAATCCCTGCCAGCACTGCTATTTTAGAACAGAGGAAATGTGGCATTTAATTGTGAAAGAAAAAGAAAATCTCTTGTGTACTTGTGCTCTTCCGCTATACCGCAAGTTCACATAGAGGTTATGCAGCCAAAACACCAGGAAAGAAATGCTGCACGTACAGTGGTTGAATTTCAACTCAGTGATATAAGTGAAAGTGGAGACAGAGGATTAACAGCCAATCAACAGCCTTATGTAGCAAGACATGATATCAGCATGTTAGTGAAAGTCTGCCTGATGGAAATGATAAAACACTGAACTGTGTAAAGGAAGAGTGTAGAACTGCAGGTTGCAAACCTCTCTCACCTGTTGATTTTGCCCTGCAATTCTTTTCCATACTTGCATTAGTGTTACAATACAAATATATGATTGGGAACTGCAACATGTAGCATGGAATAACCAATATACGGTCAAGTATTCCAAGAATGGATTTTTGATGGAAGAAAGTGTCAGAATGTGTGTTTAATTAAAATAAAAATTATGGCTGTAATGCTAAAGATGTAAAAGGGTATACTCAGCATAGGATTTTATGAGGATGTGTTGATCAGTAACATTTGTTGCACTTTATTGGGATTAGCTTGTCTTAGATTTTTGTACAATGTATACAGTTTCTCATGGAGAGAATGTCCCTTCAGAAAGTGCTTGAATGTCTCTTGAACAAGTGTTGAAGTGATCACATTTCACTGGTTTATGCACTGACCCAATGTCAGTCTCAGCTGTTGGAGGCAGCTGAAGAGAGTAAATGCCAGCCCTGGAGGTTCTTCAGATTCTTGGCTTAGTGACCAAGCTCAGAATGGCGCCAGTTTGCCCTCTTCAACAGCACCTAGGAAAATACAGATAACAGTCCTCTTGCAGAACATGCCCAAAGGGTACATGGCCATCAATCAGAGAAATTCCCAAAGGCTGCTTATCTGTGATGTCATGAAAACCAACAGCCATTGAATCAACTAAAATATTTGTACTGACTAACCATTCTTAATTTTCTGTGGCAGCACTATATCTTTGAAGCAGTGTTTTTCACATTAAAAAACATACAATCTAGGAGACTGTTCTGAAGAAGCAGCATGGTTCTAGAATAACCTTCCCTAAGCTAATGCCTTCCAGATATTTTGTACTACAATTCCCATCAACTGCAATTGTCTGCAAAGACAGCTGTTGTTCAAGACACCTGTTGAGTCCCAGATGGACAGTAATGAGTTGCCCATTCGTGACATTAATCTGGTAGTGAAAGGAAAGTCTGATGCTGCAAAGATCTATCCTCCATAGGAACCTGGAATGTAATATTCATGAATCAAGGCAAGCTGGATGTGGTCAAACAAGAGATGACAAGACTGAGCATCGACATCTTAGGAATCAGTGAACTAAAATGGACAGGAATGGGTGAATTTAATTCAGATGACCATCAGGTATACTACTGTGGGCAAGAATCCCTCAGAAGAAATGGAGTAGCCTTCCTAGTCAATAAAAGAGTAGGACAAGCAGTACTGGGATACAATCTCCAAAATGACAGAATGATCTCAGTTCGAATCCAAGGCAAACCATTCAACATCACAGTAGTCCAAGTCTATGTCCCAACCACTGGTGCTGAAGAGGCTGAAGCTGACCAGTTCTATGAAGGCCTACAACACCTTCTAGCATTAACACCCAAAAATGATGTCCTTATCATCATGGGGGACTGGAATGCTAAAGTAGGAAGCCAAAAGATAACCAGAATAACAGGCAAGTTTGGCCTTGGAGTACAAAATGAAGCAGGGCACAGGCTGGTAGAATTTTGTCAAGAGAATACGATGGTCATAGCAAACACTCTTTTCCAACAAACCAAGAGACAACTCTACACATGGACATCACCAGACGGTCAACACAGAAATCAGATTGACTATGTGCTCTGCAGCCAAAGATGGAGAAGCTCTATCCAGTCAGTAAAAACTAGACCAGGAGCTGACTGTGGCTCAGATCATGAGCTTCTCATTGCAAAATTTAGGCTTAAATTGCGGGATTGGGGGTTGGAGGCACTGCTTTGCAGTGGTTCCGCTCCTATCTCGACGGTCGATTCCAGAAGGTAGTGCTGGGGGACCATGTCTCTACGTCATGGCAGCTATGCCATGGGGTACCACAGGGCTCCATTCTATCCCCTCTGCTATTTAGCATCTATATGAAACCGCTGGGAGAGGTCATCAGAAGGTGTGGGCTGCGGAATCATCAATACGCTGATGATACCCAGCTTTACCTCTCATTCTCCACTAATCCAGGTGAGGCAGTGGCTGTGCTGAACCGGTGCTTGGCCAAGGTAAGGGAATGGATGAGGACCAATAAACTGAAACTCAACCCAGACAAGACGGAGGTCCTGTTGGTTGGTGGATCGGGTTTCAGAGAGGGTGGATTTGACCTGGTCCTGAATGGTGCAACACTCCCTCTTAGGGATAAGGTCCGCAGCTTAGGAGTACTCCTCGACCCGGAGCTTTCTTTGGAAGCTCAGGTGACAGCGGTAGCAAGGAACACCTTCCTTCAGCTTCGGCTGATTAATCAGCTGCACCCCTACCTGGAATACGACTGCCTGGCGACGGTGACACACGCGCTGGTGACTTCCCGCCTAGACTTCTGTAACGCGCTTTACGTGGGGCTTCCCCTGAAGACAGTCCGAACACTTCAATTGGTGCAAAATAGAGCTGCCAGGTTGCTGATGGGGTCGGGGCGTTATGCTCACATGACTCCAGTCCTCCATCAGCTTCACTGGCTTCCCATTGAAGCCCGGGCCCAATTCAAGGTGTTGATTATGACCTACAAAGCGCTAAACGGCTTGGGTCCTGGCTACCTGAACGAGCGCTTACGTCCGTATATGCCCGACCGCCCTTTGAGATCTGCGGGAGAGTCCCTTCTCCGGGAACCCTCCATGAAAGAAATTAGGAGAGTAAGTACCCGGAGGAGGGCTTTCTCTGCAGTGGCGCCCAACCTATGGAATTCACTCCCCAAAGAGGTCCGCCTGGCACCGTCGTTACTGGTTTTTCGGCGCCAGGTAAAGACCTTTTTATTTAAACATCATTTCAATTGTTAAAACATATGATCTGGCCTGGGCAACTTCTTCTTCCTTCTCTTTCTCCTCCTATATTTTTATTTTATACTGATAATTTTAATTTTGTATTTGTAAATCAATGTATTTTTTGTATTGTTATATTTAATGGTAATTTATTATGTACTATTGTATTTCAATGTATTTTATCATGTTGTAAGCCGCCCCGAGGTTTCGGCAAGGGGCGGCATAGAAATGTAATAATAATAATAATAATAATAATAATAATAATAATAATAATAATAATAGAAGAAAGTCGGGAAAAGCACTAGGCCACCCAGGTATGACCTAAATCATATCCCTGATGAATATACAGTAGAGGTGACAAATGGATTTAAGGAATTAAATCTGATAGACAGAGTGCCTGAAGAATTATGGATGGAGATTCACAAATTTGTCCAAGAGGTAGCAACTAAAACCATCCCAAAGAAAAAGAAATGCAAGAAAGCAAAATGGCTGTCTGAGGAAGCTTTACAAATAGCTGAGGAAAGAAGGGAAGTGAAAGGCAATGGAGAAAAAGAAAGATACACCCAATTGAATGCAGAATTCCAGAGAATAGCTAGAAGAGATAAGAATGCCTCCTTAAATGAACAGTGCAAAGAAACAGAAGAATAGAAGAAAACAATAGAACAGGGAGGACCAGAGATCTCTTCAAGAAAATTGGAGATATGAAGGAAACATTTCATCCAAGGATGGGCATGATAAAGAACCAAAATGGCAGGGACCTAACAGAGGCAGAAGAGATTAAGAAGAGATGGCGAGATTACAGAGAGGAACTATACAAGAAAGAGCTTAACATCCCTGATAACCATGATGGGGTGCTCACTGACCTCGAGCCAGACATTCTGGAATGTGAAGTCAAATGGGCCTTAGGAAGTCTGAGCAACAACAAAGCTCACACAAGTGACAGCATTCCAGCTGAGCTATTCAAAATCTTAAAAGACAATGCAGTAAAAGTGCTACACTCAATATGCCAGCAAATTTGGAAAACTCAAGAGTGGCCACAGGATTGGAAAAGGTCAGTTTACATTCCCATCCCAAAGAAGGGCAATGCCAAAGACTGTTCGAACTACTGCACCGTTGCACTCATTTCACATGCTAGCAAAGTGATGCTCAAAATCCTGCAAGCTAGGCTCCAGCAGTATGTGGACAGACAACCACCAGAAGTACAGGCAGGATTTTGAAGAGGGAGAGGAACCAGAGATCAAATTGCCAACATACGCTGGATCATGGAGAAAGCTAGGGAGTTCCAGAAAAACATCTACTTCTGATCATTGACTATGCTAAAGCCTTTGATTGTGTGGATCACAACAAATTGTGGCAAGTTCTTAAAGAGATGGGAGTACCAGACCATCTTATTTGTCTCTTGAGAAACCTATATGTGGGTCAAGAAGCAACAGTGAGAACTGGACATGGAACCACTGATTGGTTCAAAATTGAGAAAGGAGTTCGGCAAGGCTGTGTACTGTCGCCCTGCCTATTTAACTTATATGCAGAGCACATCATGAGAAAGGCGGGCTAGATGAATCACCAGTTGGAATTAAGATTGCTGGGAGAAATATCAACAACCTCAGATATGCAGATGATACCACTCTCATGGCAGAAAGTGAAGAGGAACTAAAAAGCCTCTTGATGCGGGTGAAGGAGGAGAGTGCAAAAGTTGGCTTGAAACTCAACATTAAGGAAACTAAGATCATGGCATCCGGTCCTCTCACTTCCTGGCAAATAGATGGGGAAGAAATGGAGGTAGTGACAGATTTTATTTTCCTGGGCTCCAAGATCACCGCAGACATTAAATTAAAAGATACTTGCTCCTGGGGAGGAAAGCTATGGCGAATCTAGACAGTATACTAAAAAGCAGAGACATCTCCCTGCCAACAAAAGTGCGTATAGTCAAGGCTATGGTTTTCCCAGTTGCAATGTATGGCTGTGAAAGCTGGACCATAAGGAAGGCTGAGAACCAAAAGATTGAGGCCTTTGAATGGTGGTGCTGGAAGAGACTCCTGCAAGGCAATCAAATCGGTCAGTCCTAGAAATCAACTCTGACTTCTCTTTAGAAGGCCAGATCCTGAAGATGAAACTCAAATACGTTGGCCACCTAATGAGAAGGAAGGACTCCCTGGAGAAGAGCCTAATGCTGGGAACAATAGATGGCAAAAGAAGAAGGGGACGGCAGAGAATGAGGTGGCTAGATGGAGTCACTGAAGCAGTTGGTGTGAGCTTAAGTGGACTCCGTGGGATGATGGGGGACAGGAAGGCCTGGAGGAATGTTGTCCATGGGGTTGCGATGGGTCGGACATGACTTCGCGACTAACAACAAATTGTTTGCAAATGCATTTTCACTAGAAGGGGATAAATGTGAAGTGTAATCTGGAAAGTGACTGAAAAACTACATCTCTTTGGGAGCCTTGTCATACATAGACATGAACCAATAGTTTCAATTAATGAACCACATATTTTGTTCTTTCCTGTTTCCAGATCATTTTATGATTTTTTTAAAAAGTCTACACAATAACTTACATACATTTTCATATGCATGAGCTTGTACATTTGTTAATTTTGTTGTATATATTTAACTCAAATATATACTTTTTTGGTAATCAATGTTCCCTATGTTTGCATTCTTGAAAATTAGTATTCTTGATATATGCATTTTTGTTCATAGTTTCTTCTTATGCATTTTTAATTGAAGTTCCACTTCACACAATTCAGAGAAGGAGAATTTCATTCTTGTTCATATATTGGGTTAGCTTCTATAATAGATGGACCAAACTAATTTTTTTACCAACCCTGCTTATATACATAAATCTTTACATTGTGGGGGTTTTTTTCCATTTGCCCCACTCCTTCCATTTTACAAGTTTATAAAATAGCACAGAACCATATAAAATGGGCACTCTGCTGTAAATAAGAGTGAGGATGTAAATACCTTTTCTACCTATATAAACTACATTGTTTGTCTTCTAGTGATAGATGCTTGCTGTCTGCACAAATCGATTATACTATAGATGTATCATCATGCATATGTTTCTAATAGGCTCTGCAAATATATACTTCTATGATGAATCTCCTAAAATAAGAACTGCCCAGGTTTAAGTTACCGTATAGTTAAAACATGCTATGAAAGGCAGTTTGGTAGTTAAAATGTTGGTTCAAGATTGGGGAAAGCCATAAAGGTGATCTAGAACAGTGGTGGGCAGAAAGAAGATTTAGACTTTAACTCCTAGCATTCCTGAGCATTGGTCATACTGGCAGGCAGTTCTGGAAGTTGATTTGCAAACATTCGGAAATGTCATGTTTGCCCTTGCCTAATCTAGGCCTGTTGACTACCAGTCAGCCTAACCTGGAAGCAGAAATGACAAAACTGAAGCTGCTATACGTACATGGGCACATCATAGGAGGGCAAGACTCACTGGAGAAGACAATCATGCTAGGGAAGGTTGAAGAGAGAAGAAGGAGGAAACCATTTATGAGATGGACTGACGCTATAAAGGAAACAGCAGCCTTGAATTTACAAGCAGGGCTGTCAAGAACAGGGCATTTTGGAGGCGATTTATTCATAGGGTCACCATGTCTAAATGACTTGATGCTGCTTAACAGCTTTAATGCCGCTTAACAACCCTATCTCACAGGGTTGTTCTTAGGGATAAATTAGTGTGTTGGACCCTATAAGTCAACATGAGCTGCAGGATTTAAAAAAAACATCATGGAAGTTGATAAAATTGTTTTTATAATTCCTGTAATTTAGTGGTGATTTAGCACCAGGCAGGCAAAGATTCCAATTCTGATTCTAGCATAGACATATTTTGGCCTTTAGAGAATAGGACTGAGTTAATTTGACTCAATTTATTAAAATGCTTCCCTCCATCCACATAGATGCTGATGCAGAAATACCAGGAGCCCCTGGTGCTCCACTGGATGTGCAGTGTTTGGATGCTAACAAGGATTATGTCATCATCTCCTGGAAACAGCCAGCTGTTGATGGAGGAAGTCCAGTGTTAGGATACTTCATTGATAAGTCAGTATTTATATCAGACTGAAGTTGCAACTTATTTTGTTGATTGCATGGCCTTAAAGATATTTCGATTTTTGTGAATATTGATGCGTGTTCTGCATTGTTGATGGGTCCCAATGTATTAGGTTCAGTGGGGGGCAGATGCCTGCTTTTTTTGACTGAAACCCCAGGCAGTATCCCCCAGGACACAGTCAATAATGCAAATTACATTAATGCAAGCTATGCTAGTGCATTGTCCATAGCATCAGGTGGCATGCCAATTTCCCATTAGTCCCACCTGAAAGTTGCCAATTCCTTCATGCCTTGCTGGTCCTATCCCGAACCTCTACACATAAAAGTGACTGTCTAAAACAAGGAGCTTGCTTCTATAGAGCCATATGCTCATAGTTGCCCTTCTCAGACATGTAGCCATATACCCTGTGATTGGGTGGAACTAGGAGCATAATCTGCTTCTGTCCTCCATGCTTAGTGAAGACCTGTGAAAGGGGCCCATGAAACATTGTGTAGAAACCTGGCTAAAATGCCACTTGAGTAATCTGAAGGAATGAAGCCTTCTTCATGCACGACAGTTTAACAACATGCATATAGCAGTCCGATAAGCACATGTGCTCAGGGAGAGGCGGCTCAGGCCTCTCAGTGCCTGAAAATGGGCTTGAATGGCAGTCTGTGACTATTGCTCCTTATCCCTCTGCTTGCTCTGTATTAGCAAGGTATATAGGAAGAGAGAGTCCTGCTAGATCAGACTAACTTATTCCAGCATCTTGTTCTTGGTAGTATCCAGCATGAGGCCTGTGGGAGGCCCAAACTGGATAGAGAGAATAGAGGCTAATCAACTTGTTTAACTTGTTCCCCATTGAATTAGTTTGATGACATTGTTTTACATGTTTTCTTTTTATTTTAATTTATGAAAAAGGAGTGAGTCTGCACCCAGGTCTCACACAAAATATCTGATTTCTAGCAGCCTTGAATATGTTTCATTTTTAACAATATATTTGGGGTGACCAGTGGGCATGCTGAAAGCAGCATCACACATTAGCATGTATTTGGGGATATGTTCATGATTTCCTTGTATCAGTAAAAATTTTTGTTTTTTCCCCCTTCATCTTTCAGATGTGAAGTTGGTACTACCCAGTGGTCCCAATGCAACGAGACTCCAGTGAAGTTTGCTCGCTTTCCCGTCACAGGTTTAATAGAGGGGCGCTCCTACATATTCCGAGTTCGAGCTGTAAATAACGCTGGAATAAGCATTCCATCCCGTGTTTCAGAGCCTGTGGCAGCGCTGGATCCTGCTGATAGGGCTAGGCTTAGAAGTAAGAACCTTCCTAATATATCTCATCAAGAATTGAAAATCTAATTTAGGGAAGTGAAGAGTTAAGTGTAGAACATCCCACTAGAGGGTGCAATAATAAAGCAAATACTTGGCTCTTCAAAGTGGAATTTGCCATGAACAAAAACTCTTCCATATTTCTCATAACATTTATTTGCATCATGGATCATTACCTGAAATAGTTAGCATAGGGGCCAGGGCCAAGACCAAGCTCTGACAGATGGCTCCAGCACAACAGAGAATGAGCATTTTATGCTGAAATATATTTAGATTAAAGTTTTCTCTATTCGTGTTTCATACCACTTCAGTTAAATAGCTATAAATATCTTAACTTTGTAGTTCAGTTCTGAAGGGCAGGAAGCAGGGGAGAGTGCTGAGCAGAATAATTATTTTTACTGTTAAGGATTGTTCTCATGTCAGAGATCTATCTTGAAATCTACCTTCTTCAACATTTCTGGCCTGGGCATGGTTGAATGGTGCTGAAGCATGCTCCCTTGATCAAAAAGAGATTTTAAAGGCACCAGAGGAAGCATTCCCTATACAACTTTAGCTTCTGTTTAATCTTGTTGTTTGTTCATTGTTTAATTTGCAGGGATATGGTTTGCCACAGTTTAGAGCTCATGTATTTAGAGTGTGAAGAAATGTTCATGTTAACATGTGGCGATTGTTTGCCTAATGTAACTGAGTTTATCTAATCTCTACATCTGTTTCAGGTCACCCTTCTGCTCCTTGGACTGGACAGATTATTGTCACTGAAGAGGAGCCTACAGGTAAATTTTACAGGCCCATCTTGATCTGAACTTGTCTTTGTTTTTAGGGCATATTTGCATTGCTGATCTCTAACTTTTTTAACATGACTTCCCTTGAGAAACCTTGTGTTCAGACTGTAATTTTGTGATTACTCCTTTGCTGTTTAAGATAATTATCAATATTGCTTTTGCAACATATTGTTTACAACCATGTAAACATGTAAATTTACAAAAACTATGTTGGGTCACAAATATTTCATTGTGATGATATTTTTATTCTTCTTGAAGGGAAAAATGAAGGAAATAAAGATCTGGGTGTAACCAGAAAAATAGGTATTTTCAGCTTCTAGCCTCAGGTTGTTTGGATTCAGAGGGCTTTTAAGCCATACCCATAGTTTTACAGGCTCATCTGCCCCCTATTGCATCATGATAGCTTTGCTAAAGAGGCATTAATTATATCAAGTTTCAGAAGGGTAGCCATGTTAAATGTTTTCTAGCAAAGACAACAGAGCTCCTGTCCTTAACACTGGCACTTTCCAAATGGAGAGCACAGTAGGAATATCTGACCTGTTCCTGAAAAATCTAAAGATCCTGCTGTGAAAGTGGGGAGCAAGCCCCTTTTCTCAAATAGTGGTCTCTCCCAGTTTTAAAAGCCTCTGGCAATTTGACCTGTGTCAGAACTATCATACTTGCATATCTGCCTGCAGCTGGGACAGACACTGCATGGGGAGCGAAGCTGCTGGATTTCGCCAGGAGACACCCCGCCCCCCCAGCCCCAGTGGCTACCCATTCCAAATCTAGTGGTCAGGCTAAAAAAAGGAGTGCACATTATGTGGCGTGTGTGTGTGTGGGGGGGGTGATGATCACAGTCAGTCCCTCCAAGGTACTGTGTGGGCTTTTTAGAGGGGCAGCTTGCACCTGCCCAAATGGGGATCCTGAAAACTGATGACAAGTTGCCAGGAAAAAAAATGCTTTAAAAGCTGTAGCAAGCTGAAATTTGCTCTCGGTGGCAGGGAGATGAGGAAACCTCAGTTTTCCTGTGGATACCAAGGGAGAAAGCATGGAAAGGAGGAGGCACCCTACCTGATCGTTTGTTGGATGCATTTTGGGTGGGGTACCTTGTCCAGCTCCAAACATGGTGTGATAAAAATGAGTGTCCCTATTTGACCCACAGGAGACAGAGCTGAGGAGGCGCTTGATGAGTTGCTCTCCAGCAGTTGCATGTTGAAATCTGCCGTTGAAGTCCCTTGGTTCAGTAATGGCACCTCATCTTCATGGATGGAGTTCCCTGGGAGGCTGAAGTGTTGAGCCACTTTAAAAAAAAAGTCTTGCCATTTTTGATATCAGATTTGTTACTTTGCATAGAGCCTAGTCTCTTTATCTGATTCATAATGCTGGGAATTGATGGCATAATGAGCAGGTTGAACAGGTTGTATGAATCCCTGATGTTATGTATGGCATTGCTTCAGCCTGTCTTTCTTCACTGTTTTATACAGAAGGCATCGTTCCTGGGCCACCCTTAGACCTTCAGGTTACAGAAGCCACAAAGAATTACATTGTGCTTAGCTGGAAACCTCCTTATGAACGGGGTCATGAAGGTGTCATGTATTTTGTTGAAAAGGTAACACATCAGTGTCAACCCTCCATGTTCCTATCTTTTTCCTCCAGGGTATGCTTTATGCCAAGACTAAGAATGTACATATTTTTCAGTTTGAGCTATTTTTTATTCCACATGAAACACATCGAAGATAGCAGAGAGCAGACAAGGAAAAATTGAATAGGTAGTGAAGGCCTCCCCATAAAGTAAATGGATATCAGTTTCTTTCTTCAAGATATTTTGCTATAAATTACCTTTCTTGATGAGACACATATATAGATATAAGAGCAAATCCCTGTGATTATGTAAGTTGATCAGTACTTTTGTACTAATCTTTAGAGATGGTATCACCAATTTGTCAGTTTTAAATTTGTTCTCTGAGCATTTCATGGGGTGGTCTTAAGGGGAAAGCAGTTTGCAAACAGGGACGTGCCCACTTCTCTTTCCTACTACAGCTCCCTGTGCCCCTAGAATCTGTTCCTGAGAATCAGAGAGCCCTTCTTGCTCTGCTCACAGAAGGTGACTCTGCCCTCTTTGGCAGAATTCCCCCTCCTGTCATTGTCCCTCTGCTCTACTGTACCTCAATCTGGAGGACCTCTAAGAACCTAAGACCAGATTTTGTGTGTGTGGGGGGGGGGGGTTAAGGAGGAGGGGCAGGAAAGTTCCCTTGTACAAATGTCTTTCAGCTTACAGCTCTCTGGAGCCAACCCAATACAATAGTTTTACATCTCTTTCAAACAAAATTACAAAACCTAATTAATGCATGCTCCTGCAGTGATAATTCTGTTTCCTAACTTCAGTATGCTTTATCTCTTATGTGCTTTCGCACTAATCCCAATTCTCTGCATTCTTTTGGTGATAAGATATTCTTCAGCAGTTTACTTGACCTTGCCATTTCTACCATGCGGCATACATGAGCTGAGCATTGCAGCCTCTTTCTTCCTGATACTCTGCTTTCACTTCAACTTCCTTTTCCCAACAGCCTTTTGGGATGGCATTGCAAGAGAAGAAGAGGCCATTCTGGGGTGACTTGCTGTGGTGTAACTGTACTAACTACTTTCAGCCATGTGTCATCAAAGCAGTCTTTATTTCTCAAAATAGGCTACATATGACTTGTATCTAGGCTACTAGAGAACTGGAAATGAGGACAGCATTATCCACCCAGCACCAAACTTGCTTTGTTGCAGTTTCAAAGAATAAGATTGTTCTTTCTAAGAGGCACCTTAACCTGCTTGTCCACCCACAAAATGTTGCAGCTTAATAACAGAGCACGGTGAAGCACTTGCAACTCTCCTTTCTGTTGGAGAGGTTTCTGCTGCAAGGTCTTTTGTTGTGAAAGGTCTACTTTGTCCAGTTCTGCCATTTTGTTTTCAGTGTGTTACAGGGACTGAGAACTGGCAAAGAGTGAACACTGAGATTCCTGTAAAATCCCCTCGGTTTGCACTTTTTGACTTAGCTGAAGGCAAGTCCTACCAGTTTCGTGTCCGCGCTTGTAATTCAGCTGGAATTGGTGAGCCATCAGAAGCCACTGAAGCCACAGTAGTTGGTGACAAACTTGGTAAGTGTAAATTACATGGAATTACTTGTACTTTGTAATTGACAGACTTGGTAACTCTGGGGCATTCCAGCTCAGCAAAAGAGGATTGTGGACTTATCTTTTTGCACCTGGCTGGAATTGTATAGGATTTTTCTATGTTGAAAGTTTTTTAATGAAAGCTCTGACTGGTGCTGGTCCTCACGAGTTCAAGAGAGGCAAGGCAAGGGGTAATGGGAAAACCATAATTGAAAAAATAGCAGTTAATTTATTATAAATACAGACTTAGTCCAAAATATGCTTGTTCTAGAATTGTTCACCCCACCTGTAAAAATTAAAAGGCTCTTTTTTAATAAGGAAGACAAAAATGTTGCCAACTATGAGTTGAAAAGCAAGGACACTGGCCTTGACACACGTTCCAGGAGGTGGCACTGGCAGTCTCCCCCACTTTACCCACATATGGTGGAGAAGAAGTCCTGATTCATTTACTGGATAGAGGCCATAGGATAATGAAATGGTTTGCTTGGCCAGTTCCCAGACTCCCTAGCAATTAGCATGGCCACAGTGATGAATCAGGCCACCATACTGCAAAATATCATTGCATCTTGCCAACTGAAGAAAGCAGAGTAACAGTAGTTGGCTTGGTGCAAATACTTCTGTGTACTCTTTAGGGGATTCTGTAGCAGGATCAACTTGTCTGCCCACCCCACTCCTTTTGTACTCACTGCAGCTTTCCCCTCTCTTTTACCCACATCCATTTTAAAGAAAAGTTGGCTGGCTCTCAAAACTATGGTTCATTTTTAAAAGTCTCCCCTGCTACACACGCAGGGCTCGCTATCCCTTTTTCACGGGGATGAACTAGTGACAGCCCCTCCAGTGTGTCATTTATTTATTTAGGAAGCTTCTATGCCGCCCCATTTGCCGAAGCCTCGGGGCGGCTCACATCACTTGGGCACTTTGAAGAGGCTGACACTAGCTGTCAAACAAGACATTGCTTTTTGCAACTTCTGAAAAAAAGGGGGGGGTAAAAGCGGGGCAGATGTTAGAATGATCACAAAATGGCTCCCAATCACAGGGTGGGGCATGAAGCCAGTGCCATTCACTTCCACTTGGGCATTGGTGGGCAGCTAGCATTGGTCATGAGAAGGTTTTGCAAGTTTTGCAAAGCAGATCACTAGGGATTGGTTACTTGAGTTTGGACAACCTGACAACCCATTGTGGGTGCCACAGCCTCTAGAAAAAGCCATGGGTTGTCAGGATGACAACATCCTGGTCAAAGCACTCTGGGAGCTCTAGGTCTTTTCACTGTCTAAACAAGCATATGATTGCACCATAAATGTCTTTTATTTTCCTTGAGTTTGTCAACCTTTCATACAATCTACAGACAGTAGTTTATTAAAAAGTGTCATAGTTCCTCTGCTATTAAATCAGCAAACAGCGAATATAAGGGGTGGTATCCAAAGCTTCCATTCCACAAAAGGAGGGAGCTTTTTCTGCCAGAAGGAGGGCTCCTTCAATGGAGAGAGACTTTCCATGAAGCTCTTTCATTCATGGAAAGGAACATTTGGGTCTACCAAGTGAAAATATATTGTCTTGTGAAGTATAGGTTCTCCATATGTGTCATAGTATCATATTCTGCATGGGTCACACAGGCTATCTTGTGTACATAAAACAAGGTTTTTTCTGCTCAATTACTTGATGGAATTCAATACTAACTTTACATTAGCTCAGTGGTTCCCAAAACCTTTCTGTGGGCCGTACCTTTAGAAAATGTTAGATTTATGATTGCACCCCTATAAAAGTAATATCACATTTAAAGATGAAGAAGTCAAATTTCTAATTTTTCAACCTCAAATTGAACCACATACAGTACTGTGAGTTAACAAATTGAACTCAAAAATGAGGTTTTGACTCAGTGCATAATATTCAAATATAAACTGAGCAATTAGAAGAAAATGTAAACAGCAAAATCAATTCCAATTTTAAACATAAAATTCAATGACTTCTTTCTTGCTGCTTCTCATTCACAGTTTTGTCAAAACATGGAACTTTTCTGCTGATTGCAATCCCCAAGTCTGCCTGTGCATTCAGGAGATTCCAAAAAATTTGCCTTGATTTAACAAAAGAGAATTGAATCCAGATGCAAACATAATAATAATAAATAGTTTTACTATTGGGATAATTTTTGGTGGAAAAGTCATGATTCAGCAATTTTGGCAAACTGCAGCACAGCCCAGGATAGGAACCCCTGCATTAGCTTATGCAAGAGAAAAGAAAAGTAGGAATCTAGTGTTTTCATGTCCATAATGGTGACTATTTCTTTATTGTGGTTCTTTTTATCTCTAGATATTCCAAATGCCCCTAGCAATGTTGTACCCACCAGAAATACAAATACCTCAGTAGCTCTCACCTGGAATGAACCAAAAGATGCAAAAGAACTGGTTGGATACTACATAGAAGCAAGCAAAGTTGGATCTGGTCACTGGGAACCATGCAACAACAATCCAGTAAAAGACACAAGGTGGTAGATTAATGGATATTACACAGATAAATTTTGTGCTTGAAAATGATCTACAATTGCCTATTGAGGATTGCCCAAATGCAATCTATTTTAAGAGCATTTTGTTTGCTTTTTAAAACTATGCCTTTGCCTCTGGTTCTGCCATGCCTTGCTGGTACCTGATCCTTGTGGGATCCCAAACTTGTCTTCGTCTTTGCCTTGATGTACCACACCTTATTGGTATCTGACCCATGCATATGCCTGTCTTTGGCTTTGGCTTTGGCCCTGCCATGCCTTGCTGGGTATCTGGCCCCTGCTTGTTCCTGAGCCCGAATGCACAGTGTGTTGTGTGAAGGGGCTATCAGGAACATGATGGAGGGGGTGAGGCCAACAAAACTGTCCCTGCTTCCCTCCCCTCACCATGTGATGGGGAAGGTATGAGGGCAAATGCCTGAGCAGGGCTACTAAAGAATTTCCCCAGAATTATATTTTCCCCTAGAACTGCCCCTTGTTAGGGACCCAAAACTAAATATTCCTGCAAAGCTGTGTATGACTGATTATTTACTTTAGTGGAGGCATACAAAATGCAGTTTGGTGCTCTCCAGAGAATGGTGCTCTAGAGGGAAATTAAGTTTCCCCCTCCCATTTTTATCTCAAAACTCTACCCAGGCAGAGTGGGAGAAAGAAGGAAAAATTCTAGAATTGATTGAATTTCTAAAAATTTTGTTAACCTCATCCCATACCCACATCCCCTGGAAACAGCAAAAGGAAAACTAAAGTCTTTCTTTCTGGATTGCCATGATCTGATCCAAATTAGGACTGTGAACAGTTACACTAAAGTATATAATCCACATATAACTTTTCTATGGGATGCAGGTGGTGCAGTGGTTTAAACTGCTGTGCTGCTGGGCTGGTTGATCGAAAGGTCCCCGGTGCGAATCTGTACAACAGGGTGAGTTCCCGTTGCTGCATCCCAGCTCCTGCCAACCTTGCAGTTTGAAAGTATATAAATGCAAGTAGATAAAAAGGTACCACTTCGGTAGGAAGGTAACAGCGTTCCGTGCACCTCGGTGTTTAGTCATGTTGGCCGCATGACTACAGAAACTGTCTGCGGACAAATGCGGGCTCCCTCAGCTAGGAAAAGGAGATGAGCACCACCCTCTAGAGTCAGACATGACTGGACTTTAATGTCAAGGGGAAACCTTTACCTTTACCTTAACTTTTCTATGAGTGATTGGGGGAACATTTATTTTGGCCCTTAAATTACTCTGAAATCCTTGTGCCCCTCAAAAGAGTGTTATCCTAGTGCAGGATATCATAGAAACTTTAGTGAATAGGTTTGCAAAATCTGAAACATAATTGAGTGGTGTTCCTTTTGCTGTTTTATGTAAGATTCACTTGCCATGGACTTATTACTGGAGATCACTACATTTTCCGTGTGAGAGCTGTTAATGCAGCTGGACTCAGTGGATTTTCCCCAGAGTCAGAAGCAATTGAAGTCAAGGCAGCTATTGGTAAGTGACCTTGCATTCCTATAGCAGAAGTGGGAACTAATATTTATCCTTTATATATTTGGCGATACAATTAACTAACTGTATTTATTTACAGTATTGTTTGTACATATTGACTATGCATTAGTAATATCTGCTATTCACTTTCATCATTTCAGTCATACAGTCACTGTGCACTTGTAGACTTTTCACCTTCACCATCCCAGAATTCCTTGACTGTGTGCCCTGTAACTGTGTATGAAAAGTATGTTCACCCCACATCATTCTGTGAAATGACCTGACAGCCTGATTCTGTAATGTGGTATATATTTCATCTCGAACATGCCCTAGCTTTCAAAAGCAAGCTCATTAATTTATATGCCTAACTGGCTTCATTCCTTGACTCCACTTATACAGTTTTTCTCATGCATTCATGTTCTGAAGTCTTTTCATGTTGCGTGTTGTTGATAACAAGTTTGGCATAATGATCAGTACCTGCAAACTGTGACATACTTCATAATTTCAAAGGAAAAGCTCTATGATGCATACATTGTATCCCTTCCAAGAATGTTAACATTAATTTAGTATCATTAATGATATATTTAAAAATAATAGTGTAACATTCAGAAAAAATAACTGCATGCAAAAATTGACTGCTGAGATGTAAGCTATTAGATATCCAATCAATATTTTATATTTTTACAACCATATTGCTTAATGCCTTTAACCTTTTACTGTCCTGTCTCTGTCCTGCTATGTGTCCATTTCTTCATTTGGTTGAATAATGGAGAATTGGGAATGAATGAACTCTAATTTCAAATGTCTCTGTTATTTTCTGGAAATTATAGGGGGAGGATTGCTTCATGGTGTATGTCCTGGACTAAGTGGTAAAGCTGATGGACTAACAGACCACACTACCAACTGGGAAGGCATGCATGAGTCCTCCCAGCCTATCTTTGACACAGATGCTTTGTTAAAATGCAATGCTAAACCTAACAGGCAAACATGGCCCAGTAGCTCTGGTAAGCAGAGGAGTCCAGCAGACAATAAAGTGAGTGAAACAGTTCCTACACCTTCGGCACAAAAGCCAACTACCAAGCAGGCAAGTAAGTCTCATCCTGGGAATCGTTCAGCATTGGAGACAATGAAGAAGAAAAATGATATAGGTGAGCTTTAGTCATGTGCCATGATTTCATCACGCTAGTGCCTTCATTTCAGACAGTTATCATCTCTGATCACCCAAGCTGCCAATCGACACCCTCGGCAGTGCGACATTTTTCATCATCTCCATCTAATAAATGCTCAGCTCTTCATCAAAGATCATGATCTAGAGGGGTAATTAGGGCTGTGGTGCATATCTATGTTGCATCTAACAACAAGCTTGCATGTTGCATTTATTTGCTAATTGCTTAGGCTTAGTATTAGTCTTCTTATTATTTGGGGAGGAACACGTGGAGCTTCTGAGTCAGCTTGGTAACATTTATACATTTTAGGGAATGGGTAGTTTTTCCCTTGTTTTGTTTACTATGGTACAATATATCTAGGACTTTATGTTACTGTTTAGTACTAAAGGGGAGATCAAGTTGTCCATACTGTATTTTATATATCATTAGCAATTTTGTTATAGGGTTGGAGTTAGGTACAGGTATTTGCCTGCAGTTGAGGATTTGGTCCATTTTTTACATTCCTCTGTAAGCTGCTCGAGGAGCTCTTCAGGTAACAAGCAGGGTTAAAATGCTATAGTTAAATAGATGAGGGACAACCAGCCTGGGATCCTAAAAGCACTTGTGTGCAAGCAGTATTCAAGGTAATAGAGTAGGCCGCTGTAAGTCTAATTGTCTCTCATAGTCTTCAAAATGGTATATGCAAATCACATATAAATCTGCCCCAGATAGGAGGCTGTTCACCACCCAGTCAGAGATATTAATCTACAATCTTGAAGAAGTTAAGAGTTCTGGCCACTGCCCACCATTCCAGTCTCTTAAATAGGGTTAGAAAATAATAGGCTATACATACCATTCTGTGCATTGCAGAATCATAGATCTGGGGCAGGTTAAAAGATCATGCAATCTTAGCTTTTGCTTTGAAGGAGGGTTGCCAATCCACCTTTGTCCCCTCCTCAGGTATACCTGAGCACACTGACCTGCACATCACAGGCCACAATGCTTCTACAAACAGAGAGCAAATGTATTTCATAAAGATGATTACATGACAATGGCTCGTGCAAGTGAACCAAACCGTATGTTGCAAACACCAACAAACAGCTAGGGTCCCTGGCCTTTTAACTAGAGTCTATATGTCAGAGAGCAAAAATCCTTCACAATTCCCAGATGAAGCAATCAATGGTAACATGACTGAGTTGGTAACAAATCCCATCCACTGATTGGTAACAATCCCTACTTTATGCCATCATTTCCCAGACTGATTACTGGTGCTAGGGATAATCCGTCTTGTGCAGAGAATCCACCGGATTCTCTTGTCTCGGCTTCCCAGACTCCAGTCCATTAGCAGCGGCCCGGAGTCTGAGTTCCTGGCAAGTGTGCCCGAGGCTTGTGGGGATCTCTCCAGGAATCAAGCCAGCAGCTGCAAGCAGGGAAGGAGGCCGGCCACTGGGAATGGTGGCTGGTGCGCCCACTCACTGCGTCCCCTGCCACGCACACTGCAGAAGCGGTGCCCACTTGCACACTGCAGCAGTTGCTCCTTGTGCCGAGGAAGGCTGGTCGCAGGGCACTCAGTCACAAGGCAGCTGCCAGGAAAGCAGTCCTGCCCAGTCACCCCTTGAGTGGCTGCTCTTGTGTGTGAGCTGGCACTGCTTCCATTCTGGGGGGTCCCCTTCCTGGCAGGCAGTCCATGACCGGGCACCTGCTAGGAAAGCAGCTCCTCCCACTGACTGCTGCACAAGCAGCATTTCTCTTCCATATCAGCTGCAGTCCACCTTTCGGGCTGCTGCAGCTGACATGGAAAAATGCTGCCGGTTGCACAACTGGGTCCCAGCCGCCGTTCACAGACCTCCTCTGCCTCTGCTCTCTTTGGGTGACTGGGCTGGGCACAAGAGGAAGCCCATGAATGCTTGGAGGGACGGTTTCCACAGGGTTCTTCCCATGCCCAATCTTATGTAGGGTGGAAGGAGTGCAGAGCTCAAGTTGCCTATCATATTTATACATGTCCTGGTAATAGCAAACTCAGTGTGCCATGATTTCAATTTTAGTTACTTGTTATCATAGTTATATTTATATCCTTTTTCAGCTTAGAAAATTATCTTATTAGGTTCAATACACAGCCTGACACACAGGCACACATGCACACATACAATCCTAAAAGCTAAAATAATACAAGCTATGCAAATTGTTTAAATAGTTAATTGAAACTAACGGATTTCTCTTTATTTCATGAATGCCACAGAGGGAGGCAGAAGGTATGCCTTGGTTTATTCATACAGCTTCACAGAATCTGCTTAGAAATCCTTGCTCCATCTGGTGCTGGTTCTTATCCTTTTCACTAATGGGGCAGTTAGCAGGATGTCTCCCACATATAGTTTTGCAAAAACAAAATGCATTTCATTACAAGCAGATTTGGTCTTCTAGAGGGTTCTTTTTCTAGTTACATTAGTTTTCTAGTTAATTTTTATTCAGGTTAAGTTTTGCAGAATCTTCTACAAAAAGATTCAACAACTGAAAAGAATGGATTCTAATTGAATTATATCCAAAAGTTGGTGTCCTGACATAGTTAATATGGAGTTGTGGCCTAAAGGCTCTGCATCAAAATGACACCACAGAGGAAGTATTACATGAGAATATCTAACATTTATCTGTTGCTAGATAGATATTTCCTTTTTCCTCTGCCTTGTCATATTCAAAAGTGTTGCTCCAAATATTTTCAATTCTTCTGTTGGACTTCTGTGCCTTGTTTTGTACATATGCTTTCTCCAAGCTATGTGTGCCTAGGTGTGTAATCATAGCATTAAAGAATATTACCAAATACGAGGTGTAGCTAAAAGGTAAGGAAACATAAAGGTTTTTTTTTTAACTATGAAATAAAATGTTTAGATTTGGTAAAACCGTTGATGGCTCTAGTACTGAAGGATTTTATTTTTAAAATTCTACCATGATTTCATTGTTTTGAAACAAAGACTCAACACTATATTCACAATACATTCTCAGATCTGATTTGTTTTTCACATGTTTCACAATATATATTCTTCTATGTAACATGAATTTTAGGGAAGTCTGTATTCCTTACCTAAGAAGTATTACTGCAGACTGCTGGGATTTTGCTTGGAAGGGTGAAATATCTGGGTAAATCTGAATAAATCCAAAAAGTCAGTGTTTGACTAACTCAATTCATTTGTCCTAATATCAAATTGTTCACTCTAAAACAGCTGCTCCTTCTCCACCTTATGACATCACTGTGCTTGAAAGTGTTCGTGATGCAATGGTTCTTGGATGGAAGCAGCCAAAAGCTATCGGTGGAGCTGAAATAACTGGCTATTATGTGAATTATCGGGAGGTGATTGATGGAGAACCCAGGGAATGGAGAGAGGCTAACATTAAACCTGTTAGCGAGAGAGCATACAGGGTAAGAGAATAATGTTCATACTGTTGGACATTTGTCATCTTTTTGAGGGATTCCCCCTTTTGCCAGGTGCCTCTTGGGCCCCATCCACATTGTTCAGGAGGGCCCACTGACTGTCTGGAGAGACCCTTGGGGCTGCAGGTAGGTGGAGAAAACCCTTTTCATGAATGTCCTTACAGGTACAATGTTATACAGGCTCAGGCAGAAAAACAGTTTTACAGCTCCCAGCCATGGAAGTTGTAGGACTTTTTTTTCTCTAAGACTATGACATCACATTTTTGAGTGTATGAATGCTATTTCCATTGTACTGATTTTGTTATATGCCCTTCTTTTAGAAATTTTTCATTTCTAATCATATCTGTGGGTAAAACGGTTTGCAAACTATGGCCCACTGTGAGTTGTCTATGGAAGACTTCCTGGAGAGTCAAGGACATACATACTTGCCTGACACTTGGTTTATTTTTCTGACAATGGAGACTGAGGCTGTTTTCACCAGTGCCAGATTCTTGAAAAGGTTAACAAGGCCTTGGTCTAGGACTCATAATATGGGTAATACAGTACTAGTGCAGTCTACCATTTTTTCCTCTGAAAATGTAGCAGTGAAGGAGGATCTTCTCTGTAGCCCTGCCTAGGGCATGTGATTTTCATAATGTAGTACTGGTTTTGATTATGATGTAGCACTGAAGAAAGTAATATTGTTAAAATATAAATTATGTATGTGCTTTGTGTTATAGAAAGTTCAGTAAGTAGTCCACCCAGATTCTAGCGGTTTTGTTTAAGGGATGGAATGGGGAACAGAGAAACAATGTGTTAAGATCAGTGGAATATATGATTTGTTTGTATCTATGGATAAATTAATTTAAAAACATCCATCGGATTGTACTGCCAGAAAGCTACTTGGTTTCCTAAAGTGTGCCATTATCTTTATACCATCTTAAGCCTGATGCCAAGAAACAAGTTAAGGCTATTTCTAGGTCAATCCTACAAAATACGTAGTACCTTTTAAATGCTTAATTTAGAAAGCATAGAAAGCAATAAATTGAATGAATTCAAACTTTTCAATTAAAGAACACATGAAAACTGAATTATTTGTTCATTGAAATGTAGCACAGCATATTAACATCATTGTATCCATGCTGCAGGTGCATGACTTGAAGGAAAACATGACATACCAGTTTCAAGTAGCTGCTGTCAACATAGCTGGGGTTGGAAAACCTTCTCCAGCTAGCAGACCCTTCAAATGTGAAGAATGGTCCATCGCTGTTCCAGGTTAGAACTGGAAGCATGTCTTTAATTGATAGGGGAATAGTTCTTCAGTGTGGTATGTCAGATACAACTTTACACAAGAGAAGAAAGGAGCATGTGCTAACTGGGAAATATTGAGCACCTGCAGGATGAAATGTCATGGATTTCTTAAAATGTCATGTTTTGAAGATAATTCCCATGGAAGTCAGCTCTTGACATCCAGAACATGCTTTGCCTGTGCAAAAATGGTATTTAACCTCACCTCAGTAACTGTTTTTACAATTTGCTTTGGTGTTTTCCTTAGGCCTTCACCCTCATTTTGGTCTTTAAAAGTTGCCAAGCAAACTGAAGCATATTTACTCCAAAAGGAGAAACACCATGTTACATGGTGAAAGAGTGGACAAAGAGAGGTGAACACCATGGCAACACAGCACTTTTCTGTCTGTTTTAATGTAGGCTAAGCTTGGGTCCCACTTAAGTCCACAGTCTTTTTTTCTACCAGTTAACTGTTTTTTCTCTGGGGTATGTACTATTAATTGCTGTTGCCTTCATTGCATTTTTGTCTTTGTCTTTCAGGACCACCCCATGATTTGACATGCAGTGAAGTTAGGAAAGACTCTTTGGTTGTATTATGGAAACCACCAGTGTATATTGGCCGAACTCCTATAATTGGTTATTACGTTGATGTGAAGCCAACACATGCATCAGAGGATCACTGGAAGAGTGTGAATGAGAAAGCGATTACAAACAAATTCTTGAAGGTAAGGTAATGTAGGGAGCAATTGCTGGTGCTGACTACTACTAGATATGCATTTATTTTGGTGGCACTTCCTAGTGGTTTCAGATTGCTTAGGCTGGTAGTAGGCAGTGTGGCACCCTCCAGATGTTTAGGATTACAGACCCTGTAATTGCCAATCATTTCCCTTGCTGGCTGGGCTTGAAATATCTGGTGGCAGCAACCCAGAGGTTGGGTTCTGTTGTACTTTGAGTCCCACCCATATCATATGACTGCATCTTCACTGGGAGGAAATCTGATTCACTGCATCAGAAACAGAAGTAAGCATTATGCCCCATAGTTACTGAATAAACTAATGCTAATGCTGATGTATATTCTGTTCAGACATACATTGTGAACATGTAGCAACAATCCATTGTTATATTCCATGCCTCGCCATCTTTTGCCACAAATTTGTAATTTAGATACGTGTTCCACCAGACAGTTCCTTCGCCTCAGCCACTGGACCAGGCAGAAGGGGGCGTTTCTGATAGAGCCTTCATAGTTTCCCAGTGCTGTAGTCCCTGATACTTCCTGATTCCCATGAAGTATCATAGGCCCCATGACACAGGGATCCCAGATTCAGTTCACAGTCCTACGGAGAACATACTGGAATATTCATAGTCACTTGAGACAGAGCAGTGATCTGGCCAGGAAGAGGGACTAATGGTCTCCTGTGGTTAACTGGAACCCATTCATGCCTTCAGAAGTCTCTCAAGTGCAGAAAGAAAATTATTGCTGGCACAGTTCTCTATTCCACAAGTGCAGGGGACTTAGGAACAGTGCTGGCTCACCCAGCTGGTCAAACTTGAGGCTGTATCACTCTGAAAGAGGAAATATTTAGGGAAGAACAAGACAACTGCACACTGATACAGACATAAGGAAAAAGTCAGTGATTAGCATCTAGCCTAACTTAAAGATAGTGGCAGAATGGGACGGGTGTGGAGGAATATAAGGGAAACAAGCAATTCAGCTTTCATATTGGAAGACAAAAAAGGCAAACATCAATGCAGAGACCTTTTGGTTTTCATGCAGATGCTTTTTCATTTTTTGGCCTTGAAAACAGCATGCTTCTTAAATATAATACGTAATCCAGAAAAATGTTCTTTCTGCTCTAGTTCTGTGACTGACTTTTTTGTATTTTTCCCCCCTGCTATTACAGCACTAAATAAAAAAGCTGTGTGAAAATAGTATGGTTGTTAGAAAGCACTTTCATGGAGGCTTGTTACATTTGTAGTACTGATTTCTGTACTGTGGTGAAAATAGTTTTGAGTAGTTTGTCGTGCACAAGCCTGTGCATACAAGAATGTTGTAAACAACTCTGCATTCAATCTGCGTACCTCTGCTCCTCTACACTGTGTATTAAAAACATAGATGGGTCCTATTTATTTATTTAGGAAACTTCTATGCCTCCCCATTCGCCGAAGCCTCGGGGCGGCTTACATCCATAAATAAACATCCTTAAAATAATATAAATTAACAGTATAAATTAAGTCGCCCAAATATTTACCAGATAGAGGCAGCCATGGCTGCTGAAGTTGCAGTAGCAGCGGTTGGCATCTTTCTGGGCATTTTCATCTCCTCATTCTGTGTGGCAACTTGGTCTATTCTGAGAACTTCACCCAGAATGAGGACATGATTATACCACCCTAAATGGCATGGGACCATCTAAGAGGCTCGGGGTTCCCTCGTTCATCTGTAGCCCAACAAGTTAAGTTCAGTGAATGGCAACAGGCAGCTGAATTTCATGAGGATAAAATAAGCAGTGTGACCGAACAACGTTACATACTAGTAGTGGGATACCAGTTTGTATAAACCAAGGACACCACTAATCTGCAGACTCAACCTAAAAATATTTTAACTGGTTTTCTGTAGGTGAGTGGCCTAAAAGAAGGCACCAGTTATGTGTTCCGTGTACGAGCAGCAAACAAAGCTGGAGTTGGGAAGCCTTCAGATCCCACTGACCCTGTAATAGCTGAAACCCGACCAGGTTTGTTGATGTTCCATTGGTTTTTTTACCATTAAAGGAGAATACAAATGTCCACATGGTTTAGAATGATTGGAAATAATCCACATTATGGGATTGGTTCTTCCTGTGCTACACATATTAAGAAGCTGAACCATTGACTCAAACAAGCAGACTGTAACTTCCCATTTCTTCTTAAGCTTTTCAACTATTCTCTCCTAGAATAGAAGAAGGCACCTAAAAATCTGTTGCACTATCTTGAATATCCAGTGTCTTCTACATTAGAGGATATGGGTAGGAGAAGGGGAATGGCAGACCTATGTGGACTCTCCAGCCCCTACACAGAGTTTGATGATATTGACAGAGTTCAGACAACAGTGGATTATCATGTTGTTTGACCTCAGCTTCACTAACAAGCCATGGCTTGTTAACCATGAACAATCCATGAAAAGAACCCATGGTTTGTGGTAGGTTGATCATTAGGTATTATTATCTTGTCTGGATTCAAACAACACAATAAACCACTTTTCAGCAACAGCTCATGATTCAACAACAATCCACTTGCAACGCATACCCAAGTCATGAGTGTTGGTTATCAGGTTGTCTGAACAAGAGCCACTGGATGCTGACTCAGCTTTCTGCAGCATCCTCCAATGATTTATCATGACAGGAACAAGCCAAGCCTCTCCCTGGACATGCAAGCTGCCATTGGACATGCAAGTTCTTACTTCTCCTTTTGTCCAGTGCAGCCATTAAAGTTTGGAAGCTTTTGTTTCTGGGAATTTTTTAAATGAAATTATGACAAATCAAAAAACGGGGTGGAGGTAACACCACCACCAACAGAAATAGCACAACAAAAAGCATAATGCTCACAATAATGCCTTATAAAACAATTTTTAAAAAAAGAAAAATATTCAACAGTTCTGTTTCAAATGCTTATGTAAATATAAGGTGTCTATATAGCTAAGTAAGCATCTGAATGGAATTCATTACTGTGGAATATATGTTCAACCGCAACAAGAACAGGCAATGTTCAGGAAACTAAGTAATAGGTGATGGAGCTTTATGCTTCCAAGTTTGAAGTATGAGTCCCTTTGTAACTGTTAGGACTCTCAGTGTCCACCTTTGCTTTTTGACTGCTAATTCCTACATCATAGGAACTTAATTTAAAAGCCTCTGAGCATCCATAATTATCACAGGTTATGCAGGCAATAACCTTCAGCCAGAAAGAAAAGAGTGAGGAACATGTGGGTACAGGATGTTCAGTACATTCCAGTCACAATAAATAAGTTTATTGTGATGTGCAAATGCAGTCTACATTATTCACTGACTGGTCAACTTTGACAGCACATAACCTTTCAGAAAATCATGTGTGCATGTGTATGTGCGCGCGTGTGTTTTCTAAGGCACAGTTTGTTTATCCTTCGTTCTCATACTTATATACTATTTATAGCTGTGTCAAAACATTTCTAGCTCTCTCGCAGTCTCTTGAGTCCTCTGATTTTGGTTTATTTTGTCTTGAGCTCTAGAGAACAACTCAAATCTTCCATCTCACTTGACTTCCTTCCAAGTCCTGTTGCCCCCTCAGTCACCTCTTCATTTTTCAATTCATGGCTTAAAACAGGTGTCATGCATTAGGATCCCTCCCTTCACACATTGAAAGCCATATACCTTTGTTGCAAAATGTTATTTATTGACCAAAGCATTTTCCAGAAGCACAAACTCCCAGAAGGGATCTCCGAGCATGCACAGAGCAGTTTGTTGAACCCAATTTATTATTTACTTCTAGGAACTCTCCTTATGAGTATGTTTGGGGCCCATCCTTTTGAGAGGGGCATTTTGGAAACAAGGATACCTCCTCTCTGCATGCTGATCCTCTAATTGCACTGCCCTCCTTGGCTGGCAATGCATCATGGGGTCGAGTGCGCTACCCACTCATCTGTCTTTGAGAAACTCCACTGTTCCAAGCCCCCTTCTACTAGCTGTACCTCTTGGTCATTCTCAGAGTCTGCCTGCACACCCAGGGAGTCGGCCTTGAAATAAGCATCGCCACTTCTCTCTTCTCAACATTGGCCCACATTCTCACATTCCAAGGCCCCCTCCAGGTCTTCCTCCTGCTCTGAATCCCAAGCCACAGGCCTTGATAATTTTCACCAAGAGCAATTGTCTTTCTCACTCCTAAGATCAGGAGACCCAAGGGTACCTATCAGGTTTTGATAAATTCTGTTTATCTAGTGTATAAAAAGAGAACTTTTCAACTACAGGGTTTTTAAACTTTGCACCTAGACAATGTATATGCCAGATGTTTGTTATGCTTTCTTTTTTCCTTCTAGGAACTAAAGAAGTTGTAGTTGAAGTAGATGATGATGGAGTTATTTCACTGAACTTTGAATGTGACCAGATGTCTCCAGACTCCAAATTCGTCTGGTCCAAGAATTATGAACCAATTGAAGACGACGCTCGATTAGCCATTGACACCAAAGGTGGAAAGTAAGAGATCTAGAAGCATAAGGAATTACTATATGGATTCTCTTTTTATGTCCTTCCTTTACATCTGCAAATCTGTTTCTTTCAGAGGTATGCCAGTCTGTCTATTTAAAAAACTGTATATAGTGCCAACCTGGAAGGAATCCAGTGACTTACACTCATGGTGGCATTTTTCTCTCTGTGACTTACAGCAAATCAGGGGTGCAGAATAGAGGAAGGGATGGAACCTCTCCCCTTCCATCATGCACTGATCAAAATGCCTTGTCCTCCATGGCTACTTTTAAAAGAAAATTACATGGGAGAAGCCAACAAAGATTCGCCATGTAACTTCTGTCCAATTTCTGTAATTTCTGATTGGACACTAGTTTGTTTTGTTTAATCCATGAAACATTCAGCAGTTTGGGTTCTCAATACCTGAAACATTCTTTCAGACCAAAGAGAATCCTCTGTACTGTCTGAGTTCCATTAACAATTCCTCATGCACAGACTCACCAGCCATTGCAGCATTCCCCAGTGTGGTACGCTGCATATGCTCTGCAGTATAAGTTCTGGAATGCCTCATTATTGGCTATGTTAGCTAGCGCTGATGGGTGTTACATTAAAATCAGCATAAAAAATCTAGTATACAAATGTAAAACTGTTTAAATACTAAAAGAATTTTAATTTAGAAACCTGGATCTGTTAACACAGTACACATATCTCATCATATGCCATTAAATGCTTTGAGCAGAAGACCAGAAAGATAGCAAAATTGGCATCAGGTAGGCTCCAGTGGGGAAAGATTTTGTAGTTGGAGCCACCACTGAGAAGGTCCTCTCCTTTGTTGCAACCTCCAAGCTTTAGTTTGAAGGTGGCATTCAGAGGAAGGCTTCAGATGTTGGTCATAGTGTCTGGGTAGACTCAGGTCTCTAAGGTATTCTGGAAGCTGCCACTTTCTAAGATATCCCAGAAAACAAACACTAATGTTACATGTTACCTTTTCCCCACTAAATACTTTTGTTAATACTTTTGTTGTCAAGTTGTTAATATTTTTGTTAATACATATATTTTTGTTTGAACAAAGCTCTTCTGTTTTAAAGGTCAAAAGCAGTCTTTAAAGATCTCAGTGAAGAAGATTTAGGTGTTTACTCCTGTGCTGTAACAGACACAGATGGTGTTTCATCGAGCTATACAATAGATGAGGAAGGTGAGCACCAAACGCTTCTGCCTACATGTCATCCTTGCCCTCTTCATGCTTTTCATCTGCAAACAAAATGATTATGAAATAAAACATGCAAATAAACACATTTTTATACTTCTTTCCAACATTATTTGCAGAAATGAAGCGTCTGCTTGCACTCAGCCATGATCGCAAATTTCCTGGTAAGCACTAACAAATATTTGGAGGGCATTCATTTATAGGGTCACCATAAATCAGAAATGACTTGATCAGGCATGTAACAGCAAACTAACAAAAATATTCAGTGGTAAGTTTATGGCATTAATATTTTTTTACTGGGTTATCTTAGAATTGGAGTTAAGTGGCAGTCTCCAGGATTGTTGCTGTTATGCACTTGTATCCCACCTTTTTTCTTCTTGTGAAAAATCCATCATGACTTACATAGTCCTCCTCTACTCCATTTTATCCTCGCAACAACGACTCTGTGAAGTAGGTTGGGCTGAGAATCCATGACTGTCCCAAAGTCACCCAGTGAGCTTCATGGTTGGGTAGAGGCTAGAAGCCAGATCTCCCCAGCAACACTCTAACTGGCAAACCATGCTTGCTTAGAGAAAAGGTGAGCTAAGGGATACATGAAAGAGGTGTGGGGAAAGTGGTACACCTCTCATAATATTAAAAGTTGGGGCCATTCTGTGAAGATGATTGGTAGGAGATACAGGACAGATAAAAGGAAATAAAAGTGCACAGTGAAGCTATACAGTTCACTACCATGAGATGTAGTGATGGCTGCCAATTGGATGCCTTTAAAAGAAGATTAGATGGGTTCATGGACGATAAGGCCAGTGGTGGCTACTAGTCCTGATGGTTATATGTTCACTCCAGCGATAGAGGTGGGATGTTTATGTAAACTAGTTGCTGGGAAACAGGGGAAGGAGGGTGCTATCTCACCCTACATACACGTTTCCTATAGGCAGCCAGTTGGCCACTGTGTAAACAGAATGCTGGGCTAGATGGACTTTTGTCTGATTTGCCAGGATTGTCCATATAATTGTCATATGAAACCCACCCCTGAGATCAAGATACTTTAATAAAGTCTTGTTGTGAGTACCAACTTTTGTAGGTGGCTGATTAATTCGCGGACATTGTTGGCCCTTTTCCATGGCAGTCCTAGAGCTCTAGGAACTCCTTCTTCTGGATGCTGGTCTTTTCTCTCTCACTGTTTCACAACAGACTAAGATGGTGCTCTTCCATTGGCAATCTTCCATTCCATGCTGCTTTAATAGTATTTTTAACTATTTTAATGTGGGCTTTGAGTGGATAGCATTACATTCGGTTTTGATGGCTTTATTACATGCCACTTTGGGAATGGTGTAAATTTCCACTAGTGAATAGAAATAAGTAACCAACTTAACTGAGGGCTTCTTTTTAGAGATTCAATGGGCAAATCTGTATATCATGCTAACCCACTCTGCAAATAAGTCACAGTGGGCTGAGCAGCCCACAGTATACGTGACAGATCAAGGGGCTTGTCGTGGCTTGTTCTCTCCTCCCTTTCCCTTTAGTCCTTCAGTTGGCTCCAGCAGTTATCCCAACCCACCTTAACTCCTCACCTTAGCTCCCCCACCCACAAATAGCTATCTTTTTTCATTCACCAGCCTTTTAAAAAACGGGCTTTGAAAGTCTGTAGATATGCTTCTATTATTATTATTATTATTATTATTATTATTATTATTATTATTATTATTTCCCATTTTTGCCATTCTGTGAGACTGCATGTTCATCTGTCATAGTTCTGCCTTGTCAATGTCCTTGTAAGTATCAATTGGAGCTGACATAACATACAATAAAATTAGCACAGTGAGACTGTAGATTGGCTAATTTGTACATAGTTGAAAAGGTCTGAGGAAGAATAATATTATGGACTGGAAGGAATCCATTTGCACAGATGAGAAGTCCTTAAAATTGGGTAAAATGGAAGAGCAGTTCTTTCATATTTTTGGAGTTGAAACATACTCCTATATTTCCAGTTTGAGCTAGGAGAGGCTCCTGTAAAGATAGTCTCTGCAATAGAGAATTGTTTTTAGCCATTCTGACTAATTTCATCCTAGCCTCTGGGCCTTATGCTTGTTTTCTGTTCTATTTTAGTTTAAAATATTCAGAGCTAATTATATACAAGAGAATAAAATTGTCATGGATCTGACAGTAAGACAAAAGCAGCACAGCACAATGTCATGTGTGTTTGTGTGTGTGTATCCCCACAGGCTGATGCAAGCACTGACACATGTGGCATTAAGCTTGTTTGGGTTTAGAAGTTACTTAAGGTCATAAGGTCTTCTCCTTCTACTCATCTTCAAATGTTAATCATAATAGGTAGCTTCTCCACAGGATCATTTCACAGTTGGTGAAAGGAATGCAGAGTTCTTGATTTCTGCCAGGGAAGCTTTGCTAGCCTTCCCTTGTATCGCATGGCTATGAGGATTAATCTCCTGCAAAGCCAGGCCACAAATTAAGATGCAGTTTCCCTTTTGGTTCATGTTTCAGTTCTAAAGGGTCACAGGGAAGAGCAAACAATTGAAAGCATGATCTGCCAATGTCCTGTTTTCTTAATAACTTGGCATCTTTAGGAACTGGGTAGTAGCAGATTCCCCAGCCTGTGCTGCAGTGTTTCCACGGAGATAAGTTGCCAAGCAGAATCTAAATTTGGGGACTTCATCTGTCTGGTTTGTGCTATTTCTGCAGAGAACTCTTGTATTCCACTTGAAATTTGAAATATATATTATGTTTTGCACATAACAATGATTAAATAGATTTCATTATTTTGTGAGAATGGATGAATACCAGAAAGAAGTTAAGAAATTATATCTAGAATATTTTCAATACTGTGTAACTGCAGAAAAAACAAACAGAGCAAAATTGCCATTTGTCTTTGGGCAAAGAGGTGCAAATACCTACAATGCTAGTCTGATCATGGGACACAATGAGCTGTTTATGCACAATGAGTTGCTTAAGGTGGCTGTTTATGCATTCACTAAAAAAAAGAAGAGATAAGAGATTTTCCTAAGATGTTCCAGAAACACCCCAAGCTACAAATCTGTTCCTTCAAGGGCCATGCATTCTCCATCTGGTCAGAATAACTACCCACCTACAGCACCTCAGTCTTGTCTGGATCAAGCTCTAGTTTATTAGTCTTATCCACTCCATTGTCAGGCACTGGTTAGCACACCCATAGCCTCACTTGATGAAGGTGAAATGGAGATTCATGTTGTCAGCATACCACCCTCCAGAATTCTGAATGATTCCACTCAGCAGTTTCAGGTAGATGTTAAATATCATGGTGGACAAAGTTGTCCCCATGGAACCCTATGCTGGAGAATCCCTGAGGCTGAGCAATATTTTACAAGCACCACCTTCTGGGGGTGGTCGTTCAAGCAGGAGTGGAACAACTGCAAGGCAGTTCCTCCCATTCCCATCTAACACAGTCACCTGATAGTTGATGGCAATGAAAGCCATCTAAAGATCTAGAAGTATCAGTAAGATCACACCTCCCTGCATCTTCCTCCCTACATGGGTCAACATACAGAATTACCAAAGCTGGTTCCATGCCAAAGCAAGGCTTCAACCCCAACTGAAATGGAGGACTTTGTCGTCATAGATGCACATTTAGAAATAATTACTATAATTTAAATAGAACTAGCATACATTTCACCACAGTGGGGAAGATTGTTACCAAGGCGCCCTATGTGACTGCTCAGTCTGCTGTCCAAGCTTCTGTTTTATGGCTATTTATCGTTAAACTGGACCTTCTAAGACTACTTCAAAGACTTCTGATAGTCTTTCAAATACAGGACAGTTCTGTGTAAATAAGATGCATGGATCTTAAAGGTGCTCGGGCAGCAAATTGGAAGATGCAGCAGGCAGCAGCTCTGCCCTGGGCCCTCTTACTTGCCCGTAACTGACCATCCAGCCTTGGAGCACTGCTCCTGCTACTTTGCTCCTGCAGCAAATACTGTTTAATTTGAAACAGCTAGAGGAAAGTGGCTGCTTGCATTCCCAGGAGCTCTGAGGCCATCTTGCCCTGAGGACACGGTCCTTCCTCAAGAGTGCCTGTGTGATTGCGGTAAACATCTTTCAAAAACTCTCCCCACTTTGTGTCCTCCCAATGTTTGGGGCTTAAACTGCTATCAGCCCTAGAAAAAGTCCTTACTTGTGAATACAAAATATCCTGTTTAAGACCTTTCTTTTGGTTGCAGTTGTTCCCCTTAGGTCAGAGTTGGCAGTTGAAATTCTGGAGAAGGGACAGGTGCGATTCTGGCTGCAGGCTGAAAAGCTGTCTGGCAATGCTAAAGTCAACTTTGTATTTAATGACAAGGAAATTTTTAATGGAGAGGTAAGCTAATGGTTGCTTTAGTCTGAAAGTGATTAGCTGCTACAATAACATGGACATTAAAAAAAAAGAAATACTTTCACAATGCATTATGTGCTTGTATTGCTGCCTTTAGAAATGGCGAGTTACCTTCTCACCACCATTTTTGTCACCAGTTGCTCCCTGTCCTCATTCTTGTTTTCCTAATTACTGCCACTTGCTTGCTGGACAGGCCAAGAGCCAGTGAGCAGGTAGGCTGTGTCTCCTCCTTCACCTTCGTCTGGTCCAGAGCAAAAGATAGGTGGACAAACAGGCTGCAGTGATGAAGAGGAAGAGAAGTCTCAAGGATTTCTGTCAGTGTGCTCCTTCTGAGATATGAGCCCAGCCATGCATGTCTTTGATGCTGGTGATGATAATAACAAGCATTACTATTATAATGTGAATTTAACCTTTGTCAAAAACTCTTCTAAGAAGGCAGGAAAAGTGGCTTTGCAACTGAAGTAAGGGTCAGTCAGACATCATGGTGCATATCCATGCTCTGAAAAGGAAAGGTGCACAGACTTGCTCTGAGTGGCACGTAAAGCCGTCCAATCAGTGCTGTGCAAATCTGAGTTTTAGCTGGAAAAGTCTGGCATTTGTTCAACAGGTTCCCCTGCATTTGAAGCAGAAGAGAAGGCTACATGGACTTACTGCTTGATATCATGTCTGTCTACTTGTGCCATGTCACTGTGAAGTAGTTTCCAATACATCATCCAATCATTGGGAGGTTTGAGAAACATTACGATAGCTTTTCTGCTCACTTTTGTGTTTGTTTTTGAAGAAATACAAGATGAAGATTGACCACAATTCTGGCATGATTGAAATGGTTATGGATAAACTTGAAGATGCTGATGAAGGTACTTACACCTTTCAACTTCAAGATGGAAAAGCAACCAACCAATCCAGTCTTGTTCTAATTGGTGATGGTAAGAGCTGCTGAAATGCTTTTTTTAACAACTAGAGTATATAGTTTAACACTGAATACTCAGATTGGAACATTAGTTCATTCTTGAGAAACTGGGATAATATACCTTATATGGCCACAGTAAACTTTACTTGGTATGCTCATTGCCCATGTAAAATGTTATGAATTAGGAAGTGAGTTAAGAACTTAACCTGAACTTAAATGCAACAGACTACCTAATCAATATGGGTCATATATTAAAAAAAGTTGTGGGATTACCCTCTGAATTTCTCATAGAGTAGTCCTACAGAAAATATATGTTTTGAGTAAGAACTTCATTTTGTTAACTGCCCAGAGAGCCTTGGCTATTGTTATCACCAGAAGGGTATCTCCTGATGAGTGTGGCAACCGCACAGGCATGCAGGTTCCTCACATCCAATACCAATAGGATCATGACTGCCCCCCCACTTTTATACAAACAGAATAACAGAAAACTATGTTGAAACATGTAGGGATTTCCAAAATATGTGTCTGCTGTTCTTAAATTTTAAAAAGCAGCAAAATCAACTGAGAATGCACATGCTATTGAAAAGTTCCTTGGAGCTTGATCAGAGTCTTTCAAAAAGATTTTCTACTTGCTGACTAAGGGTATAATCCTATGCATGGTTGCACTTCCATTTCCTCCCACCTGCACACACTCTGCTTTGAATATGTTTGAATAGGTATCTTTCATAATTAATTCCATCAGACTCTCCATTGGAATGTGCATCTCAATGAAAGCAATGTACTGCAGACAGATGGTGTGCCTTCCAATGTCTATTTGGATATGTGTGCAATGTATGTCCCTTGATGCTGTCAATGAGATGCTTGGGAGGGAGGGAAGGAGGCTGCAAAAGATACAGCCTCCTTCTTTCCTGACCTGTTCTTCCTTCCCTGCTCCCCCCACCCCACACGAGGCTTTTACCTCTCTCTCCAGGGTCAAGATCCTGACCTCAGAGAAACAGGTGGCAGAGTTGTTTCCATATCAGCTACAAGAGTGGGGTGGAGAACTCTGACTCCAACCCCAGATCCGGGAATCTGAAGTACTTTATGGACTTGCAGATATTGTCTAGTGGCCATGGGAGTGCTCCTGCCATGTGCAGATCTTCTTTGCTGGATCATGCAATCCATTTTGATTTTACAAATGCAGTAATCTTTCAACTATAGCTTTATTTTGATCTTCTCCTTTTCAATCCCTAGTGTTCCAGAAACTACAGAATGAAGCACAATTCCAGAGGCAAGAATGGTTCAGGAAGCAAGGTAACACATAACCTCTTAGAAACAGTTTAGCTAATTTAATTTAGATTCTTGTATTTGCAATTAAAAAAAGAATGTGCCTTTGCCGAATGATAGCAAAGTAAAATTTAGAAAATATAAAGCATACAGAGAGAAAATTAACTTTAGCATGAAACAGTCATTTGATTCTGTTTGTCATAATTTCTGAGCTGATTGATTTTCAAATCTTTTCAAAAAGGTCCACATTTTGTTGAGTATCTGGGATGGGAAGTTACCGCTGAATGCAATGTTTTATTGAAATGCAAGGTAAGAAAGAACTGCATCTCGGACTCGAGGCAAGAGTAACAAATACAAGTTTTGTTTATAGTCAACTACTTCTCAGAGGCATTTATAGATTTGAGGACACTTCTCTTACATCCTAACTGAGGGTCACAATAATAGCTTTCACATGCATCTCACTATTCTTTGAAATAGCATTACATTGCTTCAGAGCAGAAGAGAGTAAATTGTGGCAGGCCATCATTCCCCAGGGTATAAGTACCTCACTATTGTAACATTGCTTTTGCTCCTTTTGAAATTAACTGGTAATAATTTCTTTAAAAATATAGGATGCTTGTTAACTGCCTGAAGAAAGTAGCCCAATAATAGAATGAGCCATCCATTCTCATTTCCTGCTTGTTTTATTGAGGCTGCTATGAAGAACTGGTCATCTGACATATTGATTGTGAATCATATTTTGTCCAGCCATCTTACTATACTTTCCTTTCATTTTAGGTAGCTAATATTAAAAAAGAAACATACATTATTTGGTACAAAGATGAAAGAGAGATTATGGTTGATGAAAAACATGACTTTCAGGATGGTGTATGTACTCTGCTGATAACAGAGGTGAGTGATCCTTTCTCCCTTGCGGTCCACTTCAGTGATGAAGTCCACTTTAGCTGTGCCAGTTTTCTTAAATGAACAGCACTTTCAGAGAGAACAGTGCACAGACTGTGTCAGACTGATTGTCAGATATCGTCAGGGTGCTTTTTTCAAGCAGCAAAATGTATCAGGATGTGAATATAATCTATGCATTTACTCCACAATGCATATGCTGGCTGATACACTGGGCTGTGTTGAATGTGTGGAACAGCATATTCTACCTTTGTTTTATGTTTTCAAAAACCAGCTGCTACTTTACCTTTGTAGGGTACGTTGGAGATCATGGTTTCCAGAAAAGATAGGAGGGGAAACCATTAGCTTACTTGCAGGGTGGCTGAGCATGATGAGCCAATGTGGCTGCTCATATTTTATAGCTCCATGTTCTGTGTATTGTGCTACCTTCTATTTTTTTATTATTATTTAGGGATCCAATTTCCCTTACATCCACCATCATTCTGCCCCCTAAACCCAAGTTCATATGTCAGGCCTCTGCTCTCACTATATTTCACATTCTTGTCCTTTAACAGGCTATTGCATGAATAAAAGGTTAGGAACTTTTCTGCAGTGCAGAAATAATAATGTATACATTCAAATTCCAATAAAGGCATCTTTTGATTTCTTTCATAGTCCTTTTTTATTATCTCCAGAGGTCACATACAGAATGTCCAAAAGAATTGTTTTATTGCTAGTAACTGATATTGTTTTGTTCATAGTTTTCTAAGAAAGATGCTGGTGTTTATGAAGTAATACTGAAAGATGACCGAGGAAAGGACAAGAGCATATTGAAGCTTCAAGAAGGAGGTGAGAATGTCATTCCAAATTACAGCCCAATTCTGTGTAGCCCAGTTCTGTGAATGCTGATTTAGAAATAAGCTTTGCTAAATTCAGTCTGGCTTGCTAACGACCAATTTTGAAGAGGATTGTGGCCTTAATTTCATAATGACTTAAGGGTAGCACAGATTGAGTTATCCATTTTCCTGGTTTTTTATATTGAATAACATCACTGGAAGTGATAGCATTCATTCATTCAGCCAGCCAGCCAGCCAGCACAGCTACTCAGAGAGCACATGGAGGCTGGGCAAAATGGCAGAGCATCCATCACTTCCGAGTCCTGGTGGCTCATTCTGACCAGGGTGGGAAGTAAGGGGTCTTTACTGGGCTTTTTAACCTAGTGATTCTTTGTTTGTTTTACATCCCTTCTAACAATTTAAATAATAGCACGGACTTCCAGCTTCAGGCTGGTGTAGCTGAGAGGTCCACAGGTGGAGCCCACTGGGGAAATGAACTACCTTCAGATAAGGCAGATTCAAAGCTGTCTTGGAGTACTCCATTTTAGGGCCTGCTTCCAGCAGGAACATCAGTAGAGTAGATTTACATCCATGGAGCTGTCTGTGGACATAGCTGGAGCCTCCAAGGAAAAGGTGCCCACCATCTCTGGCAGAGGGGCTTCTGTGGCTTTGCAGACATTCATAAAGCCATCAATTCTGGGGTTTAGGATTGTTCTCTCTATGGACTAAGCCCATATTAATCTAGAAGGAACTTCTATCATTCCAGAAATTTTCTAAATCTAATTCATACTGTGAACACTTTCCATTTTCCAAGGTTGAATTCTCTATCTAGAAGCCAAAGTAGCTAAAGCATTAATAGCAGTAGCGACAGCATTACTTCCAAGAGATATATCTTGTGATGTCATGGGAAACTCATATTCACATCTCAGATTGCAAGATAAAGCTGGCAACATCCTCAGCAAAACTAAACAGAAGTAAAGGGGTTGAAACAACATTAAACTTAAGGATAATGCACAGAAATGCCTTGGAAATATTTATAGCATGTTTTGAGAGTCAGCTCAGATTTAACTACAAGAATCCATTTGTAGGACTGCTCCAGATTAGCCAGGGAATTTCAGGGCACCGTTCAGTTATAAGCAGACATGTCTGATCTGGGAACTGAGTCTCTGGATTTGTTTCCACAGCTTTTGCAGATTTGATGACGGAAGTATGCAAAATGATTGGTGAGTATTTAATTTCCCTTCCTGATAAATGACTCATTTGTACTACTTTGCAAACGACTGCGAGACTACAAAAAAAGTATTGTATTTTCAGCTTTATCTGCAACAAACCTGAAAATCCAGAGCACAGAAGAGGGTATCCGATTATATTCCTTTGTTAATTACTACTTGGAAGATCTGAGAATAAGCTGGTTGCACAAGTAAGTGAACAAGCTCTTGCCAGTGATATGAGGTGTCCGTGACATCATCACTTCCTTCCTATAAGTTGTTCAGTGATTTCCTGGCTTTTTCAGTTATTTCCCATTCTAAAACTGATTTTTTTTCCTCCTGAGGCCCAGTTAGTTGCAGTTTTAAAAATAGCGTTGCATTCCTGTACCTCACTTGTGAGAGGTGTGCAGTTTCAGGGCTCCAGCACTTACTATATTCCTTCCCATCCCCCAGGAGATTGTGAGCTAAATGATTAGTGGGTACTTTATGATTTTTTTTTAGGAAGGACCTGCAAATCAAGCATATCCTCACTCTCCCAGCTAAATGTGATGAAATTTAGGCCTGTGAAAGAAAGCAAAAAAAGACAAAGACATAATGAGAAGCTGCAGTGGATGGTTTTTGTTGAGACAACAGCCTCCGTTTTGCGTATTCAGGACATGGTGGGGATGAACCATAGTTTCTTGTTATGTGCAAACCAGGTTTGTTGGGCTGGGATGACAAGCAAGCTGTAACCCTAAAACAGCCCTTGAGGTTCTGTGCAAGCCTCAGCAACCCACACTGACAAGACTTGTTCATAACAAGAAACTACAGTGACTGTCTGCATTGGGCCTGAACTGGGAAAATCAGGGCCTGGTTCTCCAACCTTGGAAAATATTAGACCTTGCTTGGCATAAATAGAAATGCTGCCCTAAGCTACCACTTGCATAGTTCACTAGGTGTTGTTTCCCAGAGGCCCTGGAAGAGATAGCCAAAGGACTAAACACATAACTGTCTCGGCCTGGAATCCCACTTTATCAGCCAGTTAACAAGCTTCTGCTTGGTGTTATGATTAGCTTAATGAGCTCTTGCTTTGTTCTATACGTAAACTGGCTTCTGCTATGCTATGTTATGAGAATCCTGACTGACATTAATGGAAAGCCTCAGGTGTTATGACTTGTGGCCAGCTAACAAGGATGAGAAACAGCATGTCCTGTAGAATACAATGATGTGAAAATGTGTTTAGTATACATTTGAGCAGTTGCGTACTGCCTAGTTGTTGCCCCTATGCAACAGCCAACCTCTTCCTCATGAGTAGTCTGTAAAGGCTAGCTATTTTCCCTTGGGCAGGGTTGTTTGGACACCAGTCACCCTTGAGAGGCTTCACTGATTATCTGTTCCAGCTGATTGTAGCCTCTTAGCCAGCAGGTTCATGCTGAGTGCTATAAGTGCTGTGCCGGCTGAACCCTTCGAGACACTAGCTTTTTGGAGTAATTTGCTTGTCTTAGGTAAACCTCAGACCCAGCTTACCAAGTTCTTGGGGTCATTCAAACCTGTAGCCCAAAGTTGAGCTGGAACACTGTCCCACATATCCTGAATATCCAAACTGGCAGTTGCTGAAAAAGCAAAAACAAAGCACAAAACAAACTCCACCTTGTGTTTGCAAACAGCTCCAGTTGTTCATAGCTTCTGAGAAAGCATTGAGTTTTAGAGGTCAGTTCTGTGTAAGTAGTAGGGGATGCAAAGGTTTGTCTCTCTGGGGACCTGATAGGAGGATTCAGCTGTCTGTTGGAATGTTTCAAGTTGTACCTCCACCTATGTTTAATCGCTAGCTTTACAAATACTCATGTATTAGCAAAAATATCCATTGATCTCCTTCCAAAGGAAAGCAAACTCAAGTAGGTGCTGCACCCCTAGAATGTCTTGGAAAAATGAGGCAAGCATAATATCTTAAGTGTGTGTTTGTATGTGTGTATGCACATTTAAAATGTTTTACTTTTACCTTTAAAATGACATACAGAATACCTCTGACCACTAATGCAACTACATGTATGGAGAGGTGGCTAAACCTTTCATCCTGTACTATAGTTCTGGAAAAAAATTGCTGCTCATCTCCAGTTACTGTCTGCCCTAGAAGGAACCCTGCAAGCTTCCTGCTAAATGATACACAAAAAATTTAAAAAGTTTAGGTAGATCCTGTGGTGCTGGAAGCCTACAAGTTTGTTTTAGGCACATAGTCAATGCCACAGACAAAGTCTAATCATGACTCTTGCTTTAGCATTCCTAGGGAATTGTATGTGCTGAAGTTCAAGTTTGACAGATACGGCTGCTGTAGGCTGAAAATAAATGCTTTGAAGCAGAGCTGGAAAAACTGCTTTGATGTATAAGGCATTGTCTCTTGATGAAAGAAAGTAAAACCAGAATGGAAATTTCCGGAGGTGTGCTATTACACTGTTGCAGCAAAAACAATTGTCTTTGTATTTCTGGAAATACAAAGACAATATATCTACTAAAATTCCAAAAATGTATGCTCAGTTAAAGGGGACACACCATGCAATAGTTTCTGCATTATCATAAGACAATGTTGTTTGATTTTTGTCTTTTCAGTGACGTCAAAATAAAATACACAGAGAGAGTTAAGACTGGTGTCACTGGGGAGCAAATCTGGTTGCAAATCAATGAGCCAACACCAAATGACAAGGGAAAATATATATTGGAGCTCTTTGATGGTAAAACTGTACACACAAAAACTGTGGATCTTTCTGGGCAAGGTAAATAGATTACATGCTCTGAACCTTTATTAGTTTCATCTGTTAATAATTCAGAAAATGAAAACATTATTATGAGTGCTGGTAACAAGACTGATAACCATTCTTGTTTTAGGATTCTCAGTGTAATCCCCAATAACCATAGGCCTATTTGGCTCCTTGGAGGTTCAAGTTACAGCAGGAGTGCAAAATGTTAGACCCAGGGGACAATTTCATTTGCTTGGGGTCTAATCCAGGCATTTGGGGTTCCCTAGATGATGATATCCCTGTCTCCTGATTGCAAGAGGTTGAGGTGCCTCTCCTAAGCCTTACTTACTGATAGTATAACTTTAAGCCAACATATGCTGAAGGAGTGCCTCTTCCCTTACAAACCCTTACACCCCTTAAGATCTGCGGGAGAGGCTTTGCTCCGAGAGCCCTCTTTAAAGGAGATAAAAAGAACAGCTACCCAGAGCAGGGCCTTCTCTGCAGTGGCACCCAGATTATGGAATGCGCTCCCTGGAGAGGTGCGCCTGGTGCCAAGTCTATATTCTTTTCTGCGTCAGGTTAAAATCTTTTAATTTAATGGCTATTTTAAAAATTAATTTTATCATTAACAGTCGCTTTTTTGTTTTTTGTTTTTATATAATCTTATTGAATTTGTTATTGTTTCATTGTTTTTAATTCTACGTTTGTAAGTCGTCCCGAGATGCCAAGGCATGTGGTGACGGGATATAAAAGTTTTAAATAAATAAAATAACTAAAATATGCTGCTCTTTTGTCCCTACCCCACCACTGGAATATGCTCCCCAAGAGCTCTTCCAAAATGGAATTCTGTCCTCAGGCTGAAAGCAATTCCGTACCCTTGGACAATTGGCTGCACCTTACTGGATGGTAACCCCATATAGGTATCCCACGAGTACTCAGGACTGCTACGTTATGGCTGAGAGGCTTTCATGTGTACACAGTCTTGCTATAGGTGTACAAAACTGATATGCAGGGAGAAATTGGCAAGGAAAATGTGCTGCGCTTTAAAAATCATGACATAAATCCACTCACCTCCTATGAGAATTAATCAGTTTCCATCCTGCCTTACAAATGTCCTTGAGCATGTTTGTGTGTGAGAGAGAGAAGAAGGGAGAAAGCTGGGCTTTGCTTCTTAGTTTCAGTTTTGCTTCAGTAGCAGAAGTGTGACAGTGTGCTAGCACTGTGCTGCCACAACATCATAAGCCGTGAAACGACAGGATCAGACCAGGGCTGTTCTGGTACTGCAGGGAGAATAAGCAGCATGCAATATTAAGTTAAAGAAATTGTGTTCAGGTGCCCGCCCGCCCCCGCCCCCCTCCCTTCTTCCAGTTCTCTGTTTTAGTGTACAACCAAGTATCCTTCAGAAAAAAAGAAAGAAAACTGTCTCTCTCGATCCTAGTCCTGTGCATATTTACTCAGAAGCAAGTCCTGCTGTTCAATGGGATTTTTTTGGGTGGAACAATTCTCATTCCTCCTTGTTAGTGAGAGTCTTCTCAAGGTTCCATGACACCTTTAAATCCAGCCAATCTTCCATCAGTCCCAAACACTAATGAATGCATCTTACAAAGCTGCAGTATCATTAGGAATAGCTTGAGATACATTGCAAAGTGACGGTTCTGCCATATAGTGGATCAGATTTGTCAGTTTTGTATGATATAATTTTAATTACTGCCACCATTTTAAACAAAGATTTCAACCTACTGTTAATCCATAGAAAACTAAATAAGCTTTCTTATACCACAAACTGGTGCTATAAAAATAACCCTTTTATAACCCTTTTCTTCTTTTAAGCATTTGATGAAGCCTTTGCTGAATTCCAGAGGTTAAAGTAAGTATCATGCATGGACAATACAGTTTAAATTAGGTAATGGTGTTTCTGCTGTAGAGAATGATGTCATGATTCAGCTTTTATTAAAAGATGCAAGTCCAATGCTTTTTCTGTGGAAGTCAACAATAGATTCAGCATTATTTTAAAACTTACTAAAATGTCATGGCAAGATATAATAAAACTACATCATCAATGTGAGCAGCATACAGAAATATTTTGTTCAATTTTTAAAAAATATGCCCAAAGAATGACTGCTGTTCAGCCTGGAAATGATATCTAGTCATCTAATGCTATTTCATGCTGTACCATGAAATGAAACTGAGTTTCCTTTTTATCTTGTTCAATTATAGGGCAGCTGCTATTGCAGAGAAAAGTAAGTAATCTGTCTTTTCCATGTGGTGTTTATGCTATCAGTACGGTGCAATACTCCCCTATTTCCAGAGTAGTTTCCTCAAGAGGAGAGAATAGTTTTGCCACATCTGTGTACAGGTAAACATGTTGACTGGGGAGTAAGCAGAGAGAGTATGGAGCTATCCTGACAGGCTGAATTAGTTTTGTGAGATCCCCTCATTACACAACCAATTAGAAGAAGCTCATGCTTTCTTTTTATGGTCATGCTACAGAAAGATTCTTTCAGCCCCCACTGTGGCAATGCAGGGGTGACGTGTGTTCCTTTCAAACCTTGAATGCTCATGAACCATCATTTATTGTTGCTTTTGCAGCTACGAAATGGGAATACATGTGGCTTACAGCAGGACTTTTGTAGCCTGTGTGTTGACGCCATTATTTACTCATTACAGGTTTTAAACCTACCCATCAACAAGTAAAAGCAGAATAGTACATTTCAATAAATACCAAAGACCTATCCAGGCATTCTCTTGCCCCTGTTGATCAAATGGGCAAAGCAGGAGTGCGTTCCAGCCTACTTCTCTACCTCATCACATTTGTTGGCCTCAACTCATGGGCTGCGAGACCAGGAGAATTTGTTGTTCTTAGTTGCGAAGTCGTGTCTGACCCATCGCAACCCAATGGACAACATTCCTCCAGGCCTTCCTGTCCTCCACCATCCCCTGGAGTCCACTCAAGCTCACACCAACTGCTTCAGTGACTCCATCTAGCCACCTCATTCTCTGCTGTCCCCTCTTCTTTTGCCATCTATTGTGCCCAGCATTAGGCTCTTCTCCAGGGAGTCCTTCCTTCTCATTAGGTGGCCAAAGTATTTGAGTTTCATCTTCAGGATCTGGCCTTCTAAAGAGCAGTCAGGGTTGATCTCCTCAAGGACTGACTGGTTTGATCGCCTTGCGGTCCAAGGGACTCGCAGGAGTCTCTTCCAGCACCACAACTCAAAGGCCTCAATCCTTTGGCACTCAGCCTTCCTTATGGTCCAGCTTTCGCAGCCATACATTGCAACTGGGAAAACCATAGCCTTGACTATACACACTTTTGTTGGCAGTGTGATGTCTCTGCTTTTTACTATGCTGTCTAGATTTGCCATAGCTCTTCTCCCCAGGAGCAAGCGTCTTTTAATTTCTTGGCTGCAGTCCCCATCTGCAGTGATCTTGGAGCCCAGGAAAATAAAATCTGTCACTACCTTCATTTCTTCCCCATCTATTTGCCAGGAAGTGAGAGGACTGGATGCCATGATCTTAGTTTTCTTAATATTGAGTTTCAAGCCAACTTTTGCGCTCTCCTCCTTCACCCACATCAAGAGGCTTTTTAGTTCCTCTTCACTTTCTGCCATGAGAGTGGTATCATCTGCATATCTGAGGTTGTTGATATTTCTCCCAGCAATCTTAATTCCAACTGGTGATTCATCTAGCCCTGCCTTTCTCATGATGTGCTCTGCATATAAGTTAAGTAGGCAGGGAGACAGTATACAGCCTTGCCAAACTCCTTTCTCAATTTTGAACCAATCAGTGGTTCCATGTCCAGTTCTCACTGTTGCTTCTTGACCCGCATATAGGTTTCTCAAGAGACAAATAAGATGGTCAGGTACTCCCATCTCTTTAAGAACTTGCCACAATTTGTTGTGATCCACACAATCAAAGGCTTTAGTGTAGTCAATGAGCAGAAGTAGATGTTTTTCTGGTACTCCCTAGCTTTTTCCATGATCCAGCATATGTTGGCAATTTGATCTCTAGTTCCTCTCCCTCTTCGAAATCTGCCTGTACTTCTGGTAGTTCTCGGTCCACATACTGCTGGAGCCTAGCTTGTAGGATTCTGAGCGTCACTTTGCTAGCATGTGAAATGAGTGCAACGTTGCAGTAGTTTGAACATTCTTTGGCATTGCCCTTTTTTGGGATGGGAATGTAAACTGACCTTTTCCAATCCTGTGGCCACTGTTGAGTTTTCCAAATTTGCTGGCATATTGAGTGTAGCACTTTTACTGCATCGTCTTGTAAGATTTTGAATAGCTCAGCTGGAATGCTGTCACCTCCACTAGCTTTGTTGTTGCTCAGACTTCCTAAGGCCCATTTGACTTCACATTCCAGGATGTCTGGCTCGAGGTCAGTGACCACCCCATCGTGGTTATCAGGGATATTAAGCTCTTTCTTGTATAGTTCTTCTGTGTAATCTTGCCACCTCTTCCTAACCTCTTCTGCCTCTGTTAGGTCCCTGCCATTTTGGTCCTTTATAATGCCCATCTTTGCATGAAACATTCCCTTCATATCTCCAATTTTCTTGAAGAGATCTCTGGTCCTCCCTGTTCTATTGTTTTCTTCTATTTCTGTGCACTGTTCATTTAAGAAGGCATCCTTATCTCTTCTAGCTATTCTTTGGAATTCTGCATTCAATTGGGTGTAACTTTCTCTTTTTCCCTTGCCTTTTGCTTCCCTTCTTTCCTCAGCTATTTCTAAAGCTTCCTCAGACAGCAATTTTGCTTTCTTGCATTTCTTTTTCTTGGGGATGGTCTATTTGTCACCGCCACTGCATATTCATCAGGAATATGATTTAGGTCATACCTGGGTGGCCTAGTGCTTTTCCCTACTTTCTTCAATTTAAGCCTAAATTTTGCAACAAGGAGCTCATGATCTGAACCACAGTCAGCTCCTGGTCTAGTTTTTACTGACTGTATAGAGCTTCTCCATCTTTGGCTGCAGAGCACATAGTCAATCTGATTTCTGTGTTGACCATCTGGTGATGTCCATGTGTAGAGTCACCTCTTGGGTTGTTGGAAAAAAGTGTTTGCTATGATCATCATATTCTCTTGACAAAATTCTACCAGCTTCATTTTGTACTCCAAGGCCAAACTTGCCTGTTATTCTGGTTATCTTTTGGCTTCCTACTTTAGCATTCCAGTCCCCCATGATGATAAGGACATCATTTTTGGGTGTTAATTCTAGGTGTTGTAGGCCTTCATAGAACTGGTCAACTTCAGCCTCTTCAGCACCAGTGGTTGGGGCATAGACTTGGACTACTGTGATGTTGAATGGTTTGCCTTGGATTCGAACTGAGATCGTTCCGTCATTTTGGAGATTGTATCCCAGTACTGCTTTTCCTACTCTTTTATTGACTATGAAGGCTACTCCATTTCTTCTGAGGGATTCTTGCCCACAGTAGTATACCTGATGGTCATCTGAATTAAATTCACCCATTCTGGTCCATTTTAGTTCACTGATTCCTAAGATGTCGATGCTCAGTCTTGTCATCTCTTCTTTGACCACATCCAGCTTGCCTTGATTCATGGATCTTACATTTCAGGTTCCTATGGAGTATAGTTCTTTGCAGCATCGGACTTGGCTTTCACCACCAGATACATCTGCAACTGAGTGTCCTTTCGGCTTTGACCCAGTCGCTTCACTCTTTCTGGCGCTACTAGTACTAGCCCTCCGCTCTCCCCCAGTAGCACATTGGACACCTTCCGACCTGAGGGGCTCATCTTCCGGCGTCATCTTTTTGCCTTTTGGCACTGTCCATGGGGGTTTCATGGCAAAGATACTGGAGTGGGTTGCCATTTCCTTCCCCAGTGGATCACATTTTGTCAGAGCTCTCTGCTATGACCTGTCCGTCTTGGGTGGCCCTGCACGGCATAGCTTCATTGAGCTATGCAAGCCCCTTCGCCACAACAAGGCAGTGATCCATGAAGGAGGCCTGGAGAAGAGAGCTTCCCATATCTGTGCAGCTTCTTCACATGAGCTAAAGATTAGCATTCAAGCTCATGTGGAGTGCTCCCATAATACAAGACATTGCCCTCCACCAGGAAGGGGCAACAGCAACACGTAAGGTACAGTGCATGGCTGGAAAAGTTCTCCTTCCTTGTGTGTCTGAGCTACTGGGTAGGGACCTGTACTCCCCTGCAGAGGAAGACAGGACGTGCTCTAATGGAGCCAAATTCAAGGAACCAAGGTTCAATTTGGATGTCAGAAAGTACTTGCTGACAGTTAGGACCCCTAAGGTATGGAATGAGCTTCCATGGGAGGTGGTTGAAGCCCCATCGGTGAGGGTGTTCAAGGATAGGCTAGACATGCACATGGTGGGCATGTCATGAGTGGAGCTGAGGGTCAGACTAGATGGCCTGGAAGGCTCCTTCTGACCCGCTCAGTTTCTATGTTTCTACTGCTGTTGGCCACAAAATGGCAGATTCATGCTGCAGAAAGCACTTACGTCCTCATGTTGCAGTGTTCTATATTTCCCTCTCCTTTCCCTCCCTGTGCTAGTTGATGGGGAAATCATGCCTGATTTAATTGCTGGCATCTGCAGGTAGGACTAGGAAGGGCTCCTTCCTGAAACAGAGCAAAGCAATTGCTTTTCCATGTTGACAGTGGTGGACTTGATGAACCAGTGGTCTGATTCTTCCGGTACTGAGGGAGTGGCAGCTTCCAGTAATGTGGGGTGGGACTAAAGAAATACATAAGGTCATGACATAAGCAGAGGTTTACTGTGTGCTACAAAGGATGCTGTTGATTGTGGAGGAAGCCCCATTTTGTCAAAAAGAGCAATTTTGCCCTGAAAAAACTAATGTTGAATGATCTTTCCAGCAGCCTAAACTTCAAAAACTCTGATGTGTTTAGCCCCCATGTACAGCACTACCATCAGTTAAATTTAGAAGCACAGAACCCAGAACTGTTGTCTCATTTGTGGTCCTGTAACGGGTACTTAGAAATGATGCATTAATGCAGCCAGTGGTATATATTTTGCAACATTAATAGAATCAATGGTTGGCAGTCAAATACTAACTCTGTAATACAACAAATTTGACCTGACTTTCACATCAAGCAGAGCAGTTTAAAAATACTTAATATTATACTTTGTTTGCATGCTTCACTGGTAGCTTGTACAAAAGATAAAAGAAAGGCACCAGAGAAGAAACAAAATTCAGGGCAGCACTTATTTGGCAACATAAAAGGAAAATTATATATATATGTTTTTCTTTCAGATCGTGCCCGGGTACTTGGAGGACTGCCTGATGTTGTCACTATCCAGGAAGGCAAGGTACTGTAAATTAGCTGAAACTTTTAAAAGACAAGCTTTCTAATTTTCAAAGAGATGAAAGCTTTAAAATTACACAAAGGCTCTTGTTGTTTTAAAGAGATTACACTCTACTAATCTTCTAAACAGAAAGCAAAATTTCACTGTACTAGACAGGCTTTTAAGGCAAAATGTATAGGAAAAATGATCTGTCTAATACTGTGATGGAGTTTCAAAATTTTAGATAATTTGAATTTCAGATACATTTTCATTATATTTTAATTTCATTTGCTAGTATTGTCATATGACAAAACAGTGTATAACAAACGAAGTTAGGTACCTTGATGACCCTACTTTATTTACTACAATCCCCAAAAAGACTTCAGTTGTCAACTGTAAGCATCACATATGCAAGATTCTGCATAAGTGCATCCAATTATGAACCCAGATCTACTTTCAACAATCTACAACTGTTTCTTCTGGCCTAATCCAAAATTATTCTCCTTGATAATCAGCAATTTTGAACACTGCTAAATATAAAAGTCATGCTTTATTATTTTCTGATACTATTTAATCTGTTATTTAAAAAGGGGACCTCACAGATAGAAAGAATCTTCTGGGCTCTGTAATTTCAATAGGAGATTTACCTTTATTGCATCCTAGAAGAAGTCATAAACTACTGTATCCTCAAGAGATATACCCACTGTGTCCCAAATACTGCATACTTTCAAGAGATTTATAAATACCGCCTTCTTGTCAGCAATCTTGGCCATTTGCCTAGTGTTCTTGATCCATGGGAAACAGGGTTGAGGCCAGACACTTGGTGAGAAAAGCAGAAGGAAAACCTGAATATGTCATTATAATTTCCCTTAAACATAAACATGTTGTCATTGCTTGGAAAGTGCCAAAAAAGGCACATGATGGAATGTCTGTCTGAAGTATGGTTTGACTTTAAACTACAGCGTGCATTTGAATCTGGGGGAATGTGTAGATCAGGAAATTACTATTGACTCTGTGTGGGCAGTTGAAAAATAGAGGCAGTTAGATATGCAGCAATATTTAAAGCTTCATATTCAGTTCCTTGTAATAATTTATAAGGATGTGCGTTCATTTAATTGTCTATGCAATGATCCTTTGTCCTATCTGAAATTTGGCAAACCTGTTGCCTTGACAGATGGATGTCTGAAAATGCCATATGATTTAGGTTAAAACACCGAAGTTTCAGGCAATATTTTTAATGCATTATGTTTATATCCTTTTTTCCTACCCAACGAACTAGAGTTCCTTATTATTAGTTCCCCTGAAATAATGGAAAAAATATACAAGGAAAAAAAATGGAAAAAAGAGAAACTTTTAAAAAACAAATGGAAAATGAAACAAAGTATTCTCTTTTGTACTTTATTTTCTGGCTACCTGCCTTTATTTCCTCATGGCTAAATAGCAGTTTTGAGGGGTAGAATTCACATCAGGGAAATGAGACAGGGGAACAGGCTGACTCACCTTGCAAAGCACTGTGGGTTTAGTTCAGTTCGGGCCCTCTCCCCGCTGCTGCTTTTATGACAGGGGATCCAATAACTGATCTCCCACATCATACCTCGTGTGGGTCTCATCATTTCACTGCAAGGGGCTCTCGAGCAGAACAAGATGGGGAGAATGTGCTCTCATTCATTTGTTACTGTATAGCTGTATAGAAATACATAGCTCTTTCTGGCTTTTTTCTAAGACTTATATTATGAAAATGTTCTCAGAGCTCTATAACTGAGTAATAAAAAATTCATTCTGGTTCAGTTCTTGGCATTCAAAACTACAAACAGGTAATGATCATTCATTTAGAAAATTAGAAACACATTTTTCCTGGCCCATGAAAACCTCCAGCTCAGATGCTACTGTCTTCTAATTTCAGTAACCCTTCAGAGATTTTTCTAATCCTGATTTAAGAATATTATTAATTCTTACTATTAGGTCATTAGTAAGACCTAACACTGCAAGGGCAGTAGGGGGAAGGTGCTCACTGTTCTTTATCCCTTGTCAATGTAGCCGCCAGTTGCACAGAAGGAAAGAGGCCACTGCACCCTTTGGTAGGGCAGCTGTCCAGGACTGTTTTTACAGCAAAACAGTAAAAGCAACGGAGTATTTTCTAATGCTAAATTTCTGATTCTCAGTCTAATTGCAAAGCATTTAAAAAGGGCACTGTATAGCATAACTGACAGAAGCAATCTACACAGGAAAAATAGCATATAAATGTTTATTTCAGTGTACTTGATGCAATTCAGAATCCTCTGTAAGACGAGAGAAGGAAAACTAGAGATCCTGACATTCTGCCCAGAAGTCTGATTTGGCTCTGAGTCATCTGAACCTAAATGAACTATTTACGCTTAGTGGGCAATGGACACTTGAGTTGCCAGGGACGGGGGTGTGGGGGGATGAACAATATACTGCTTTCTTATCTCTTCTTGAGATCGAACTGAATGTGCCTGATGTTCCTACACTGCTGAAGTGGCTTTTTAAATTTGGACTACCATGGCTATCTGATCTACACTCAAGTTAACCCATTAGCCACCCAGCTCCCACCTTGAGCTAAGTGATGGACTATACCTGGTCCATGGGCTACCTGCATCCTTAAGAAGCCCTCTGTGAGAGTTCCTTATTCTCTTCTCCTCCAACATCATCCTATCACAACACAGAGCAAATGAATGGAGTCATCCCTGTATTATTTGGTTGGAAAGCAACACACATGAGGATAACTTTTTTGTAGAACAATGAATGCTGAGAAACAGGGCTCCAGAGAGATAAGGAAATTGGGTGGAAGGATCTCATAGCCCTTGTGCAACATACCTCAGCATGGCATCCCTTGCCCTGCAGCTTCCCAAGGCAACCAACAATGTACAGTAGGTCCCAGTAACTCTCTGGAGGGGCTTTTGCAGAAGGAAGTATATATTGTGCAAGCCTCCCTGCCACTCACACGTTGTTGGATTCACTTTTTTTTACTTCCATTCTAGCTGGACTGATACTTAAGCTCTAAAATAATCCTTTGTTGTAAAGCTGGTAGTATTCAGAGGGTACACATACTCGAATAGTCTTGTGCATTCTCTGGGCTATCACTGGTAGAGAAAAATGCATTAACGGAGCTTTGACAACTAGGCTACATAATGATCTTCTATTCTTGAAAAGCTTTCAGATAAAAGGCCTGTCTCTTAACAAAAGGATATTGAAGATTCTTTCTATTCTATCAGTATTTTGCTCTCTCAGAGAGCATATTGCTTCAAGGACCTTAGAAAAGCAGATGTCAGCCATTTGTTTGAAGATTATCACTGGAAAAAAATATTGATTTCAGAGTAAAAACAAAGCAATTAGAAGTACATTTATTACCAAATGAATTTTGTGTTCTGGAGAGAGACTGCCTGAATGTACTTTAATCACAGCTTAATTATGATTAATTAGAACTGGAAGCCTGATTTGAAATCATTTGTGTGACCTTTGTTATAAAAGTAATCTCCTTAGGACAAAACTAACAAAGACTATTCCTTACTAAAGGGCTATTTTTTCAGTAATTCCAGCTTTTAAATTTTGTGTTAAAATGAGTGTGCAGTTTGTGAGAACTAATTGGAAGAGAAGAATCCATAAAATACTAAAGGACTGTAATGATAGTGCAATACAAAGCTAGTCACATTCTCTTCCCGACATAAAACCAGATGTATATACTTGCAGAACTTGCAGGTTATATTGCATGTAACCATTTTGTGATAGAAGAAAGATGAAAATAGAGCTTATTCAGGAAGCATAAATAGTCAGAATGTTGCAATTCATAATCCTTTGTTTGTTTCCTGCAGGCCCTTAACCTTTCTTGTACTCTCTGGGGAAATCCTGCTCCAGAGATTACATGGTTGAAGAATGAAAAGCATCTGATAGCAGATGACCACATCATCCTGAAATATGAATCAGGGAAGCAAGCATCCTTCACCATCACTGCTGTCAGCACAGCTGACTCAGGGAGATACAGTTTTGTTGTGAAAAACCAGTATGGCACGGAGACAAGTGATTTCACTGTAAGTGTATTCATACCTGAAGAAGGGATGGAGGTCCCCCATCCAGAACATGGTAAAGAAGATAAGAAAAAGAAGGCATCAAGCTAAAACTAAGAAGGACAAATGTTGGGGAGAGCTAGAATACTATCTGGCTTAATAATTGTGTGTGTGAACTGTTTTGCCTGTGTGTTGGAGCTAGATCTGGATCCTTCCACTCTCTTCATTTGAGGCGTAATCAGTCGCTTATATCGGTAAACATGGTTAACGCTTCACCTCCACCATCACTTTCTGACACATGTTCTTCAGTAAGACCATCAGTGAGTGAATGTGGTAACTAGAATTTGGCTTTTCCTCAATGTCCAGGCTTCTGTATGTTACAAGCATAATTTTTAAAGAATTCATTCAGTCAATGAAGGGAGTGAAAGGATGAGTAAGAAGTTATGCATTATTGGAGATGTTTGCTCACCAAGAATGCAGACTGGATCATATTGGTAATCCAGTATCAACAGAGTGTACTGTACTAGAAAGCAGCTGTTAAAGGAAAACAATGTAAGTGTTGCCAGGATATTAATACACGCTAATGTCAATGAAAATTTGAACGCTCCTCAGTATTCACAAATAAATACATGAAACACTTTTCTTTCACCTTGATTTCTTGTGTCTTGTTTGCTTGCTCACTACTGACTGTTCACCTTTCCATCGCTCATCTAACTTACACCTTTTTGGCTGTCAGTCTTTACTTAGATCTTTACTGCAGCATCCTGAAAGGATGTTCTAGTCACTTCAATTATTCTACAGTAAATTCTGCCCACTTCAGTCTACACCAGAAAAGCTACTTAGGCCTTCCACCAACAGTTATTACACTTATTAACAATTTGGATGTAACAGAAGGCATGTTTCTTAGTGCATAAGAAACTTTTGGCTATTGACAATTCTTTTCAAAGGGCTTGTTTTAAGGAGGATGGGCAGTGGAAGTCCCATGGCAGTTACTACTGGTGTATTATTTATTATCACATTTGTATGCTGCAGCTCACAGCGCAATATAAATATATATAAAATACAGATAAAATAAATAATAACAAACCATAAAACATAGTAAAATTAAAATATAATATAAATACAGTGTAGGGGGCGAGTGCTGGGTTACCAACATCTGATGAGTCCTTGAAACAAAAACTTCTCAGTTTATATCTGCTTCATTGCTCTTACACTCTAGCCTCCTACTGAAAATAGCATTATACAGGAATATGCTCACAACTGAAATATTAATTTCATTTTTCAAATATGAAAGGAGATGGCAGGCTACATTATTATGCTGGCAAAAATGTGGAGTATAGTGGACAGCAATTTTAATAATAACTTTATTTATTTAAAGTATTTATATGCCATCCTGTCGTGAAAGCCTCAGGACAGCTCACATAGATAAAATACAATAAAATATAACATAGATAAAATCATCGACCCACACTGGCTGCAATAAAAACATATAAGTCATGATATTAAAACTTATTAAAATATTGCTGAAATAAAAAGGTCTTAACCTGGTGCCGAAAAACATTAACGACGGTGCCAGGCAGACATCTCTGGGGAGCGCATTCCATAGGTGGGGCACTACCACAAAGAAAGCCCTCCTCTGGGTACTTTGCCTGCTAATGTCTATCACAGAGGGTTCCCGGAGGAGGGCCTCTGCTACATGCGATTTTGAGTTACATTAACAGAAGAAAGATGGGCTATAACGCTGTACTATTGGAAAATAATTAGACTATAGGTGGAGATCTTCCAGTTTGGCTAACCACATTTTAAAGGAAGTACAACTGAGAACTTTATCAGGGTAGAGCATCAAATAATACAGAGAAAGTATGTTCAAAGAGAAGTTGAATGAGCTGGGCATGTTTTGTTTGGAAAACAAAAGGACTGATTTGGGTAGATATGCAGATACAAATACAGGTATTTCAGGGACTGAAGTAAATTTTCTTTAGTCTATATCCTGTTATAATATGTGGGCTAAGAATGTACATTTTACATTTTCAGTATTTTAGCAAACGTAATTGCCTTGTGGATTGTCACACCACCCCTTTTTAATTTCACCGAGTGCATACTTGCATGCTATTGGGAAATCACTGCTTGTGCTTATGGGCTATTACCCTCACTCATTTTGCACATTTCAGTTTCACCTAATGCTACTTCCATGCTTTTGAGAATCAACAGACCCTGGAGCCTCCATTTGTATCTTTGGAGTAATAATTACATGTGAAAATCAGACAGGTGAGTGTACTACAATGAAATCCAGCAAAATTCATTGGTTTGCCTTTGTTTATTGGCTCATACAGTCTTTAGCTCTGGGAAGCCCCATACTCATATACATATTTATTTATTTATTTATATCCTTCCTTTTTTCCTTCCATGGGACTCAAGGCAGCTCACATAATTCTCTTTCAGTCTTATTCTCACAACAGCAACCTTGTGAGGTAGGTTGGGCTGAGAGTCTGTGACTGGCCCAAAGTCAGCCAGTTGGCTCCATGGCTACGTGCTGACTAGAACCCAGATCACCTGAGTTCCAGTCCCATACTCTTGACCACTACACAAAAGTGTCTTTCAAGATCAATCTTTTAAAAAATTAAAACATTTGAAGTTATTTGATCAATTTTTATTCACAAAATATTACAAGGATGATTTATGAGAAACTTTAATTTTAGAAGTAAATTGTAAGGTCATAAGATGGTTTTGGATATCTTTTCACAGGGGACAAGATTTTGGGGACAAAATTTTCAATAAGATGATCTGTGCTAAAGACTATTTTTCCTCTTTGAACACTGCCTCTTCATTGCAACTGAACACAAAGGGCATATCACATGGTGTTTCCTAACATAGGTTGCAGCACACAATGCCGAACTCTCAAGATGCACTTGGGAAAAAAATTTTTAAAACCCCACACTAGACACCCAGAAGCCTCTGAATGCAGCTCTTTAAATCCTGGTCACAATTTGCAAACCATTGCAGAGGCACTATTTTAAACAGAATTTTAGTTTCCTACATTCTCTTGTTTGTGCATTCTTTGCTCTTGCTTTGCTGTAGCTGATTGTATCAGAGGAAGAGACTGGTTCTGCTACATTTGTTGCTGAGGTGAAGGGGTCCCATCTAGATACAGTAGCCTTAGATAAAAAGGAAAGCGTCTCTGAAGATACAGAAGGTAAGAGTATTCCATTGTATGTATCTACTTCCATGAAGAAAAACTTCATTAAAAGTCCATTCAGATTATTTCCTCCCAAAGTATCCTGACAGGACCTTCCCTTTTTAAAAGTCTTCTGGTTTTAGATTAAGCTTTTGAAAAGACAATGGGGGACACACAATCCGGACACAATAAGCATGTCATTTTTTTCAGTGAAATAATATTAGACACACTGAACTCTATGCATCATTGAAACAATGGCTTAAAGAGTGTAATTTACCTAGAGGTAGTTTCCACTGAAATGCTGTCTGGTGCATCCCAGTTCATAACAATTTTCCTGTATTCAATTCTGTTTTTGTGCACATGATGTTATAGCAGAATTCTGCAGGGACTCAGTTCTTTTTTCCTGGTAAATATATGCAAGAATTTAGCAGGTTTGGTACAGATGATATAAATATATTTTGTATTTATATACAACTAAAATGTTCCTCATTTTGATTCACTAAGTTTGGGTTAAAAAGAGGGAAGCTCTTGCAGCAGACCTTGCTGCCACTGAAGCACCATGGATGAAATAAGAGAAAAAATCCAAGGCAGGTTAGGTTAGTGATTTCTCTTGCCTGCTCCATGGGAGCATTGCTTAGACTGGTTCCTTCTCCATCCCAAGAAGAGTAAGCATAATGCTTACCATTACCTAAAGCAGGGGTATAGATCCTTATGCCTGAGAGGTCAAATGCAGCTCCTGTAAGAGTCCAATGTGACCTTTTGAGATTCCCCAGATGGTTCCATCCCTTTCCCTTAGATCATTGATCATTTGGTATTTTCCCAGTGTTTGTGCAGTTTATTTCCTGTTCTAAAAGGTCGGAAAGGTTCTCCTTGATTACTGACAGTAAGAACTTGGCACCAAGATATGCTGACATTTTTGGTATATTGCCTTGTGCCTTTGACACTACCCAACACTGGAATGTGAACCCCAAGAATGTCTCTGAAATGGAATTTGTCCCTCACACTGAAGGTTCACCATCCATGATCTAAATATGCAACTAGAAGCAAATAAGCTTTACATATCCCAGTACTCTCTGTCGCTCTCTCGCTCTCTCTGAACAATGCATTGTTTTTTCTTGAATCAGTTTTCCTTAAGCCACAAGTAGAAGAGATTATTGCTACTGAAGAGACACCTGATCCAAATGAAAATCTAACAGTTGAAGTTAGAGATGATCCAAAAGACAGCTGGGAAGCTGAAGCAATTGCAGGACATCCCCAGTAGCAAGACAAGACTGCATGAAATGCCAGACAAATTCTTGAGATTCATGAAGAGCAATAGGTGCAGTAAAGTGAAAATATGCTATACATGAGGTATTACTGCTCTCCTCTTTTGAAATGCATGATCATATTTAGATACTATGTCGTGCCACAATAGTGGGTCCATGGTTTCACATAAATGTATTTTTGTATACAGTATTATTTTGTGATATATGTTAAGTACAAATTATGTTGTTCATAGTGGTTAGAGAATCAGGGTCACAAAGCAATGCCATAAGAACACATTATATTGGTGTATGAGCTACAATTTACTGATAAGAGTATGTTTAGTTCCAAAGTTTGCATTACCACACACATGAAACTTCTATAATTAAGGACATCATCTTATTTTATATGTCCCATTTTCACTTCATTCATTAGTTATGTTTTTTTATTCAAAATTATATGGTTTGATTTATTAGCTTTTTGTTTGAAATGCATTTAAGTTCTGTGTCACTATGAACAATGGAAAATATGTTATACCTCACTATCACTATGAACATGTCTTTCTCTGGATGAAAGAAAGTTATTGAACAAGCTTTTAAGCACAGGGTTGAAACTTAAGACCCTTAAACTTCAACTCTTGAACATTAGAAGTAAAACAGCCTTTAGAATATTGGCAAATTTGACATTGAGGTCATATTCCATGTTGCAGCAAAGGGCTGCAGGGGAAGGGAGGAACTACCCCTTTTTGGATTCCACTGGATGAACTTGCTTTGGATCCAGTCTTTGATTTGTCACATTTTTGTCAACCCAAAGAAAGATTCCTGCTTGAGATGCTGGAGAGCTGCTTTCCATCAGGGTAAAGAACAGTGGGCTAGACAGATGAAGGGTGTGCCTCCTTGTAAGGCAGTTTCCTATGTTTTTCTGGTATTCTAGTTGGCTTTCAAATATAAATAAGATCCTACCTGTAAAGTGATGAGTGTCAAATACGGACACCCATGCATGCTAGTCTTAACTGCATGGGCAAAGTAATTGCATCAATGATCAAATCTTGTATCGGCTCAGGACAGAAGAGTTTCCATATAGGAATACATTTTCCATTTTTCTAATATGAGGTTGTTTTGTTTCACTATATATCAAGAAACAGAGCTGCAGTAACAAATGTCAAACAGCAAGTATGCCATATGGATTTCTTTTAAAAAAGCAACAGGGTTCTAAAATAAAATCCAGCTTTAAATCCAGACTTCTGAGGCCTTATAAAATAGAACTCTACAGTGTTTGCCAAATTCAAGTACAAAAAGTAATGAGCCAGATCTAGGGAGTGACTTAAAGTCAGAGGTCTCAGAATATCCAGCACTTTTGGTGATGTTTTCTTTTTTACTCTGCATTTATTATAGGATCCTTGAAGAGTGACACTTTTGTCTAAATTTATGAGGGCTACACATCCACATAGTAATACCTAAAGTGCTCCATTGGCACTTGCCCAGACCCTTAAAAGTTGCAAGCACCACTGCAGCACTTGACTCAGAGTGGCTGTATCCCAATAAACAAACACTGACATTCCCATGCATTCATAATTTATCAATAGCTTGATGTCAGCATCAAAGAAGATGAATAATTTATCATGCTTATAAATCTGTGATCTTTGCAAAGTCTATATAGATTATGAGACTTCCATATCCTCTACTTATGCAATTAAAAATATTGATTACTCATACAGACTTGACCTTCTCCAACCTGATGCCCTCCAAATGTTTTAGATTACTGCTCCCATCATCCCTGGAGTCCTGAGCCTGATAAGAGTTGCAGTCAAAAAACATCTGGACTAAATCTGGGTGGAGATGACTGAGGAACTCAGATAGGGGGACTCTAACCTCATTGATGGAAAGCATTTGGTACTGGTACATTAGAGAGATGGAGGTTGTCAGTTAGGTCAGTTGGAGATTTTGTTTGGACTTGGCTTCTGGAGGGAGAATTCCTTTAATCATGCAATCGTGTTGGAGCATCACCAACAAATATGCACACGAGGTAACAACAACGAAAAGCACGTAAGTGCCCATGTGTACACGGCAGTAATAAATTGCAGTTAGGTGCATAGTCAAAATGCACGAAGGCATTAAACAGAAAAAGCATGATAGCCCACAGCGTAGGCATAAGGAATGCTTTACAAGACGTTGTATGTATGCAGAAGCAGGGTGCTCGCAACGCTGCTACCTTATAGAAGAAATGCCAATGCGGTACATAAACCTAATAATTAAATAGGTGCATAACCAATAAAGTAGGTAGGCTTCAGCATGCCGAAGCACAGCGCTGCACACGCTGGAAAATGCCTGCGACCCGAGCAGTTTGCAAAGAACAGATGGTGATTCAACCGAAAAGAGGAAAGGAAAGCGGAAGCTCCTCCCCGCTGGCCGGGCCGGGCCGGGCCGGGCCGCCCGCTAAGTAGCCCGAGTCACTCGCACGGCGCAGCGCGGCCTTGCCCCCCACCCCCCGCGTCACGTGCACCCGCTCTCGCCCGCCCCTGCTGGTGGCAGGACTGAACAGAAAGGGGAGGAGGAGAAGCAGTGAGAAGATCCGCCGTGCGCGCTCCCGGCGTGCGTCAGCCCTCCCCCCCCCCGCGCGGAGGCGCGCTGGCTGCCTTTCCAGCGCGTTCGCTTTATTCAACCGCCGCCTCGCGTGACCGATGGCTGCTGCTGCTCGCCTCGCTCCCGGTCCGCATCTGACTTGAGGAAAAAGGTACGCGACGAAGGAAGGCGCGCCTTCCCGTCCCCTTCGTCGTGGAGCAGCGCGGGCCGGGTGGCTGCCTGGCTGGGCGGTTTCGAGCGGGCACGGCATCCTTCACCCCCGCGCCCGCCCCGATCCGCTCTGTCCGAAGAGGATCCATCCCTCCTTCTTCGCACCCGCGCCCCCTTCCCGAGTGGGCAGCCTCCGCCTCGCCCTGCCCTGCCCTCGTCGTGAGCCCGGGCGCCTCGGCCGAACGGCCGCTGCGGCTTTAACGGAGGCGTCTCTCCTCCTGCGTGCTTACTTGAGAGAAAGTCCCCCTGGGGGCTTCAGGTCCAGCCACGCGTCTCCTCCTCCTCCACACTCTCGTCTTTTATCTTCAAGCGGAATGAGGGCAGCTTTTTCGCCGGGGATGGCGGGGGCGCGCGCGCTCGCGCTCGCGGATTTCCCCGTTTCTTCGGCTAACCAAGCAGTGAGATTCGTCTTCTCACAACCGTGTTGTCGAGCGTAACCAAAGGGGGGGGGGTGCTGTACATGGAGTTGTGTTGTCTTACCATGGATTGGGGGTGGGGGGGCGGCGGTTCCAACGGGAATGCGACCCACCCGCCGCCAGCTATTGGTATTATGACTGCACTTCATTCATCAGGGTAGGGTTTCCTGTAGTGTAGCCGTTGCTGTGCCTTGTGGATTTGCAGCCCTTTCCACGGTTAAGCTGTTGAAATCCTATTGGTTTTAGTGGAGTGTAAGTAGCAACTATCTAGAGTTATCCCTCGGTGCATGGGATTTTCTTCTCTTTTTATCTTCTGCTTATTCTTATCAGTTTGGCTTTGGGTACCCAAACTTCTGGATGTAGCTGTCATTAAAGCATATGGCTACACCTCCCGTAATATATGTTTGTACTTGATGGTGGTTTCATTTAACATACCCAGTTATATACTGTATCCAGCATTTGACTACTCAAAACGCTATTCATTTCAATGGGTGTGCACTAAGTAGGACTAACATCAGAAGCAGCTGCATTGATGGTACTGCTATGGATGCTGTAAACTGCTTTGGGTACTCGGGTTGAAATACCTTGGACAAATCTACTGAACAAATTAATAAATACGTTGTACCAGTATTCAGAAATCTTAGTGGAGAGTACCATAAAATCCTGGTAGCCTAACTCTTCATTTACAAACACACTTTTGCATACAGTAGTCATCCTGTTACATAAACACATAACAAATCTTTTAAAATACTGGTGGGAGGACCTATGGTTGCATATATATCATGATGTTTGAGACTGAATTATTCATTCACACAGCTCTGAAATTGTTAGGATAAGTTGCTAATTAGCCAGAGCCAGAAATATGGTTTGTGTGTAATTGATGGCCCGCAATTATTATCCATATTTGAAAGTGGACAATCTATAAATCTCTCCATTTTCTCTCAAAGCTAGAGAGTGAGTGTGTCTCACCAAATTGCTAAAAGTAATTTCCAGGAAATCTGGAAAGGTGGAATTTCTCACATAAGTAGCCCAAGGCATGGAGATTGTTGTGAAGTCTGATAAGGAAACATTTAAGCACTTCTAGAAAAAAGAGACTATGATGGGACTGAATTGCCACCAAATGGTTAAGGATTTTCTAATAGGACACTGTCTTTAAGTTAGTTCCAGACTGCTCAGAATACTGACAGTGGATACAAAAGAAACTCATCACAGGAATTTACACCCAATAATCAAATCAAAGCAGATAAACCTTATCTCCTAAGGGGGAGCAAATCCTTTCCAACATAGAAAGCTGCATACAGGACAGCATCCTGGAGCTGTAGGACATCAACTGCCTCTTAAGGATGATTCAGGCTATTTGTAAAGTATCCTGGCAAAGTGGATTAATTAACCCACAGTTTGTTACCCTATATGCTGCGTGTGTTCCATAGATTTTAAAATATTCAACCCCCAATGTGGTATCCAAACCCAGATGTTTAGGACATTTATGAGTTAAACAACACACAGTTAGCCTGACTACTAATTGTAGTTTAGAACAGTAGTCTTCCAGTTACAGGAAGGAATATATCTGTATTTACCAAATGCTGGATGATGCTCTGAAGCTATGTTTGATGCTATTATATTTCCTCATGTGTTCTCTGTTCTTCAGTTTAGCAATTAGATATAGGCTATCTCTTAAAATGAAAAATGCATTCTTGGTTATTATTGAGAGACTTCTATGCAAACTATATAGTGAATCCTATTCTCAAACAATTTTTAGTACTGATGTAAGCTTATTGAGGTGAACTCTTTCCTTCATTGTGGAGGACTGAAACAGGCATGGTGTTACTTTCTCACTTATTTATTGCATTAAAAAAAAAGCTGAGGAGGGGAGACTTTAATGCTTTGGCCATTGCCAGCT